GCCACATGTAGTCAGTGGAATGATTCATCAAGGTAAATATTTGGACGCCCTGTCTATTATAGTTTTGAATGGTTCGGAGATAATGTGACCTCATATAGACAGCTGCAGGGTGGAATATATTCCTCTGAAAAGTGCTCGGGCAATTTATCGAAATCCCATCTCTTGGAGGGCAATAATTAGTGCAATTAACATTGATTGTATCTTTAATTCCTTCCAAATTCTACTTCAAGTCATGGTTACCTTCTGCTCATAAAGCTTGTACACTATACGCCTAATCACACTGTGACAAAGCTGTCTAAGATCTTTTTACGTCCCAGTTTTGTTTTTGAGACCACCCCTATACCTGTTTTGTTTTATTCATCATGCCGTAGACCTGATGGTATTATTGAAAACCATATAGCTTGGGCAGTTCAATAATTCATCTAAATTAATAAATGTTTTCAATCTATCTCTCTAAAGTGTAAAGAATTTGTATATATTTCCCAGTACAGACTCCATATCGTGTACCATGGTTATGGCTATGCAAGTGTAATGTAATATGCATCATGGGAGTAATGTTAACAAAACAAACGCACCGTCATTTTGTCATTTTAGAAGATGCACATCTAGAATTTTCGCAAAATGATTTTTGTGTGTGGATTAGATGGTTCAGGAAGACTACATTCTTGTTATTATAACGGAGTCACGTGCACATATTCCTATAGTCTGTTTCAGACTGCCATCATTGGATTTCGAATAAATGTAAACTTCTGGTTTTCGTTCGAATACTTGTCGATAGGACGCCTTGTGGCTGAAATACTTCACACCACAGGTAGGGCGATCGGTAGTTACTCGATATTTCAATAACAACAGTCTGTGAAAAATTATATCCTTTTTAACAGGCAAAAAGCAGTTTTCTAGCATTTCCGACAGTACTTTGGGTTTGGGCCGCGGCCCAACACACTCTGGTGAACACAGCCATCCAACATATTATTTTGGATCATATCAGGACTTTTGACCCAAATTGCTGACTTACCTTTTATCGAATTCATTAGACAGTATGATCTTATTTTAATTTTGTGACACATGGTGCAAGAAACCTTTATGCGATCAATATTTTTCTGACTATCAACAATACGTTCTACCAGGTAGTAAAGCTAATATGTGGAAGACTGTCTGGAGGTATTGTGGTATTGATTAAACACTCACTTATTCAATACGTGAAAAGCCATGTTATCGGCCTGAGCTGTATATTCATTATCCTAGATAAATCTTTGCTCAATCTGGAAAAGGATGTTTTGATGGCCTTGGCTTATATAAGCTCTACTGGGTCGTCTTGGTATACTGACAAGCCATCCACGTGTGGTATTAGAGTACTGTTTGGCTCTCTAATAAATATACTTAATGACTTTGGTGATTTACACCCGTTGATTGGAGGCGACCTCAGCGGCAGAACAGGCACAGATCCAGACTTCATCTCCGATGACATTGCTGAACGATTAGGAATAGAAGATTTCTCTTATCTCCGTGACAACGTTGACATTACATGATATTCATTTGATAATATAGTAAACCAGTTTGGAAAAACACTACTAAACTTTTGCAGTGTCTTGAATCTACATGTATTAAATGGCAGATGTGGTGATGATGCGGGTAAAGGTGAATATGTATTTATTGGTGCGATAGAGCGAGTGCCATTGACAACAACTCGTCTGTTCACATAGAGTTCTCACTTCAACGTTGAAACTAGGTCAGAATCAAAACACGCGCAAAGTACGTGTAGGCTGCAGTCACGTGACCTTGATCAACGGAAGCATGTTCAACAAGACCCACGTGCAAGTAATGCAGAGTATCGCTTCAGGTGGAATGACAACAACGAATCTATGTTTAGGGACAATCTCATCAACACCGACTCAGCATCCCTGTTTGAAAAGTGCACGGAAGATATATATTCTGGTAACATTGCTAATACGGTTCAAGCTTTATCCGATGCAATCAGTTCTGCTGCAGACTGAATGAAAAGACCTTGTGTTACTAACGTTAAAAATCAACCCTGGTTTGATAAAGACTGTCATTATCACCGTTCAGAGAGACTTAGACTACTGAAATCCTTAAATAATTATATAAAGCAAAGAAATCAATGTACAAGTGTTATTCGTGATAAAAAGACACAATATCAAGAAGACATCAAAATGTTAATATATATATAATGGCAAACTGTTCTGGTCTTCGTTGAAGCATACTCAGGCAACTCCGAAACCGGACATTAACATAAACAAATGGTTCAAGTACTTTCATGGTATGTTTTAAACTAAATCTGATACAGACACCGAAGATGAAGGTATACGAACACAGATCAGCTTCCAGAGTCTATTCTTGACTCTCCCATTCTCCAAGAGAAAGTTATGAACTCTATTAATTCTTTAAAAACTGGTATAGCTGTAATGTTTAAATCTGCTCAGGATGTATTATGTCCAATGTTGATTTTTTTATTTCATGCAATGTTTGATACTTCATACTTTCCTTCTATGTAGACACATTGTGTTATTGTTCCCCTCCACAAAAAGGTGATACTAAAATACCAGCCAACTACAGGGGTATAACAATACTTAGTACTTTTAGTAAAGTCTATACTAACATTAAATAAGAGATTATAGTTTTGGTGTGAATCGTGTGATAAATTTGTTCAGTCCCAGGCTGATTTTCGTTGGGGCAACTCCACTACTGTCAATATGTTATTATTGCATCTATCATTCAACGTTATTTAGGTAAAAAGCGAAGTAAAGTGTATACACTGTAGATTTTTCTTTGGATTTTGACTCTATTGATAGATCTTAATTGTGGCGCGTATTAAACGTACACGGGGTCTTGCCAAAGATGTAGAAAACTATCCAATCTATCTATAAATATATTATCATGACATGCATGACAATACCACAACGTCCGGCCACAATATCCATTTCAGTCTACTCTCCTGACCAGTACTGCCTGTCCTAAACTAAATCAAAACTTCTATATAATTTTTTCAAATCTACCATGACCTTAAAGCTTAATTTTGAACAACAGCTTATCCAATATGATGAAACGTATTGCAGGACGCACCCCAACCACCGTGTCACGGCCACATAAACACCGGGCACAGAAATGAGCAGTCTGTCTCATGTCGTCTGCAGCGGTTTTCAAACATGCCACTGGCAATGGATGGCCCATTTCCGCCAGTAAATCAGGTTGACGTGGCTAATGTTGAACACAACTAAAACTCGGGGCTGTCCCCTGGGTTCAAGTAATTTGTAAAAGGCACTGTCACCGTGAACAACTGGTTTGGCAGCCAGAGACAACCACGGGAAACTGAAGGAAGTCAAGTTCAGCCAGGTTGCAGTTCAGGGTGGAGAGATAGTCATTTGTAATATGTATTACTTTTGAGGAATTATTTCAAACAAACTGCTATGAAGTACAACTTCAAAATAACTAAAACCCGGTTATTTTATTAAGTTTGAAAAATTGATTAATTCATCATTTTTTCACTATTTTCACAACCTGTCACCCCTACAATGGGAGATGTAAAGTTGAATTCAAAGAAATAGCTTGTCGCGCTGATTTCAAGAAATGACATATTTTTACTTTTCAAACCTCGTGCCAACGTGTTCGGTTTCAAATTAAAATAAGAGGTAACTTATCTACAGTGGACCAACATCACATTTCAAAACAGTGCGTTTATCTCCTGAATATTCAATGGCTTTCTAACGATGACATCACAATGATGACAAACATGTGCATAAAGTTTCAGCAAAATCAGCAGTTTGTAACTGTTTCTAAAAGTGTCAAAATGACCATTTCGGGATAAATGCAATGTTTTTATACTTACTTGACGCTACACAGTGCTGTAGCTTCCCTACCTATACAAACAGACAGTACTGGAACAGAGACACTTGAAACAGACAGTACTGGAACAGAGACACTTGAAACAGACAGTACTGGAACAGAGACACTTGAAACAGACAGTACTGGAACAGAGACACTTGAAACAGACTGTACTGGAACAGAGACACTTGAAACAGACAGTACTGGAACAGAGACACTTGAAACAGACAGTACTGGAACAGAGACACTTGAAACAGACAGTACTGGAACAGAGACACTTGAAACAGACTGTACTGGAACAGAGACACTTGAAACAGACAGTACTGGAACAGAGACACTTGAAACAGACTGTACTGGAACAGAGACACTTGAAACAGACTGTACAGCCCGTGCCCTGATGCCCTGATACCCGGTAGGTATCTACCTTAGCCTGTACCCTCCTTACATTCTTCTCAGTATGGTGGCAGGCGCAGCGCGGACAGTGGTGTCAGAAAGGTTCGGTTTGTTTGTTGTTTTACACCGCACTCAGCAATATTCCAGCTATATGACGGAGGTCTGTAAATTATCGAGTCTGGACCAGACAATCCAGTGATTGATATCATGAGCATCGATCCAGGCAATTGGGATCGATGACATGCTTCAAACAAGTCAGCGAGCCTGACCACCCGATCCGTTAGTCGCCTCCTACAATAAGCATAGTCGCCTTTTACAGCAAGCATGGGTTGCTGAAGACCTGTTCTACCCCTGATTTTCACTGTACTATGCATAGACTCGTTAGTCCAGCCAAAATATATATGCAGAGAGGATGCAGTCGACTGTGAGAAACAAAACCATCAACCACATAGGAACTGTAAGGAGCTTGGTTTTGCATTGAATAACCAGGGGCCTAAGAATTCCAAACAGGAGCAACTCTCCACTGAAAGTGCCAGTCCTGAAGAAGAACCAGAGGAAGCAACAATGAACTGCTGTAAACTGTGTAAATAAACAGAAATAGGCAGAAATATACTGCAAGGAAGGGGAAAATATGTCAAAGGAAGGATATACAGGATGAACACAACCAAAAACTTCCAGAAAACCAAGAAAATCTGAGGTAAGATTCTGTTCACTAACAGCATGGTCCAAGATGAACTCCAAGATGAACTCCAAGATGAACTCCAAGATACTTTTGATAGTTTATTACAGTCTCGAATGGTCAGTTTATGACATACATTAATTGGTGAAGTTAAAAACAAGTCCATCCTCACAATATTCACACTGAAGACCTCGGTCAAACATTCCATGGATCATCTGTTGGACTGAACACATTTCCTTAAATGATCTTGTAACACTTGTTTGTCCAAATTTCTCCCTGAAAATATAAGACCATGTTAAGCTTGAGGTTTTAGTGTTGCTTCTTACACACATCTGTCTCATTCAGCTGGCCAGAGATCGTCAACTTAACTTACAATTACATATGTGTCGGGGAACCATGAAACACTTATGGTCAGGAGGGAACTGAGATTCCAAGCTGGCTGTTATTGGACAAGGATGCTGGTTCCCATCCGACCTGTTGGAATACTTTATCAATATACATACAATACATCATAAAACAAGTTTCAAAATCAAAAGATAGCAAAGAAACTCAACTTTATTTTATCTTTTCAAGTTTTATGGTTTGACATAAAGTTTATCTAAAGTTGTCAAACGATGCTCAATTGTTTTAAGTAAGTGTAAATAAAATTATATACTGTAAATCTTGAAATTAATGCGTCTCCAAATTAATATGACTGCTGACTCCTAGCCAAAAATGCGAATCAAAATCCGTCTTATTGGTGATAGTCATTTTGGATACATAAATGCTAAGTTTCATTAATGCGAACAAAGACCACTCACATTTTTCACATTTAATTCATGCACGCGTTAATTTCAAGATTTACAGTATATCATTTGTTTATCTCGTTGTGTGTAACGCTACACTCAGCAATATTCCAGATGTATCACTGGAGCCTGTAAATAATTGAGTCTGGACCAGACAAACTAGTGATTGATATTATGAGCAACATCCTGTACAGAAACATCAAGGTGTATCAAATATCCACAACAATATGATGGTGAAGCCATTATTATCTACATTCGGAGCTGGCTGTTTAAATCTATTTTTTGAGATACAGAAATCCTGCTCTGAATGCTTTGCTCACCCTTTTGAGTGTACATGCCAAGACACCCAGAAACAACAAGGTGTATCAAATATCCACAACAATATAATGGTGAGTCCCTTATTATCTACATTCGGAACTGGCTGTTTAAATTTATTTTTCAAGAAATCCTGCTCTGAATGTGAACATGGAAACACCTCAACGCCAACTTGATGATTAGAAAGTTCACTTGATACAACACTGATGGAGGAGTTATCAGATCTTTATGCAGAGATGTATTGTTCGGAGTAAAAGATCTTATTTTAATTTGACTGGTACATATGTTCATTCTGAAAGGCCTACCTATAAACACCACCCTGCTGGTGCGAGACTCTCCCTCCTCCCACGGCGTTGTGACCTGCGAGTCATACAACTGATGCACCGCCTGCAGTACAAGTCTCCGCGGATTGCCTTGTATCGATACAACACCCTGAAATAAAAGGAGGAACATGTACAGCAGAACACAAAATCCTACTTTCAAACGCAGTTGGGGTGATGGTCAAACTAAAAACAAAACTTAAAACCACGATATTTTTTTCAAAGCATTTTAAGTCTGGTACAAATGGTAAAATTATTAAGTGGTTTTGGTATGACAAGTAAAAGTCTTTCTTTGCATCCTGTACTGGATCACCTTGGAAGGGTTTTTGATTTCTGAAATCACCTTATAGACTCAGCTGGAAGAAAAAACAGTTTTCTAAAAAAAAAACCATTTTATTCAACATTTGTGTAATTTGGTTCAAGTAGATAAGTAAACCAAGTATTCCAACAAGAAGTCTCAGAGTGCGAGAGAAAATGTTCCCCATAGGAGATGCAGGAGGCAACTGACCGGCTCTTGTCACCCCTCAATAGTGGGAACTGCCTTTTGCAGGAAAAGTTTATCAAAACAAAAATTTGATGCTGAGTATGTCTGACAAATGCACGACAGTACATGTACCTGGAAAGATGAATGAATTCATCAACACACCAGGGGTTTGCGATGATATGATGGTAATGTATACAACTCAAAATAAGTTAAGGACAACCTGGTTCATTCATATCATTCTGCAGATTAACAATAGTAATATCAATGAATCAAATGGTCCTTAACTTCTATTGAGTAGTTGATATCATAAGCTTCATTCTGTATACATATCCTAGTGTTATGGGATTTGGGATGCTTAAACATATGTAGTTTTCTTGCTAATCACAAGAACAACTGTAAAACATCTCACTCACTTATCACAGACAACTTTATCTTCAAACAAGCCATCATCTGAGTAGTTACAATTGTCTTTGTTATAGCGCGAGTAATCATGATGAACATGGCCATCTGAAACTGTATGATATCCAAAATCATATAATCCATCAGTTTCCCCTCACCTTCAGACGGAGTATTTCCGTCACGTCTCCCTCCGACGTCTTCACCAGCCTCTCCCACAAAAGGTTCTGCAGGAAGTCTTCCAGCGCTGACTGTGACAACTCCCTCTCCACCTCTACCGTAACTGTCCGCACACTCTGTAACAACACCAACAACATCATGCAGTACTGCATGGTGACCACTGACTGTACCATGACCATGACAGCACTATCAGGGGCAGGAAGACAGACGAGTGACAATTCATATTCAACAAAACAAGGAAGTCCAAGTGTATTATTTATAATGTATAACTTATCTTAACAAATGTTATTTTGGGGATTACGAGTTCTTTTTTAAGTACAAATTCTAGTACTTTGTTGGTTGAGTCACATCCAGGTTTCAAACCCACACTATCAGAGTGAGTAGCCCATGAAGAACCCGAGTAGAATAGGTCTTCAGCAACCCATGCAAGAGGGGACTATGCATGTCTTTAGAGGCAACTAACGGGACTTGGTTGATTAATGTCATCGTATCCCAGTTGCATGGATGCAATCGATTCTCATGATGTCAATCACTGGATTGTCTAGTCCAGACTCTATTATTTATAGACTGTCATCATATGGCTGGAATATTCCTGACTGTGGGGTTAAACAACAAACAAACAAACAAACAAAAGGCACCTAATCGCCAGCAAACAAAGATTGAGTAGTATGGTATAGCTCACCTTGTCAATATGGTGTTGCTCATCCTTGTGGAAACCTCGGCTCTCAAACAGCTCTTCCATACTGACAACATGACATTCATTGTGAGTTGCCTGACTATGTTTTAATTAAAATATTAAATCTCTATACATTCATAAAAGTAAATATGCAGGTGTGTGTACAGGTATTTATCATAAATCTCGGACTAGCACACATATGTTATTATCAAATGACAGCCCTCAGACACTCAAGGCTGGGACACTGTGTATAACAGCATGCAGTATATTTGCTGAGGTAGATGCTGGAAACATTCATTCTTCACAGGAGAAAAATATTTTCAATTTGAAAGTTCATTACATTCGAAATGACAATTAAACACTTGACATTTTGAATACTGACAGTCGGCAATGTTTTAGGATTTCATATATATATATATATATAGTTACATGTACTGTACCTTGCATGACCTTGACCTCCGTATGCATTCACGTCCAGCACGTCATCCAGACTGCACCTACAACAACCCCGCACAATAATATGGTGCTGAAATGGAGGCCAAGGGACCTAGTCTGGTCTGGAATCCCTACCCTCCACCACCCCAAACAGAGATACAAGCATGGGGTACGGGGACCTAGTCTGGTCTGGAATCCCACCACCCCCAACAGGGATACAAGCATGGGGTACGGGGACCTAGTCTGGTCTGGAATCCCACCACCCCCAACAGAGATACAAGCATGGGGTACGGGGACCTAGTCTGGTCTGGAATCCCACCCCTCCACCACCCCCAACAGGGATACAAGCATGGGGTACGGGGACCTAGTCTGGTCTGGAATCCCACCCCTCCACCACCCCCAACAGGGATACAAGCATGGGGTACAATGACCTAGTCTGGTCTGGAATCCCACCCCTCCACCACCCCCAACAGAGATACAAGCATGGGGTACGGGGACCTAGTCTGGTCTGGAATCCCACCCCTCCACCACCCCCAACAGGGATACAAGCATGGGGTACGGGGACCTAGTCTGGTCTGGAATCCCACCCCTCCACCACCCCCAACAGAGATACAAGCATGGGGTACAATGACCTAGTCTGGTCTGGAATCCCACCCCTCCACCACCCCCAACAGAGATACAAGCATGGGGTACAATGACCTAGTCTGGTCTGGAATCCCACCCCTCCACCACCCCCAACAGAGATACAAGCATGGGGTACGGGGACCTAGTCTGGTCTGGAATCCCACCCCTCCACCACCCCCAACAGGGATACAAGCATGGGGTACGGGGACCTAGTCTGGTCTGGAATCCCACCCCTCCACCACCCCCAACAGAGATACAAGCATGGGGTACAATGACCTAGTCTGGTCTGGAATCCCACCCCTCCACCACCCCCAACAGAGATACAAGCATGGGGTACAATGACCTAGTCTGGTCTGGAATCCCACCACCCCCAACAGGGATACAAGCATGGGGTACGGGGACCTAGTCTGGTCTGGAATCCCACCCCTCCACCACCCCCAACAGGGATACAAGCATGGGGTACGGGGACCTAGTCTGGTCTGGAATCCCACCCCTCCACCACCCCCAACAGAGATACAAGCATGGGGTACGGGGACCTAGTCTGGTCTGGAATCCCACCCCTCCACCACCCCCAACAGGGATACAAGCATGGGGTACGGGGACCTAGTCTGGTCTGGAATCCCACCCCTCCACCACCCCCAACAGAGATACAAGCATGGGGTACAATGACCTAGTCTGGTCTGGAATCCCACCCCTCCACCACCCCCAACAGAGATACAAGCATGGGGTACAATGACCTAGTCTGGTCTGGAATCCCACCACCCCCAACAGGGATACAAGCATGGGGTACGGGGACCTAGTCTGGTCTGGAATCCCACCCCTCCACCACCCCCAACAGGGATACAAGCATGGGGTACGGGGACCTAGTCTGGTCTGGAATCTGGCTATTGGTAGTTTCACATATGATCTTTTGAAATGTGATATTTTGGTATTGAAGAACTCGCAGTAAGTCCATCTGAATGGAGTCTCCAGTCCGTGAGACAGCCTCCATCACCAGGCAGGGTCAGAGTCACTATCATGATGATATAAACACTCACTTGGCTCGAGTTGTTTCCCTCACTTTGGCAAAGCTGTTGATACTCCTGAACAGAAAAACAAGTTTCACTTTGTTTGCAACAATATGTAGCCTACAGTTCAGGTTACAGTACAGGATATGATAAATTATGATTAATAAATATCCAGCACTTGTCAAATCAATGTTGTTTGTTGTTTTTTGTTTTCACGCCACACTCAGCAATATTCCAGCTATATGATGGCGGTCTGTAAAATAATCGAGTCTGGACCAGACAATCCTGTGATTGACATCATGAGCATGGATCCTTGTAATTGAGATCAATGACATGCATCAACCAAGTCAGCGAGCCTGACAACCCAATCCCGTTAGTCGTCTTTTCTGACATGCATTGGTTGCTGAAGGCCTATGCTACCCCAGATCTTCACAGGTCTCAAATTAAGGAATCATATATTCGATCAACACAGGAAATGACTAGATATATGTCACAATACAATATATATCTTGAAAGCAAGATCATGAGGCAATACACAATACAATACCAGAAAACTCATGAAAGGGAATGGACTAAAAACATCCAAAACATAGTTTGTGAACAGGAGTAAATGAAGCTTGGAGAACATGCTGTGATAAAAGTATTGTCCACAAAGTAGTGCTACCCATTGATATTTAGTAATTATTACAGCAATGCTGAGATCCTAGATGTCAAGCCTTGCTCTCATTTAGCTACCAAAAGGTAACTACAGACTTGTATTTCACCTGATTTCTTCTCGCAGGCTGTTTATTTTGTCTGGAGATGCAAGGTCTGTCTTGTTTACTAGGATCACGTCTGCCAGGGCTATCTGTCTGAAACAACCAATCAGTACCAGCCTACTATGTGGTTACTATGGAAACTGTTACAAAACATGATTGTGATTAGCTCTAATTCTCATACTTCAAAGCACTACACTGCATACTGAATGATAATTATTATGAAATTTGATATACCGGATACGAAGTAAGAAGCGCCTAGGGTGCTCTCAAAATTAGAAATAGGGGGCTCTTATTAGAATGTTATTTTGGTGAAAAAACAGAGGTGAAAGATCGTAAATTTCATGGTTTATGCTGACAGCCTGAAATGTTTTTATACAACAAATATATTTTTACAGAATTTAATTGCCCATAATTAACATGATTAAGGGTGTATAAAAATATGAGTGCGTATTATACACAAATAAATACGTCTTGTGTACATTGCTCAATCGGAAGGGGTGCTAATTGGGATTGTTTGTTCACTAGCCAATATATTAGCAAATATCACCGTGGGCGCTTATTAGAGTGGGGCGCTTATTACGCCGATTACGGTATGTGTACAAAAAGAATTCCAGCGACAATAGCACAGGAGAGTAGGTGAATGGGTGAATCTGCAATCTTAACTACTGAGAACCTATCCATCACTGAAACACAGGTAGAAATAGTGCCACTGCACTGTAGCTCACCTGGATATGTAATCAACAGTTAGAAATGTCAGCAAAGAGAGCCACATACCAAAAGCTGCTCTCAGTATTGCTATTCAAATATTTCTGTATAAACACTGGAAACGAAAAAACTACCATCTAATTTTTTTTACAAAATATGTGAAACAGTTCAGCTCCCTCATTCTGGAAGTTTAAGCATGTTCTGGGAAGAAGAAGTTTACAGAGCCAAATATGCATTAAAGACAAATTGAAGGGCATTATCAAAATAAGGTCATAATGTTGTATCCCACCACTAACTAAAGACATACGAAATTTCATCACATTTTGTACAACAAAGGCAGTGTAAAAACCATAAATATCTTTTCCAATTGCGATGACTTTAAGGCCAGGTGAGCTAATAAAAATGTGAACAGTGACTGCTTGTAATGAGCCTGTTTTCCCCCAGCAGCACATGGGTGTCGGGCAGGAGGAAATCTTAATGTGAAGCTAAACCTCCTAGTGTATAACAGACAGTGTGGGTTGTATACTCCCCAGGGAGCTGAGAATAGAAAGCATACTGATCCATAGGCTGGGGTAATACCAGCAATAGTGTGGAGTCCTGTACTCCATAAATTGTTTTTATCCTAATATCTTGGACTAATTTTTATTTCTAATTTCTACCTTTGCGCTTCATTAATGGTCCCATCTTCCTTCTGTTCCCCGAGTTGCTGGAAAAATGTTGAACAAAAACATAATCAGTCAGAACCTTAACTAGTTACAGAAATGATTCACATCATCACGCATGCATCTGTGTGCTCTGTCTAAAACTCCTCCAGGGACCACCACGCAGCCCATACACTTAATTTCCAAGTCAAGTAGACATTCATGTTCCGGAATGCAAAGGATGCTTCTCGCAAGCTACCAGTAACTGGACCAAGTTAGCAATATCATTTCATTTATTGTTTGCATCTCAGCCATAGTCTTGGCCGGGATGATACACCAACTGTGCGCTCCAATACGTATCATGATACTTTGCTCACGATCAAGTTGTATCACCATACTTGTAAATGCTCTTATCCATTAAGCCAATTTTTCATAAAGAGGATGGACAAATACCTGGCACACTGATGATTTACAGTTGGCAGTGTCAAGTATGGTGCAATGGATGAAAATATTTATGTTTTCTACTCATTTTCACTCGTAATTAGTGTTCGGTGTAACATTTATTAAAGAATACATTTAAAGTAAGAATAGATACTGTTTACTTAGTGTGTGACTGTGATCGATACTTGTACTGAGATGTAAAACATTGTGATCCACCGATGCATCGGTGTAACATGCCACTTTTACATAGTAAGTGACTGAATGACCAATACACGATACACGATACACGATACACAATACACGATACACGATACATGATACATGATACATGATACATAATACACAATACACAATACACGATACGTGCTAAACAAGCATTCAAGTCACAGCGATGGACGACTGACCTACTAAGACAACAAGTCAGCTTTTTATCACATGGTTTTGGAAAAAAGATATGATAAAAAACATAAACCAAATAAAACGCAAACAATACAAGCTGACATACCTGATGACAGAACTTGGCATCCACCACCGTCAGTATACCTGGAAGAGTGTCGCAAGATGTCATACAACGCTGGATGCACAAAGCTGGATGCACAATACGGGCAAGATGGAGTGAGAATGACAGTGACAGATGGGGATTTTTACCCACTTTTTAGCTACATTTGGAGAATATCCAATGGACTACAAGGACTTACAGATTATCTGCCCCAGATGAATGAATGGTGTTAATCCTGAGACTTTGGCAAGTGATTCACAGCATTTCTTCATGCGGGACATATAATCCGTAGTTCCAAGGTTATTCTATATAATACACATAAGGAAGAGAATGTGTGGATGTCAACTTCTTTATTGTGAGGAACACGACGTTTCGGAGTATATATGCTTACTCCTCTATCAGGTGAAGGAGTAAGCATATTCTCTTCCTATATGTGCATCACTTCTAAATGCCTTTCAAAGGCTATATATTTTTAGGGGGCATGGGTGGCCCAGTCGTCTAAGGCGCCGCGATTCACTGTGCACAGTTGTGTCCCTTGGACACGCCAGAAACCTATGATTGTGGGTTCGAATCCCGGTTCAACCCGATTATGTTCCTAGGTTTGTCAGCACCATGCCCGTGCTCGTGGGTTTCACCGAAGTGGTAAACATCTGAGACCTGCATCATATCAGGTTTTCCTCCCACATTAAGCTGACACGATGCAACATAACTGGAATACTGTTAAAAGGGGCGTTAAACCCAAATCACGCATTCACTCACTGTATATTTTTATTCATTGACATTATTAAAGAAGATGAAGAAAAAGGATGACATGTCAACCCTACAGAGAAACTCCACTGAAGGCAGCCTCTTGTTCAGATGACGTAACGTAATCAATTTATGGCGTCATGAACAAGACATGAAGTCACATCAAATTTTCAAATTTAAGTAGCCATATTCAATCCTCATCTACTGACAGGTCAAAAATACACAGACCAGCGCAGACACAAGGTTCATACAGGTTGGGAAAGGCCTTGAAGTTTAAGGTCCCGCTTGAAACGCCTTGATTTTTAGTGTCAATCTTGAAAAGCCTTGAAAATCAACAAAATACCACAATTGAAAAGCCTTGAATTTGTACAAAATGGCAAAAAGTATTAAAATTCATGACAGACTTAATTTATTTAAATTATTTGTTGTAAAAATAAATCCTGTTGGAATTAAATATTGACAGACAAAGGCTAATAACCCCAACAAAAAAGCCTTGAAAATGACAGTTGAAAGCCTTGAAAAGCCTAGAAAAGGTGTTGAATTTTAGGCTTCCATATCTGTATGAACCTTGATACATTGTTTTCATACTAATTTAAAAATTGTTGAATTCATTTTCTAAACCCCTGCAATCGCTGAAACTGGAATTTGACAACACAATTTTGCCAAACACAAAGTAGAACAGAGATAAGGCACTGACCATCCAGGAACACGTCGCTGCAGAGCTCCTCGTCCAGCCAGAACATGGAGGCAATAGGACCTGTACAAGACATACATTGCTTTATAGTGATGCCCACAACAGTAATTAACACTGAGGAAGATAGAATGTGACTGTCTAGTAACCCCTGGGGGTCAGTGAGGATGTGACTGTGAAATGGCCCAAGGGTCAGTGGGGATGTGACTGTATAATGACCCAAGGGTCAGTGCAGATGTGACTGTGTAATGACCCAAGGTTCAGTGTGGATGTGACTGTGTAATGACACAAGGGTCAGTCGGGATGTGACTGTGTAATCAATCACACAAGGTTCAGTGTGGATGTGACTGTGTAATGACACAAGGGTCAGTGGGGATGTGACTGTGTACTGACCTAAGGGTCAGTGGGGATGTGACTGTGTAATGACCCAAGGGTCAGTGAGGATGTGACTGTGTAATGGCCCAAGGGTCAGTGCAGATGTGACTGTGTAATGACCCAAGGGTCAGTGTGGATGTGACTGTGTAATGACCAAAGGGTCAGTGAGGATGTGACTGTGTAATGGCCCAAGGGTCAGTGAGGATGTGACTGTGTAATGACACATGGGTCAGTGCAGATGTGACTGTGTAATGACCCAAGGGTCAGTGTGGATGTGACTGTGTAATGACCCAAGGTTCAGTGGAGATGTGACTATGTAATGACCTAAGGGTCAGTGCAGATGTGACTGTGTAATGACCTAAGGGTCAGTGAGGATGTGACTGTGTAATGACCCAAGGTTCAGTGTTGATGTGACTGTGTAATGACCTAAGGTTCAGTGGAGATGTGACTATGTAATGACCCAAGGGTCAGTGCAGATGTGACTGTGTAATGACCCAAGGTTCAGTGTGGATGTGACTGTGTAATGACACAAGGGTCAGTCGGGATGTGACTGTGTAATCAATCACACAAGGTTCAGTGTGGATGTGACTGTGTAATGACACAAGGGTCAGTGGGGATGTGACTGTGTACTGACACAAGGGTCAGTGTGGATGTGATTGTGTAATGACCCAAGGTTCAGTGTGGATGTGACTGTGTAATGACCTAAGGGTCAGTGAGGATGTGACTGTGTAATGGCCCAAGGGTCAGTGAGGATGTGACTGTGTAATGACAAGAAGGTTCAGTGGAGATGTGACTATGTAATGACCCAAGGGTCAGTGCAGATGTGACTGTGTAATGACCCAAGGTTCAGTGTGGATGTGACTGTGTAATGACACAAGGGTCAGTCGGGATGTGACTGTGTAATCAATCACACAAGGTTCAGTGTGGATGTGACTGTGTAATGACACAAGGGTCAGTGGGGATGTGACTGTGTACTGACCTAAGGGTCAGTGGGGATGTGACTGTGTAATGACCCAAGGTTCAGTGTGGATGTGACTGTGTAATGACACAAGGGTCAGTGAGGATGTGACTGTAATGACCCAAGGTTCAGTGTGGATGTGACTGTGTAATGACACAAGGGTCAGTGGGGATGTGGCTGTGTACTGGCCTAAGGGTCAGTGAGGATGTGACTGTGTAATGACACATGGGTCAGTGTGGATGTGACTGTGTAATGACCCAAGGGTCAGTGTGGATGTGACTGTGTAATGACCCAAGGTTCAGTGGAGATGTGACTATGTAATGACCTAAGGGTCAGTGAGGATGTGACTATGTAATGACCCAAGGGTCAGTGCAGATGTGACTGTGTAATGACCCAAGGTTCAGTGTGGATGTGACTGTGTAATGACACAAGGGTCAGTCGGGATGTGACTGTGTAATCAATCACACAAGGTTCAGTGTGGATGTGACTGTGTAATGACACAAGGGTCAGTGGGGATGTGACTGTGTACTGACACAAGGGTCAGTGTGGATGTGATTGTGTAATGACCCAAGGTTCAGTGTGGATGTGACTGTGTAATGACCTAAGGGTCAGTGAGGATGTGACTGTGTAATGACCAAAGGGTCAGTGAGGATGTGACTGTGTAATGGCCCAAGGGTCAGTGAGGATGTGACTGTGTAATGACACAAGGTTCAGTGGAGATGTGACTATGTAATGACCCAAGGGTCAGTGCAGATGTGACTGTGTAATGACCCAAGGTTCAGTGTGGATGTGACTGTGTAATGACACAAGGGTCAGTCGGGATGTGACTGTGTAATCAATCACACAAGGTTCAGTGTGGATGTGACTGTGTAATGACACAAGGGTCAGTGGGGATGTGACTGTGTACTGACCTAAGGGTCAGTGGGGATGTGACTGTGTAATGACCCAAGGTTCAGTGTGGATGTGACTGTGTTATGACACAAGGGTCAGTGAGGATGTGACTGTAATGACCCAAGGTTCAGTGTGGATGTGACTGTGTAATGACACAAGGGTCAGTGGGGATGTGGCTGTGTACTGGCCTAAGGGTCAGTGAGGATGTGACTGTGTAATGACACATGGGTCAGTGCAGATGTGACTGTGTAATGACCCAAGGGTCAGTGCAGATGTGACTGTGTAATGACCAAAGGGTCAGTGCAGATGTGACTGTGTAATGACCCAAGGGTCAGTGTGGATGTGACTGTGTAATGACCCAAGGTTCAGTGGAGATGTGACTATGTAATGACCCAAGGGTCAGTGCAGATGTGACTGTGTAATGACCAAAGGTTCAGTGTGGATGTGACTGTGTAATGACACAAGGGTCAGTCGGGATGTGACTGTGTAATCAATCACACAAGGTTCAGTGTGGATGTGACTGTGTAATGACCTAAGGGTCAGTGTGGATGTGACTGTGTAATGACCCAAGGTTCAGTGTGGATGTGACTGTGTAATGACACAAGGGTCAGTGTGGATGTGACTGTGTAATGACCCAAGGGTCAGTGCAGATGTGACTGTGTAATGACCCAAGGTTCAGTGTGGATGTGACTGTGTAATGACACAAGGGTCAGTCGGGATGTGACTGTGTAATCAATCACACAAGGTTCAGTGTGGATGTGACTGTGTAATGACACAAGGGTCAGTGGGGATGTGACTGTGTACTGACCTAAGGGTCAGTGGGGATGTGACTGTGTAATGACCCAAGGGTCAGTGAGGATGTGACTGTGTAATGGCCCAAGGGTCAGTGCAGATGTGACTGTGTAATGACCCAAGGGTCAGTGTGGATGTGACTGTGTAATGACCTAAGGGTCAGTGAGGATGTGACTGTGTAATGACCCAAGGTTCAGTGTTGATGTGACTGTGTAATGACCTAAGGTTCAGTGGAGATGTGACTATGTAATGACCCAAGGGTCAGTGCAGATGTGACTGTGTAATGACCCAAGGTTCAGTGTGGATGTGACTGTGTAATGACACAAGGGTCAGTCGGGATGTGACTGTGTAATCAATCACACAAGGTTCAGTGTGGATGTGACTGTGTAATGACACAAGGGTCAGTGGGGATGTGACTGTGTACTGACACAAGGGTCAGTGTGGATGTGATTGTGTAATGACCCAAGGTTCAGTGTGGATGTGACTGTGTAATGACCTAAGGGTCAGTGAGGATGTGACTGTGTAATGACCAAAGGGTCAGTGAGGATGTGACTGTGTAATGGCCCAAGGGTCAGTGAGGATGTGACTGTGTAATGACAAGAAGGTTCAGTGGAGATGTGACTATGTAATGACCCAAGGGTCAGTGCAGATGTGACTGTGTAATGACCCAAGGTTCAGTGTGGATGTGACTGTGTAATGACACAAGGGTCAGTCGGGATGTGACTGTGTAATCAATCACACAAGGTTCAGTGTGGATGTGACTGTGTAATGACACAAGGGTCAGTGGGGATGTGACTGTGTACTGACCTAAGGGTCAGTGGGGATGTGACTGTGTAATGACCCAAGGTTCAGTGTGGATGTGACTGTGTAATGACACAAGGGTCAGTGAGGATGTGACTGTAATGACCCAAGGTTCAGTGTGGATGTGACTGTGTAATGACACAAGGGTCAGTGGGGATGTGGCTGTGTACTGGCCTAAGGGTCAGTGAGGATGTGACTGTGTAATGACACATGGGTCAGTGCAGATGTGACTGTGTAATGACCCAAGGGTCAGTGTGGATGTGACTGTGTAATGACCCAAGGTTCAATGGAGATGTGACTATGTAATGACCTAAGGGTCAGTGCAGATGTGACTGTGTAATGACCTAAGGGTCAGTGAGGATGTGACTGTGTAATGACCCAAGGTTCAGTGTTGATGTGACTGTGTAATGACCTAAGGTTCAGTGGAGATGTGACTATGTAATGACCCAAGGGTCAGTGCAGATGTGACTGTGTAATGACCCAAGGTTCAGTGTGGATGTGACTGTGTAATGACACAAGGGTCAGTCGGGATGTGACTGTGTAATCAATCACACAAGGTTCAGTGTGGATGTGACTGTGTAATGACACAAGGGTCAGTGGGGATGTGACTGTGTACTGACACAAGGGTCAGTGTGGATGTGATTGTGTAATGACCCAAGGTTCAGTGTGGATGTGACTGTGTAATGACCTAAGGGTCAGTGAGGATGTGACTGTGTAATGACCAAAGGGTCAGTGAGGATGTGACTGTGTAATGGCCCAAGGGTCAGTGAGGATGTGACTGTGTAATGACACAAGGTTCAGTGGAGATGTGACTATGTAATGACCCAAGGGTCAGTGCAGATGTGACTGTGTAATGACCCAAGGTTCAGTGTGGATGTGACTGTGTAATGACACAAGGGTCAGTCGGGATGTGACTGTGTAATCAATCACACAAGGTTCAGTGTGGATGTGACTGTGTAATGACACAAGGGTCAGTGGGGATGTGACTGTGTACTGACCTAAGGGTCAGTGGGGATGTGACTGTGTAATGACCCAAGGTTCAGTGTGGATGTGACTGTGTAATGACACAAGGGTCAGTGAGGATGTGACTGTAATGACCCAAGGTTCAGTGTGGATGTGACTGTGTAATGACACAAGGGTCAGTGGGGATGTGGCTGTGTACTGGCCTAAGGGTCAGTGAGGATGTGACTGTGTAATGACACATGGGTCAGTGCAGATGTGACTGTGTAATGACCCAAGGGTCAGTGCAGATGTGACTGTGTAATGACCAAAGGGTCAGTGCAGATGTGACTGTGTAATGACCCAAGGGTCAGTGTGGATGTGACTGTGTAATGACCCAAGGTTCAGTGGAGATGTGACTATGTAATGACCCAAGGGTCAGTGCAGATGTGACTGTGTAATGACCAAAGGTTCAGTGTGGATGTGACTGTGTAATGACACAAGGGTCAGTCGGGATGTGACTGTGTAATCAATCACACAAGGTTCAGTGTGGATGTGACTGTGTAATGACCTAAGGGTCAGTGTGGATGTGACTGTGTACTGACCCAAGGTTCAGTGTGGATGTGACTGTGTAATGACCCAAGGGTCAGTGCAGATGTGACTGTGTAATGACCCAAGGTTCAGTGCAGATGTGACTGTGTAATGACCCAAGGTTCAGTGTGGATGTGACTGTGTAATGACACAAGGGTCAGTCGGGATGTGACTGTGTAATCAATCACACAAGGTTCAGTGTGGATGTGACTGTGTAATGACCTACGGGTCAGTGGGGATGTGACTGTGTACTGACCTAAGGGTCAGTGGGGATGTGACTGTGTAATGACCCAAGGTTCAGTGTGGATGTGACTGTGTAATGACCCAAGGGTCAGTGAGGATGTGACTGTAATGACCCAAGGTTCAGTGTGGATGTGACTGTAATGACCCAAGGTTCAGTGTGGATGTGGCTGTGTACTGGCCTAAGGGTCAGTGAGGATGTGACTGTGTAATGACACATGGGTCAGTGCAGATGTGACTGTGTAATGACCTAAGGGTCAGTGCAGATGTGACTGTGTAATGACCCAAGGTTCAGTGGAGATGTGACTATGTAATGACTTAAGGGTCAGTGCAGATGTGACTGTGTAATGACCTAAGGGTCAGTGCAGATGTGACTATGTAATGACCCAAGGGTCAGTGCAGATGTGACTGTGTAATGACCCAAGGTTCAGTGTGGATGTGACTGTGTAATGACACAAGGGTCAGTCGGGATGTGACTGTGTAATGGCCCAAGGGTCAGTGGAGATGCCACTCCCTGTGGTCGTCCTGAGTGGTCACCTGGGTCAGCTAGACCAGTGGTCTCCAGCAGAATGTAGTCAAACTTCCCTCTCTTGGTCATCAGGTTCTCAATGGCCTTCACCCCACTGTCCCTGGAGGAAACAAATGTACACAGGTAGACTCACTTCCCAAAATTCTCTTTTTTCATATTTTGTTATATATAGCTTGTTACCGAAAATATAAGAAAAAAATAATTTTGCCTAATATGTTAAAAAAAGACAATGTTATTTGGCCATGATACTGGTCCTAAAAAGTGTTCTTAAGCAACGGCTAAAATATTCTGTTTTTACAGCAGAGACCAAAATACCTGACAGAACAACATGACCAACTTACTTCAGAGAACAGGTGAAGTGAGGTGAAATGGGGTTTAAAAGTCACATCCAAGATTATTGCTATATGGCGACGTGCAAGCTTGTGTATGTGCGTCTGCTTGTACTAGTCAAGACTGATGCTAATTTTATAGTGCTAGCCCACTGAGATACCATGCAGCAGTTTTACATGAATACCCCACTCAGATACAGTATACTGACTCCGAGCCGACCAGTCCTTGCCAAGCGCCAGGCAGGGTAACAACAAGTACCATCTGTTAACGTCTTTTGGTATGATGAGGCCAGGGATCAAATCCCAGACCTTCCGTTATTCGTGCAAATGCTCTACCACTGGACCACGGAGGCGGTCAACACAACAACAGAAACCAACTTACATGACACAACAGCACAGGCCAACTTACATGACACAACAGCACAGACCATCTTACATGACACAACAGCACAGACCAACTTGCATGACACAACAGCACAGACCAACTTACTTGACACAACAGCACAGACCAACTTACATGACACAACAGCACAGACCAACTTACTTGACACAACAGCACAGGTCATCTTACATGACACAACAGCACAGACCATCTTACATGACACAACAGCACAGACCAACTTACATGACACAACAGCACAGACCAACTTACATGACACAACAGCACAGACCAACTTACAAGACACAACAGCACAGACCAACTTACATGACACAACAGCACAGACCAACTTACAAGACACAACAGCACAGACCAACATACATGACACAACAGCACAGACCAACTTACTTGACAGAACAGCACAGACAACCGTTCCTTAACTCCAGCCATTCTTCAAACAGCTCCCCCTGTTGGCCAACTGACATAGACTTCTCAATGGAATCTCCTGTAATGATTATAAGTAAAATAACAAAAATGACAATGATAATAAAAATGATAAAAATAATAAGGATAATAATAATAACAACAGACCACTTATGAAACAACTCATGTTCAAAAGACATGACATTTTTACAATGTATTGCCCCAGTGGATGCATCAGTGTGAATTAAAACTGCATTCTCAGCTTCCTGAGAAAGACTCAAGGTCTTGCACACGCACAATCGCATCAGTCTATCAGGCATAAGAGGTATCCAGAGGTGAATTCAAAACAGCAGCCATTTTCATCCAGTCATATGTCTAAAAAGACACAACCATATCCTTTATGACTGATGTTGTCAGAGTGATGTAGGACAGAAGCACTAGTACCGGTAATTGTGGTAACTGTCACTAGTCAGCAGCTGCAAGTCAGCAAGTTTTGATTCCCAGTTTCCAATGTACCTGTGCCTATTCTTATATATAGTGAGGGTCTCGGAACACAAGTTGTATCAAGGAGTGTGCTCATTAATTTTCTGGTGGTATAGAAATGCACACACAAAAAAGAAAAATATACATCATTCAATGAAAATGATTATAAAATATTAATTATGAGTATCAAAAACAAACAAATCATGTCACATATATAAGTATTAGAGTGAGAGAGTATGGTTTTATGCCGGTTCTAGCAATATTCGAGCAATATGACGGCTGGGGGACACCAGAAATGGGCTTCTTCACACATTGTACCCATGTCGGGAATTGAGCCCGGGTCTTCTGCGTGACGAGCGAACACTTTAACCACTAGGCTACCTGACCGCCCCCCTAAATATTAGATGTTTATAAACTTTTAACATTAGGTCTGTGACAAGGAGTGCTTGACTCTCATGAATATCTCCAAACACTGATCCCTACTCACCTTCCCCAAACTCATTCAGAATTACAGCAATCTTCTTCCCATGTTGTTCTGTAAGAACATAGTTGAGTAGAGTTGTCTTCCCTGCACCTGGAGACAAGTAGGTGTTACATTACAACACAGTCTACCACATTCCTGCTACATCACCACAGCCTGCACGTAGTCAAGTCTGGTGGTAGCGATCATCAACACAGTCTACCACATTCCTGCTACATCACCACAGCCTGCATGTAATCAAGTCTGGTGGTAGCGATCATCAACACAGTCTACCACATTCCTGCTACATCACCACAGCCTGCACGTAGTCAAGTCTGGTGGTAGCGATCATCAACACAGTCTACCACATTCCAACTACATCACCACAGCCTGCACGTAGTCAAGTCTGGTGGTAGCGATCATCAACACAGTCTACCACATTCCAACTACATCACCACAGCCTGCACGTAGTCAAGTCTGGTGGTAGCGATCATCAACACAGTCTACCACATTCCTGCTACATCACCACAGCCTGCATGTAATCAAGTCTGGTGGTAGCGATCATCAACACAGTCTACCACATTCCTACTACATCACCACAGCCTGCATGTAATCAAGTCTGGTGGAAGCGATCATCAACACAGTCTACCACATTCCTGCTACATCACCACAGCCTGCATGTAATCAAGTCTGGTGGTAGCGATCATCAACACAGTCTACCACATTCCAACTACATCACCACAGCCTGCACGGAGTCAAGTCTGGTGGTAGCGATCATCAACACAGTCTACCACATTCCTGCTACATCACCACAGCCTGCACGTAGTCAAGTCTGGTGGTAGCAATCATCAACACAGTCTACCACATTCCAACTACATCACCACATCCTGCACGTAGTCAAGTCTGGTGGTAGCGATCATCAACACAGTCTACCACATTCCTGCTACATCACCACAGCCTGCATGTAGTCAAGTCTGGTGGCAGCGATCATCAACACAGTCTACCACATTCCTGCTACATCACCACAGCCTGCATGTAGTCAAGTCTGGTGGTAGAGATCATCAACACAGTCTACCACATTCCTGCTACATCACCACAGCCTGCATGTAATCAAGTCTGGTGGTAGCGATCATCAGCGATGGACAACACGGTGGCAGGTGCATCATCATCAACCAGGGCACACATTTTGACCGTCTAATCCCCTTTTGAGTTGGCTCTCAAGCATGGGGTGCTTGAATACCGACAGGGTGCAAACAAACAGGTCTTGGGCATGTAGGGGTCATGGTGCTGGTTGACATAAGCATCACCATGGCAACCTGTAAACAGCTGGTTAAGCAATCAAGGTTGGTATGATCAATACACAGCAGGGTAAACAAGTCAACGACACTTTGAGGATAGTGGTCACTGTTCAAATATCCTATATGCCCTGTATACGTAGCAGCCATAGTGACCACCAATCTCCATGTGGCTCTGGGCCCTGTTCCTCAAAGCGATCTTAGCGCTACGATGATCGTAAGCCTATGTTAAAGTATGGGACTTACAATCACCTTAGCACTAAGATCACTTTGAGGAACGGGACCCAGGATGCTTAATATTCTGCAACAAAAATCCCCATAGTGTATGTGTAATGTTTTCTGTTTGCTGTTTAATGCCTCAGCATTATTCCAGCTATATCAAGGCAGCCTGTAATTAAACGAGACTGGACCAGACAATCCAGTGATTGCTATTGTGAGCAACAATCAACGTTGACAGGATACAATGACATACTGATCCAGCATAGGTTACCATGGTTACAGGGGACCAATCCTAACCTGGAATACACACAGCCACGCATCATGAATAGCAGCTGACAACCAGAGCTGGACACAATGCAGACAAGAAAGCTGTGCACTATGTCTTAAAAGGGCTATCTGCATGAAACTAGTTGACGCTATTTATGACTTACGTAGCTATATGGCTGAAATAATGCTGATGCGACATTTAATTTTAACTCACTTATGAGTTACAGCTGAAAAATATAGTAATAGTATTTTCACTGATAGATTGTAAAAAACACTTTACTTCATAACCAATGCCAATCTCATTAAAATCAGATCTTAGTTCTCGCTACCACTAAACAAAGATCTGAGGACATCCCATTAGGGGTCAGAACGACCTTTCATCCGACCAATCAGAGCGTCGCTTACCAGATCATGAAAGTGACAGTCGGAATGTGATTTCTTATCATGCAGCCTCGAAAACTTTAAAGCGGGGTGTTGCGAACAATAGTTATGGGCTTAACGACTGAATCTATGCAATCTAGACCATATATTAGCCATTCGAGAATGTTCTTTTGTTCAGATTTCAAATTTTTAAGCGAGAACTTGTCAAAATATGTTTCGAAGCGTAGTCGCCAATTTGAAATTAGAGCACGAGAAAGCTGCTTTCTGATTTGCTAATGTCGACTTCTTGTCAGTAATTCCATTGGTCGGTCAGAGATCTTGAAAGGTCGATCTGACGTGACCCATAATGGGATGTCCTCAGATCTTTGTTTAGCGGCAGCGAGAACTAAGATCTGATTTTAATGAGATTGTAACCAATGCTAGATGATGAAATCCAAACCAGCGCTACATCAGTTCTGCCTAATCTTACCTAGAAATCCTGTTATGATTGTGATGGGAACCTTTTTTGCTTCTGACGGAACAAGGTCAGGAATTTCTTCATCATCAGACATTGTCTTCAGTTCTTATTCCACTCAGTGACTATGTCATGCAGGTATGACTCTCGCTATCTGTCAGGGCTTTCAACACATTCTACGTCAAGCTGGAAAACAGGAAATATAGATCCGAGGGGAACAAGTCAAAATGGCTACATGAAAAAGTATAAAGACATGTATCAAGCAGAGTGTTAACTTCTATTTGTTTTCTCTATCTATTTCGGTAATACAAAGGATTACAATACACTTTGATCATCAGTGAAACCTGTCTATGTGTTGTGTTCACTAATCAAGCTGGTAATAAGCTTTTGTAATACATACTTTGAGTTTGATACAGTGCTGACCAGACTGTCTGGATTGACTTAAAGGGGTCCTTGTTGCCACGTACTACAGAAATGTACCCCAGGTAGTTTTTGTTACAGAAATGTACCTAAGCCAAAATCAGAATACAGAAAGCTACCCTAGGATGAGTCCATTCCACCGCAGGATGTATTGCACAACGCACCTAACGATTACCTATGCATATATCTTGGGTGCCAAACCCTGGTAAAATTCAACATGGCAGTACGCATTACATAATGGAACAATCATGCTGTTGTATGAGATGCATGCCAGCGTGCAGTATTAAAAAACTAGCATACACAGTGACGTACATAAATATTCCGCGATACACAGCATTATCCAGCACGGAGTCGTATTCAGGCAAAAAAGTGCAACATGAACCGGTTTCGGTTTGAGGAAAGTGGACTCATGCATCGTTAAGAGTACTGGGTACGTTTCTGTATTCTGATTTGTCTGTATACAGAAATGTACCTGGGGTATCTACCGACAACGACCCTTTCAGCTTGACTCAGTGTCATAGTGATGGGTCTAATAAACAAGGGGTGAAGTCGATCACTTACAATAGTTGCCTATCACCATGCCTTGTAAGTGTGTAAATTGTAGCAAAACTGTCCATAAGAATCAGCATGTTTATTTTTACATTTCTAATATGGCCCTTTTTGATTTTCCAGTATGACCATTTTGACTTTTTCATATGGCCATTTTAACCAGAGGTCTACAGATATTATCATAGGCATTTATAATAGTCCCTTGAAATAGATATACCTGTAGATATTATCATTGGTATTTATTCTTCGAACATCCACAGAAACATGCCAAATGCATCTTGGGCAAGCGACATCATGTTGATCGAAAACCGAACGTGCAGCCTTAATTTTGCTGCTGCATGGTGCAAAGTTTAACAAGTGATATTTGTCTCATGAATACATAGGCTTGAATTCTTACACTAGGCTGTTCTCGTACTATGTGTCATCTTTAATTAATTATTTGTAGTGCACAAGGCAGAGACGGGGAAGATATATCATACTCACGATGTTTATCTAAGGGAAGTAACTCTGATTTATTACCCATACTCAAATACCACAAAACAAATACCCAGAGAAAACGAACGTTTTCTAGTACGTTCAAATAAAAATATAAATCGGTTATAGTAATTGGAATTGATTGTTACATTATTTTGTATGAATATGGTGCACACATAATTCGATATTTATAATCAAAATATTTATTACCAGTTATTACTCACCAAAGTGGTAAACGTCTGAGACCTGCATCACTTCGGGCTTTCATCCCACATCAAACTGACACGCCGGGGTATAGCTGGAATGATGTTCAAAGCGTCGTTAAACCCAACTCACTCACTCAATCAGCAAATGCTTAGTCAATTGACGTCCAGATTTGCTATTACATAAGAATTACATGTTATGGGCGGTATGTCGTATTTGAATTTTATTTGTTTAATGTGGAAGGTGAGTTTCTTTAATTTGTACTTGAAAACAAACTTCACCCACTATACAGGGCGCCGCAATTCGCAGGGAGGAGATACGTCCTTTAAGCATGCCAGAAACTATACTCAACAACAAAAGTTCCCGTGACACCAATATTTTAGTGTATTTTTCAAACAAGTAATGTTTGGTTTTCAATATTGTAATACATGTATGGAATCAAGTCACAAAGGCGCAAATGCTACAGAAAAGCATGCATGCCATGCAAAAGTTGACTCTTATGCAAGCCCCATGCATTTCACTACCAAAGAATGGGTATAAAAACATGTGCGTTAACGGGATTCCATATGCATTATTTAGCATCGTGCTGACAACAACCACTCAGAAAATACAACAAAATTACGCAATTATTTAACATTACGAAATGCCACGCCTGTCCGAAAATGAGCGTCTGCGAGCCATTGGTATGCTTGAAGCAGGATCGAGTCAACGTGATGTTGCAAGACAATTTAACGTCCACAGAAACACCATTTGGTGTTGATGGCAACGTTGGCAACAGACGAATGCAGTCAGAGGCCATCCTCGGAGTGGCAGGCCACGCGTAACCAATAATCGACAAGACAACTGGATTCGAACAACATACCTACGAAAACGATTCCAGCCAGCAACAGTGACTGCAAGAAGCATACCTGGCTTTCGACGAATATCTTCAAAAACCGTATGTCGTCGCCTCAGATGTGCAGGGATTGTCGCCAGAAGACCCGCCAGACGTCCCATTTTGACAGGAAACCACCGCCAAGCACGTCTACATTGGTGCAGACAGCGTCTAACGCTGGACGGCCATGCAGTGGGGACAAGTTCTATTCACTGACGAGTCTCGTTTTCACCTCAGCCACAGCGATGGACGGATTCGAGTTTACCGACGTCGAGGTGAACGTTACGTCAATCATTGTGTCATGGAAGAAGATCGGTTCGGGGGCGGCAGTGTTATGGTATGGGTAGGGATTACAGCAAGAAAGAGGACACGTTTGATAGTTGTAGAGGTAAATCTCAATGGACAGCGCTACCGCGACGTGATCATCGGCCCTGTTGTTCTACCGTTTTTGCGTCGTCATGGCCCAGGCATTACATTTCAACATGACAACGCCCGGCCTCTTATTGCTCGATTTGTTCAGAATTCTCTTCAACAAAACAACGTGAATGTCATCCCCTGGCCGGCTCGCTCCCCTGATCTGTCACCAAACGATTGGGATATGATGGATCGGCGCCTTCGACGTCAACCACGTGTTCCACAGACACTCCTGGAACTTCGAAACATGCTCCAGCAGATATGGACATAAATCCCACAGGACTTTGTGCGACGCCTGGTCCATTCCATGAGACGAAGATGTGTTGCTTGCATCGCAACCAGAGGTGGACACACACGCTATTGATTTGTTAACTGACATTTTGGAATGTTCATGGTTTTTTTTATGAAATCATGCATTTTCTGAAGTCAGTGTGGCAAATTAAACCATTTGAACACTTACATGAGTCTTTTATCTGTTGCAAACCGAATTTGTTTCAGATTTGGTGAAAAACATAACTTTGCATTAAATCTTATTCACTGCCACTGGAACTTTTCAGTATAATATCATGGGTTCAAATCCCGGTTGGCCCCGATTATGTTTCACCATTTGTTGTTTAACCAAAGCGTTAAACGTCCAAGACCTGATTCACTCCGGCATTTCCTGCCACAGTACACACGCCGTGTTATAACTGAAATGATGTTCAGAGAGGCGTTAAGCCAAATTCATTAAATAAGTGTGTTATTTTGAACTATATTATCTCGATTTCTTGTGTAACGTGTAGAGCTGGTGACGATTCCTTCTGTTGACAAAGGAGAAATCCTTCCTGGTAGATATGTCGGCAGTCTGTAAATAATAGAGTCTGGACCAGACAATCCAGTGATTGACACCATGAGTATCGATCAACGCCATTGGGATACGATGCATAAACGAAGGTAGCGAGCCTGACCACCCGATCCCGTTAGTCGCCTCGTACGACAAGCATAGTCGCCTGTTACGACAAGCATGGGTTGCTGACGAACTATTCTAACCCGGATCATCACGGATTGGTGTATCAAATACTTACTAACATTAAAAAAAATATAAAAAATAGATAAAATACTTACAAACACCGACTGACACAGATGCACTTATTTCACTATTGTCAATTGCGGATGCACTATTTTAGGTAGATCAGATTAATCATAATTCTATATTATGTGGAATAAAAAATGGTTTTCATTTTTTTTTTTACATCTCTGCATTCAAGTTTGGACCACTGCACCTAACAACAGCAACTATCACACATATACAATGTACATTCGGCCCAACCATACCTGGTATTTACCACTGTAGCAGACCCGGATCACATAGAGGTAAAGAGACACAAACATGTTCATAGTGTTAAAACCGATGTATTTCAAAAGGCAAGCCATCTATGTACAGCACAGAACACACGTGGGCATCTCCCGTTGAAATCTCTTCAACGTGGCTACATTCAGTTTTCGCCTCGCTTGCTCTTCGTGGCCAAGATGAGGCTGAAGAGATCATGCTCGCCATCACTGGCTAAAACAGAAGAGCAGGTTTATTTCATATTATATTGGCAGTCATTGGACCAACTCATCACGTGGGTCTTGATGTCTACTATTCTGCATAAGAAATCCAGATATGGTGTGTGTCATGTGTTTTGTTTGTCTGTTTGTTGTTTGATACCGCGCTCAGCAATGTTCCAGCTATATGACGACAGCCTGTAAATAATGGAGTCTGGACAGACAATCTAATGGCAGATATAATGAGCAAAGATCGTCCGCCGTCGGGGTACGATGACACGCTATCAACCAAGTCTCCGAGCCAAGCCACCCGATCCACTAAGTCGTCTCTGCCAACTAGCACAGGTAACTGGAGACCTATTTTAACCCAAATCCCCATGCGAAGCGCTTGCGAAATTGTTTTCAAATGGCCATGTTGCAATGAACAACCTGGGGATGCCGAGGGGAGACGGACAAGATCCCCAATAGTCTTTGTTTGTCATAAGAGCCGGGGGTCATGGGTGGCCCAGGCGTCTAAGCCTAAGGCACCGCGATTCGCTGTATAGAACTGCGTCCCTTGGACACGCCAGAAACCTACGATCCTGGGTTCGAATCCCGGTTCGCCCCGATTATGTTTGTAGGTTTGTCAGCACCATACCCGTGCTCGTGGGTTTCACCAAAGTGGTAAACATCTGAGACCTGCATCGCTTCAGGCGTTCCTCCCACATTAAGCTGACACGCCGCGACACGGCGTTAAACCCAACTCACTCACTCATAAGAGCTGACTAAGTGGGGAGCGGGTGGGGAGGATCTGTTAATTTGCTGATTGTATGTCATCGCTGCTTATACGTTAAGTCACTGGTTTGCCTGGTACAATCCATTATTTTACAGACCGTAGTAAATATATAATAGCTGGGGTTGTACGGATTGCGGTGCAAAACTATATTCATTCATTCATGCGCCAAAGGGACAGATACTCAAACATTCGTAAAATCACTACATGTATGCTTCTGAGTTGGGGAAAAGAAATTAAATGAAGCTGACATACAATCACAACGAACACGTTATTCCGATGAGATATGTTTGTAACTGCAATTTCCCATAGTGAAGTAGTTATAAACAAGAGTAAGTTTAAATTATATGTCGCACCGGCAATACATCAACCACGTAGCGGCGAATATGTTATAATGTGAATAATAATCTTTATTCTGATATACTTTTAGATATAAGAAACAATAAATTTCATTTTATATTTTTTCAGGTCTTTACACATATTCACAATTGTTTTCAATTATATTTTCAATGTGTTCTTTGTTTGCGTGCGTGTGTTTGCAAGATGTTACTTTAATTATTTTCATTCTCATCTTAAATTCCCTTTGGAATGTTATATCGGTGCGTAGTTTTGATTTGTGTATGTGCATTGTTTTCTTTCCGAGTTTGTTTTGATTAAACGGAGTATTTTTATTTTGTGTTTTGTAAATGGCGGTGCTGGTGTACCTGTGGAGACGGGGGCGGAGGGGGAAGGGGAATCGGACAGCGACACTTCAACCATGCCCGTGTCAGTGTCCACTGCTACAGCGGCCAGCTCGTCCATTTCATCTTCATCCCTGAATGCCTGCAATCGCGCACAACATCCCATTATCTGTGACCCCCACCGGATCAGCGAATACAACACGATTCTTTAGTATAAAATAAAAAATGACCTATCAGTGATACCCTGTTAAAGGTGCGGCTATTCTCATTTCAATCTTAAAATTCATTTCTGAAATAGTTAAAACGAGACGGGTCTTGAGACGAAAACATCTGTTAAAGACAAATAATATTGAACAATTGGTCTTTAAACACTTTTTAAAAAATATATATATAAAATAGTTGGTAGTGAATATCAATATGGTGCTATGTCAAGCTATGTAACCCTATGTAATCAAATGACTGGCAAAACATATCTTTGTTGACGTTCTCTTAAATTGTGGAATGATTATAGTGATTTTTGTAATGTAATACATAAACGTTGATATTTCATCACTTGATGAGATATTACCTGTTATGTTAAAAGGAAAAGAAAAAACAGCATTTCAGTTTTTAAAATGATCGCGTACTTTTAGAAAAAAAGACTTTCCCAGTCTCTTCACCGCTGACTACTACATCAGGGGCAATGTACATTATACTGTTTTGTGATCTTAAAAAAAACTAAAACTGACTCGTATAAGTAATTTAAAGTCAGGGTATTAATTAAAACATCAAGCATCACAACAATGGTTTACAGATTAAATATATCATTTGCATTTTTTAGGACTGAATGTATCTTAAATATATGTTCAGTCTTATAGTGTCTTTAGTGCAAGTTTAATCCTTAATCTCATTGCAAATATCTAAATAGTGAAGGTATGAATAGTGGAAACATATCTAGTGTAACTATCTAATAATCTACACAGGGGATTAGCTGACAGAGTCAACTGTTAGTCACAAATGTGCTGTACCTGACTTTCTTCGTGGGTGGCCGAGTTCTGCTGGTATGAAGTCATCCCGCAGGTCAACAGCTGAGAAACACCAAACACGCAATATTTTACTCTCGTGTTCAGAACAATTTAGGGATTCATTCAGAATGCACTTTATATCTGTCTGGATTACTCATTTGAATTTTAGTTCAGTTTTAGTTTAGTTTTGGATCACTTCTGGCTTTATGTTAGAGGCATGTTTTACACATTTAGGTATGATTCATAATGCAAGCTGACATTCACTTCTGTGTGTATTACATTGCCTTACCCATTTGATGTACTGAAACGTGGACGGCTTGTCTGTTGATAGTGGCTGTTGAATCATCTTGAGCTGTAGGTTTGCTTAGACACCTCCTTCTCCGGCCAAGCAGCGAGACAATGACGTGACGTCACAGGAAGGCTGAACACATCATAACTGTATGACGTCATGTCACAACACGAGCATCTGCAAGTGAGGTAGGTAGGTGGACGAATAATTAAATTGCAAGTGTGATTCCATGGCATTTGGGTGTTTGTGGCAACCAAAGGACGGGACTTGTCATCATCCGTGGCTACCTCAACGACCAGATCTACTGAGATGACGTTCTTCAACCCGTGGTGTTACCATTCTTTCGCTAACAGCAACAGAGATCACTTACAGCACGACAACCCTAGGTCCCGCAATGCAAAGGTCGTCCAAGATTTCATGACGTATTGTGTACGTTGAAATTTAGACCCCAATGTTGAACCATCATGTGCATGTCCCCTGTAGTGAGATACTCTTTGATAAGATGCATGTAATATCGCATGTGGTACCTGTATCAAATACATCACCATCGAATAACCATTTCTTCGTGTTGCATTTTTCATCAAACAAAGGTGTATACTTTCTATTCCCCGGCATGTACATTGCTATGTAATATGTGTTGAACACGTAAATTGCAGTATAACATGACGGACAGAACACATACAAAGCTGTATTGTGAGTTCAGAGAATAGCATATGTAACACTGAGTTGACAGGCTATGAACTGTAACACGTCATAGTGTACGTTCCCTGTATAAATCCCATCCCTGTTCTGGCGCGGGGACTAATCTGTTCAAGATAAACACTTGAGCCGAGTAGGCAGTGTGTCGATGTCAGGAGCTTGTTTACACCCGTAACAACATGAGGGCCTAATTAATCCCGATACTGATGTTATCAAGTGACACGAGGCTTCCAGGGTAAGTATTTGTGTAGATATTCCTGACCCTCCATTTAGTCCCCCACTTACCCCTGTGTGTGTTGTACCAAACAACATTCCACCCCATCGACACAGGGACACATTCGTGGAGAAATGGAAATGTTATGAATACAGCAAAGCTTAACTCCCCGTTGTTTATATTTTTATGATTTATGTTAACTACTTTTTTTTGTGGTTTGTTTTGTATTCCTTATCGTTGTTGTTTATATAATTCCTATTGGTATCATTATTATCATAACCATTGTTATGCCCTGACGTAGAACAACATTGCTCATTTATATAGAGAAGTATCAAAATGACGTACACCTATAACATTATATCTGCTAGGGACCACCCAACTTTGTTTCATTTAGACCGCCTCCCTGGTCTAGTGGTAGAGCGTCAGCCTGGAGTGGGTTCGATACCCGGCCGCGTCATACCAAAAGCAATAACAGATCGTACTTGTTGTTACCTAGACTAACATTTAGTCTCTGAAATTTTATATTACACAAGATCCTTCTTGACTCTAAAAAAAATTCCCTAAACAATTCCCTATGCTGATTTCAGAATGTGGAATAGAGCTAGCTTGAGCTGGCTAGACTTGCTTTTGTATGCATTTCTAGATTATGTTTTTTCATAAAAAAAATATATTCCACGGTCATGGTGCAGGACTAGTTGTTACCCTGTCTGGCGCTCGACACTGAGGAGCTAAAACAAGGCAGGTCGGTTCGGAGTCAGTATACTGTGTCTGAGTAACGTATTCATGTTAAACCGCGGCAATGGTATCTCAGTGAGCTAGCACTATAAATCGGCATCAGTCCAGACTAGTACAAGCAGCCACACACACACACACACTCACACACTCACACATACACACACACGTGTGCATGCACGTCGCTATATAAGTGCAATAATCTTGGACGCGACGTTAAACACCTCACCTCACCTTGTTTCAGTTTAAACATATTTCCTTTTAAGTTTTAGCAACGCAATACATCTTGAATCGTGGATTCTCGTGACGGAATTATTTCCCATGACTGACTGAAGTTGTGTCTGTTCGAATCCAAGTTTAAGCAATTCTTCTATTACTTTTTTTTAACTTAGATTTGCCTGGGTCAGGCTCGACCCTGGATAGTTCCCTAACGCCAAATGTTGGACCTTCTCGCATATTACGATACACAACGGTGTCTGGTTATATTGGTTGTGTGACACCGCCAGCCCCTTTCAAACATAGCCCCACTATACACATCGGTATCCAGGTAAATAGTATTTGAAATACACGCCGGAAATCAGCTACAGGTGTAAATGTGAAGTTAGGCCTTACCCCAGCCAACATGACTAATTGACTTCACATTCATCATTTTAATCTCAGATGTCAGCGTCTCTGGTTGTAATTATAAACAATTCCAGAACAAACACGGCGGAGAACTGTTCGTCTTATCGGGGTGACCGAGTGCTGAATAATACCGTTAACTAACACATCGAACACCTGCATATCTTTCATTGAACGCGATCCGGAGTCTTGTAGCATATAATCAATGCATCACATAGACAAGAGATCAGAACGGAATTCATCGGCAGACCCCACGACACCCCACATTCCCACCCCAGCGCTACACGCCCTCCCCCGTAACCACTGTATTGTCGCTGTGTGCATGCATGCATACTTCATTCACAAACCAAGATTATGACGTCACGGCAACACAGCAAGTACTAAATCAGCTGATCAGTAGTCAAGCTACAGTATATGAAGCACAGGTGAGCGAGTGAATGTTGTTTACGAGACCATCACGGCTGGCTGTAAAATATCGAGCCTGAGCAATCGGGCTACTTGGTCTAAATTTTCGAAGCGATCTTAAGATTAAACTTACCAACTTACGCTCAAAGATAAGATAACTATAATTTATGATAATCTTATCCCTAAGACCGTTTCGAAAACCTAGGTTCTTGGACCTTTCATAAAGCGAGCTTAGCGTTACTATTGTCGCAAATCTATGTTAAAGAATGGGAGGTACGATGATCTTAGCACTAAGATCGCTTTATGGAACGGGTTGATAAAGTCAGTAACAGTCCAGGTCGTCAGGGACGATGACGCGACAGCCAGAAAGCACAGTATGCTATGTCGGGGACCTGTCGGACCTGGAATCAACACGGAGATATAAATAGCGTTACAGAATTGAAAATGTATGTTTGTAAGGATTTCTAGGCAATTCTGGACCCCATCCTTGTCCGAAGAGTTGACTGAAATGTGGTCACAATGTGCTAACTGGCTTCTTACACTTGACGTCGTGGCTCGTTGTTCATGCAATCAACCATTGGTTTGTCTGGTCTAGACACAATAAATTACAGGCCACGCACATACAGCTTAACATTGTCATCTGTAATGTAAAGTTAACATTCAAGCTCGATGTTAAAACATCAACATTACCAAAAGTATAACAAAACACAACCAGCCTATATAAACAGGAGAAAACCAATTTGCTGTCATCATCGTTTAACTGCTAATAAATGACGATATAGAATATCATAAAAGAACCATCATGAACTAATAATGCCTTAATGGCACCCACAAAGACTTCTAAGCAGCCACCAGGGCCTCCCCGAGTGCAAATATTCCAGTGGGAGTACGCCTTTAATTATCGAACCGGTACAATAGCGCTTTCAGCGAGTGCTGATAACAGAGAGCGGCCTATCACAGCGCCTTGTCGCAGCCCAACAGTCGGGAAATATTATAAATGTCTTCATAAGAGCCGGGCAACTACCCCACAGTCGAGTTCCACCTGAGATTGTGTTACCAAGGACGCATTACTTCTCAAAACAATCAAAAAACAAACTGGTGAAATCAAACGCTACCATTGTTTACCGCCGTGTTGATAGTTAGTAGATTGGTTCGCTTGGAGAGGTGAGTTCAGTTTGTTACTCTAAACGGAAAAGATTTTCTTCTTTTTAAGTAATGTGATACTTGAATAATTATTCTCTATAATGTGTTCTTATATACTGTATTATTGTGTTCCCAATAGTTACAAAATGTAATGTTCATTTTCACTTAAGTGCTGTTTTTGGTCGTTATCAGTTAACACTTTGATTGAAATCTCGATCATTGTGTATTAATCACGGAACCATGTTTTCCCAATTATCATTTCAGTCAAATATCGCATATCATATTTGTCTCAGTGTGGTTTTTATTTTATTTGTGGTGATAATATTTTGCAGATCATTGAAAGTGTTGATTTTCAGTCTCAATGCCGATAACATACATATATATGATATATTTCTACTTTAACTTTCTTGCCTTCCCTTATCTATGTCAGGATCCGCTGATCGGGACTTCGAGTCCCAGATTCTCCCCGAGAATAAACATTGGTTTGTCAGCACTATATTTAGTTTTAACATTCTATGACCTGCATCAGGGCTTTCTTCCCAAACTAAGATCATGCGCCGTGATATTTCTGAAATACTTTTTTATAGCGGCGTTAAACACAACTCACCCATTTACATAAACGCTCCAGTTCCCCACTAAGGTGAAATGAATTCCAATGTATTTAGTAATGTTCTAATGTAAAGGAAAATCTTTGGAGTTGTATTGTTCATTAAGTGGTCTAATTATGCCAGGGAATTATAGGTGTGAAGCCATAATATCCCCACGTAGGCCATTCTCCGCAGAATAATATATACTTAAGAATGTCGGCGTTATTCATCACTGTAAGCTTTTCCCCAACCTATCGCTGTTTTCCCATTGTAACTATTTTTTGCCGACTCGGTTGTTCTTTATCGTTCATTTTGTACAGATGCAGAGATTACTGCCATGCCTACCCTTAATATATTTGTATAGCTCGATGCAATCAGGTGTGTCGACACAACGTCAAGCCCTAGACCAGTTGTGTTCGGGTGTTTGTTAGGACGAATCAGGTTACGGAGATCTTCAAGATAAATTGTTTACATAAGACGGGGTAATGACCTGAAGTGACCCATTCAGGCAATTTATCACTTCTATGTTTGTGAAAATATGAATACATTTTAGTAATTTGAATGAGTGTGCCATAAGAAAAGGTGTGACTATGAAACACTGTGACAGTTTTGTTCCTTAGAACTACCATAATGGGTTACAAAAGGTCCACAGATACCTTTGCTTGTGGTAATAGGTGGCTGAATGGATCGGTAGTCAGGCGCGGTGACTATGTGGTTTGTGTGGTCCAGACTTATTTGTAGGCTACCGTCAAATAGCTGGAATATTGTTTATTGTGGCGTTAAACGACAAACCAACAAAATCACAATTGTCGTAAAGAGATTGAGTGAGTATGCTTTTACGCCGCTTTTACCAAAATTCCAGACATATCACGACAGGGAACACAAGAATGAGCTTCACACATTGTACCCATTTGGGGAGTCGAACCAGGTCTCTTTTACCACTAGACTGGACGGCACCGGGTGATTGAGGTTGGGATCTGTCATAGTACCCCGACTGTGTGGAACATAGCTCATGTTATCAATCACTGGCTTGTCCGACCTAGTTTCAATTACTTACACCCAACCCCAGAAAACCAAAGCTCAGATCGCTAAATACCATTTCGTGCATCTATATTTCTGTGTCTACTAATTGAACACAGACACAATTACTGCTGGAGCATACATCATCATTTTCATTAGGGGGGCACGAGTGGCCCAGTCGTCCAAGGCGCCGTAATTCACTGTACAGAAACGCCAGAAACCTACGATCGTGGGTTCGAATCCCGGTTCGCCCCGATTATGTTTCAAGGTTTGTCAGCACCATGCCCGTGCTCTGGAGTTCCACTGAACTGGTAACCGTCTGAGACCTGCATCACTTCAGGCTTTCCCCCCAAACTAACACGTCGTGATATAACTGGAATACTCGCCACTCACTTATTTTCAATATCGGTACTAGAATGACGTTTTTGAAACTAAATCAGATGCATCGGTCTGAATTTATGCTGATTCCTAACGTCTAACTGCACAGCACTCGATGTGTGGGTATGTATATGTGGTGCATTGCGTGGAATAGCGTACTCCGTGGTTAATCATACGCCGTCACGTACGCTGACCCAGCGACCTAGTTCTGTCCCACCAAACACACCCACCCTGGACCACCGACAGGCCGGCCATGTGGACATGGACATATTGTTTCTGTTACGGGTATCTGCCGTCCTTATCTACCCTGATACATGTTACAAGTACCCTATACTTGTCATGTCATGTTAATAGCTGTAACGGTGTTGATATATGTATTGCTGGGCTAAACATGAATTATGGGCGGTGTAAATATAGATTTTCTTGAGGAAGGTAAGCTAGGAATTCTTGATCGAGCATAACGTCTTCATATATTGCTTGACTTTGAAATTGTGTTGTCACTGGGAAAAGACACGTAGAGATTAGGACACGCATGCTTTCCTTAATTAAATATGCACAATAGTCTGTATGGATCTTGATGTAAGTATAAACTGTGAATGTTGAATGTGCGTGTTATGACCAGTCACTGTTACCTAAAATCGGACATCTTTTTACTTGGTTCACGAGATCCCTCAACATTTAAATCGGAAATCTGTGAGAATTGTTTTTATGCCGCCGACATCAAAAACTGTTTTGATAATAAATATATTTTCAAAATATTTGACATCGATTGCAATTCTGAGATGAAACAGTCTTGAATGTTTGTTTTAAATACTTGAACACAGAAACAGACATATACAACGCATATAAAAGTCATGACTTAAGATCAAGAACCAAAATCTCAAACGCCCACTCATCCAACACCTTTCTAATGATGTCGTACTACATGACTTAAATGTGCCTTAACACAACAATGTTCTTTAAAGTTTAAACAATATCGTATTGAGAACATATGGTCCCCTCACATCAAAGAGATCACATTACACCGTAAACTACCCGCCACACTTACATGGTGGCTGTAGGTTTCTACACAAAACAAATTCGGTTATCTTTGAATGAACTTCGTGAGCAGCAGCACCTTGTCACTACTTTTTACCTATTGTGAAACCCGCCCTGTCCACAACAATATATGTCCTTACTTTGTACCTCAGTGGTAGACCTTAACAACAGCAATACATACCATTATGTTGATCTAGACGTCGTAGACAGCGTCAAGAGACATTTCAACGACTTCCCATTGCTACCGAAATAGTGGAGAGCATGAGTGAGAGTCAATATTGGCGATAGCAATCACTTGAAGCGGACAATGAAGGGATATTAGCGGTTCATTGCCATATCAAATGTTATGCCTGTACAACTTACTGGACCATATTTTGATGACATGATCCCATTAGAGCTGCTGGGGTGATGAATATATATTTCATTTTCCTGAAGCACAAGTCCCACAGTTGTGAGAGAGCTATAGTTTCGACAGTATATCACCTCTACGTGACCAGCACAAGTTATATATTTAGTGTATATTTAGAAAGTCTGTCGACAAAGGACAGTATAACGCCCAAATTATCAAAGGTGTGTATTTTAAACTAGTATGAAACCATAAAAAGATACGACTACACCTATCAGGACATTATAATAGAACGGCCACTAAACATAGGCCATCGTACATCTTCCCGAAGCAAGGGAATTAACTGACTTTAAAGTCAGTTAATTCCCTTGCCTCGGGAAGATGGCCACCGTACTACAGGGACCACGAGGATATCTGCTCCCTGCATGGTTCGCTATAGCTGGAGTTGCATCATCCTTCTAGATGTTGGCGATTGTTGGCAAAATTAGCCGAAAAGACAAACACATAGAAAGAGAATTAATGCCAACATGTGTCGTGCGACCAATAACGGCGAGATGTTCTGAGGGACTCTGCTCTAAGGGCTGGAACCTATTGTCAGTGTAAATCTAGACGTAGTAATGTTGTAAGGTGGGCCTGATGGATAACTAAAACAGTGTTGTTGTTTTGTTGTTGTTGTTGTTGTGTGTGTGTGTGTGTGTGTGTGTGTGTGTGTGTTATTAGTGTTTTCGTTAGCTACGAGGTTCATAACATCGTATGGGTTAGCAGAGTAATTAAATATTTAGCGGGACTGCCATATTGCCCGAGCCTAGTCTCCCTTTAATACTTTCATTTAAACGTCAATACATTAAGGTTTAAACAGGGCGGTGACTTGTTTGTTTGTTGATAACGCCGCACTCACCAAATTCCAACTGGATGCGGTATGTTATTCAAGCACCTGTTCCCCTGTCGACGGAAAGGAGTTTTTCTAACGACTAGTAAATATGTGCTGGTTTCGCCACAAGCAAAGACATTTTATATACAGCTTTTGTGTGTAAGGACTAATGTACTGTTATCTTGAGCAGGTATATTCATGTTGCATACGGAGTGTTGCTAGCGTCTAGTTTCCTTGGGCCTTCTACCTATTGAAAAAAGAAACGTTTATTACATTTCGCTCGTCAAACCTTCAATTTCTTTTCAGCTAACCAATTTTAATATTTTCTTACAGCCTTTCGTGACATTTCGTCAATACACGTAACCATGTGTCATATTTATTTGGTTGCTTTAATGCGTTCCCTGTAAAATAGATTTGGTGTGATAGACAGATTTGCAGATACCCGACACGATAGTTAACAGTATGAAGACGCTTAACCTTCGAACACGATTCAAAGCATGCATTTCAGAGCTTTTCTATTCAATGAAAAGTTCAGAAATGCATGCTTTGAATCGTGTAAAGACCAGTGAAGATCCCGATATAGAAACCAATGTTTACCGTAAAAGTCGACTATGCTTGTTATAAGAGGCAACTAACGGGATGGGTGGACATGCTCGCTAACTACGTTTATGCATTTATTCCAATTGCGTGGATCGATGCTCATGATGTCAATCACTGGATTGTCTTGTCCAGACTAGATTATTTACAGACCGCCGTCATATAGCTGGAATATTGCTGAGTGCGGCGTTAAACAACAAACAAACAAACACATTTTGTAATCCATGACTTTATGATGAGAACAACATGCATGCTCTGTACGCTCGTGACCAAAACATGAATGCGTGAATATACGATGTTGCCATGCATACAAATCCGATTCCATGCATTAATTACACGAGTTCCGCTAGAAAATCCACACATTTAGTAACATACGTCTGTTATGGCTGACATTCGGCCCTATTAATGTAGTGTGAAGATTCGTTATTAGGTTGCTCAGCACCCTCTAAACATAACCGCCGGACACTTAATATCACATCAAATCGTATTTTACGGTGTAAGAATTCCGCAGTGGTCTATATCACGGTACGTTAAGTTGTCAATAGAATTCCACCCACAGTCAACAAAGAGCTTCTCATAGCATTCATACACATATCAAAGGGATCTATTTCACCATAAACGTGTTTATTTCCATCAACACTCCAGCCTCTGTTTAATCCGGCGTCTTGACCGATTCCTGAAAACTGAAATGCCCTGTGTAGAACAGTGTCATTGTGTCCTGATATGAAGCCATGCTTGAAGAAAATATGTTATACAAATTCTGTAACACTGAGTTGATCTCAAAGTGTGTTGGTTTCATGGTTAGATGCACAACGTGATGACAGATTCCACACTCCACCTGCACGGACTCAACATTGAACAGGTGCCGTTATGTGGATTTAAAATACGTATCACTAATCATTTTAGGTAAGTAGAGAAGCTTGCCCACCCCCACAACCACACCAACTCCCGACAACCACACCCCACAACCACACCCACATCCCACCCAGACCCACTCCCCACAGCCATACCCCACACCCCACAACCATATCCCGAACCCCACACTCACCACTCCACAACCATGCCCCACACCTACACCCACATCCCACCCCACAACCACACCCCACACCTACACCCCACAACCACACCCCACATCCCACATCCCACAACCCATACCCACACCCCACACCCCACACCTACATCAAACACCCACACCCCACACCCGATATTCCATACCCACAACCCACACCCCATACCCACACCCACACCCACAGCCACATTCCACACCCACATCCCACACCTACATCTAACACCCACATCCCACATCCCACCCCACAACCACACCCTACACCCCACACCCACATTCCACCCCACACCCACATCCCACACCCCATACCCACATCCCACACCTACATCTAACTCCCACACCCCACACCCGATATTCCATACCCACAACCCATACCCAATACCCCATACTCACAGCCACAGCCACAGCCACATCCCACATCCCACACCAAAATCCCACACCCCACACCTACATCTAACACCAACATCCCACATCCACACTCCACCCCACACCCACACCCTACATCCATTTCCCACACCCCACACTCACCACCCCACAAACACACCCCACACCTACACCCTACACCCACATCTCACCCCACAACCACACCCCACACATACACCCCGCAGCTACACCCCACATTCACATCCCACACCCCACAACCTACATCCACACCCCACACCCGATATTCCATACCCATATCCCATATCCCACACCCCATACCCACATCCACATCCACATCCCACACCCCACACCTACATCTAACACCCACACTCCACTCCACACACCACACAACCGTACCCCACACCCCCACCCCCACCCCAACCCACCCCACACACGCGCGCGCGCAAAGAAAAAAACAAACATACACACACACAAAAAAACAACTAACAGAGACGTTGTTGAGACGTTGCTGAGACGTTGTGGAGCACCAGCTGCCCCTGTTGACGTGCCTGACCTCGGTGCTATGATAGCTGGGAGTGTCAGGGGGTCCGACTTGTCAACGTCCGGATTATCAAAGGATCGGTTAGTCCATAAATACATTCCACCTGCCACAAGGACAAACAAATCAATAAGACACTTCTGAAATTTGATTTGAAGCCGTGATCCATGATGGTTTGTGTGTGATATTGCCGCAGTTGCCACATGGATTATCGGATTAACATACCCGTGTCACTCGAATCATACAGTATTTATTGATCGCTATAAGTAAATATTTTTGGGTTATTCTGGTATGTATTTGACATCACTATGTCATATCGAACAGCAATATTAACGTGTCTCTCGTCTAACTCTACTCGGGGATCCGGGAGAGAATAGGTCTACCAAGTAATAAAGATGTTCGTGAAAAGTTAGTATGGGGATCGTATGGATACAATGGCGGCTGAATCTAGACAGTCCTTCAGGTATGAGTGAGTGAGTGAGTATGGTTTTGCGCCGCTTTTAGCAATATTCCAGCAATATCACGGCGGGGGACACCAGAAATGGGCTTCACACATTGTACCCATGTCGGGAATCGAACCCGGGTCTTCGGCGTGACGAGCCAACGCTTAACCACTAGGCTACCCGACCGCCCCCCTTCAGGTATGAGGGCACCCTTTGAAAATCGAACACACTTTATGTGATGAATCTCTTTGTGTGTCAACGCCCCGCTTCCCCAAACTCGCACCCCACACCCACCCCGGATGAATAGGTCTATTCCTTCCCGACGTCGTTGATGGGTCTTCACACTATCACCCATCGGTTCCCTGCCCCTTCCAAAAAGCAATATAGAGTTCTGACCAGGACCCACGGCGTGGGGACTCATTGTAGGTCCAGGGCAGCTCAGTTAGAGACTGGTCTTTTATCACAGGGGTGGCGTCTGGGGTTGATGAACTCAAAATAATAACCCTCCCCTAATGCTTGTCATATTTTTGGATAACCATCCCCTAATGCTTGTCATATTTATGGATAACCCTCCCCTAATGCTTGTCATATTTATGGATAAGCCTCCCCTAATGCTTGTCATATTTATGGACAACCCTCCCCTAATGCTTGTCATATGTTTGGATAACCCTCCCCATGTCCTTGTACATTTTGTTCGTGACCTTCCCTGAAAATACAAAATGAAAAGCATTTGATGTTTTATTATTTAACGTCCATGTTTTCACGCCATGGGAACCATTGGGGCGGACCAGTGGGTAATGTTTTGAGCAAAGCCCCGCGCCGTCGGAGTGCGATGTTACACAATAAACACGAACCAATTGAGTCATAGCGTAGGAAATGAGAGCCCTGGGGGCCTATTGTAACGCGGGTCCAAACAAAATGAACGCGACACGAAAACGATCAGGTCCCTGCATTGATTCTGTCAGATAAAAGACTGGAGCCTTGATCAACTAGGCTTGTAGCACTATCTGCCGACAGGTCGGTTACCTGTGTCAATACTCCGACATTGATAGCCCTAACCGGGTTAGTTTCTGCCCTGTAGTCATTCATTGAAGATAGCTGTCAGCACCAACGTCGATCTCTGGGCACGTTGCCCATTGTAGTGAAGCCTCGCTTGAAAAGTGTATTAGCATGGTTTCAATTGACATGTTGTAGATTTATCTTACCTTAATTGAAAAGTACTTTTCGATCAATGACGTTATTAATAATTTCTATATCGAGAAATATTCATACAATCTTCATCGAAAGGCTTACAAAAATACAGTTTTGTTAACATGAAAATAGCCCATAGATGGAGAAAAACTGAAACACAAATTGTAAATTAAAGGCTAATAGATAGTCAAAAATCAGATTTAAACATCATACAGGTCTCCTCTGACAGATCCAACTTTTTGTTTCAGGAGCGACACACGATGAGCGAGGTCAAGGCCGAACATCGCAGCCATCATGGCAAATCAGACAAGGACCACCATCACCCCAAAGACCACCACTCTATGGACCACCATTCCAAGGACAAACACCCGACCCTCCGGGGTGCTACAATCAACCCGGTTCAGACAGGCATGACGGGGGGCAGGCCTAGGGCGGGGACGTTCGGCCGCAAGGACACCGCCCACTCCATCGCCAGCAACCGAGATAAACATCTGAGGGACCACGACCGCCACAGCGTGGTCACTGACGACCACCACCACGCCATGATCATGTACGAGAACACCTACAAGATGGACCCGGACATACGGTTCAAGGAGGGAGAAGTGAAGCAGATCATCAAGGCAGTTCTCAAGGACCACATCACTGAGAACGTATACGAGTGTGGTGCCATGAAGACCAAGAGTCTGATGCTGAGCAACAAGATCCTGGAACAGGTGAAGAAGCTGGAGATGAAGAGATTTAAGTTCGTCTGTTTTGTGATGATCGGAGAGAAAGGTGCACAGAGTATGCAGTTCTCGTCTCGGTGTCTGTGGGACCAAAGATATGACAATTATACCACGGTGCACGTCACCCAGGGCAACATCCATGCCACAGGGATAGTATATGCTGTCTATGCTGAATAACCACGCTGGTTCATAGAGTTCGTTAGAGACATTAGATCCCAAAGATGTTGTTACATTTTGGAATATTTTTTTATTTAAAACACGTTAAATAACTCTTGTTATAGCGTCTTTGAAATCGATATTCTTTTCTGTTTGATGTATGGCTATGTGAAGAACAATAGCGGTCAACCGTCAGGTGCTATAGGACATTATAAGATCACCATCCACACAATGAAATCATATTTGACTAGATTCTAGTCTACTCTCTACAGATCTGGTTCCAGAATGAATTGCTACATTAAAGAACTCACAAGCAGAATAAAGTATTTGTTACCATGCTTTGTTGAAGAGAGAACCTGACAACTCTAAGGATTGTAAATGAAATGTAGTATTTCGCTGAAGTCAGCAATATTCCTGCCATACACAGCTACAAAACCAGATATATATTTTTATTTAAAACTCTGAGCCTGATATTTTATAGAAAAAAAAACACCATGCAAAAATGTAATTTTTAGGCAGGCATTTTCTCTTTTCTTTGTACCAACAGTCTGATTTTATTTTCTTCGATGAAATCCAAAATGGTTGGTCCCTAAGCCGTGGGGGTTTATGGCAGACTACTCTAGGTCATACATTGCAACCTTCCAATTTGTCGGCTCTTCTGTTGCCATAAGACGTCCTGGTTCTGCCCCGAGTGTGGAATACTTAAAAACAGAATTTATTTTCTGGAAAAACTCAAAGAGGTCCATACACTTTTTCTCAAACCACAGGGCTGTGACGCTTGAGGCGGGGTAGGTCAATGCTGTCCTCAGTTTCTGCTGTGCTGATAAACCAAAACAGGATCTGATATGGGTGATTCTTTGAGCGATAGTAGTTCAACAGCGCTTTTGAACAGTATAATATCACAGTGTGCCAGTGTGCCAGTGTGTCAGCATGTAACGTGGGGGGAAAGCCCGAAGTGATGCACGTCTTCAATGTTTATCACTTTGGTCAATGCCAAGACTTTGGGTATGGTGCTGCAAAACTTGTGAGGGTTGATTGCTAAGTTCTAAGCCTCACAAAAGGGAATTGTGTAACAGTAAAATCTTCTATTGTGGACATTACATGATATCCTAGATATCAATTTGAGCAAGTTGTGTCTCTAGGAATGGTGAACCCAGGTTTCACCCAGTCACAAATCGTCGCAAGAACCTTTCTGTGTCAGCTTCAAACAGCTTTTTTTACCAGATGTGCGTTTTTGTTCCGATGTCTGTTCGAACCCGAGCTGAAACGGTCTTCATTACCAATGTTTCTGTGATAATAGAGTGCATTCTCTCCTGGGAAACACCCCCTAAACTAATAATATGATCACCATATCGTGTATTCTTTGGATCATTTCTGATGTTGTTGACGTGACAAGCCTACCAGGACAGGGGTCGTCATCAAGGCTCTCCCTGCCACGCTTAAAATATGCTGCCCCCTCTGATGAAGGGGCATCCTTTCCCAGTGTTGCATTCATATCTTCATGGATGACTATTGGTGATAAGCCCTATTTCTGCAAGTACTTGGTCATTGCAGGTTCCATAACTTTGTCCATTTTGCAAAGGCCACAAACCCCTGCTTATTTTACTGACAATTTACTTATTTTGTGGATATACACAATACCTCCATAACATCATGTGATGTCTTCAACAAAATTCACAATGAGGCAATTCCTTCAAAGTCAGACTCAGTTCTTATGGACTCTTGTATAATAAGCATGAACCAGGAATCAAAACCCACTATCATAGGTTTCTGTCACGCCAAAAGGATGCAACTCTACACAGTGAATTCATGGCAACTTAAACGACTACGCCACCAAGGCCCCCACAAGAGAACGATCTGATACAGATGATTCCATGAAACCTGACATATTAAATATGTTTAATGCATATCAAAGATGCTTGGAATGTCCTGACCATCCGCATGTCAAAGATGCTTGGAATGTCCTGACCATCCGCATGTCAGACATGCTTGGACTGTCCTGACCATCCACATCTTGTCTGACCATAGGCATGAGCTATTAATAAACGAGTGAAGCAAGTACCCAGCCATCCTTGGTAGTGATATTCTAGAGCAAACTGTAATAATTGCTGTAAGCAAATGTGGCTTAACCTCACTTCGAAAAGAATGTCTCAGTTATGTATCAGCATGGTGTGGAAGGAAAGCCAGAACAAGTCTTGGACTTTCACCTTTTCCAAAAAACCCATGGCAGGCTATGGTGCCAACAAACCTTGTTTTAGTCTGTTTTCAGTTGTACAAATGGGTATCTCTCATACTCTCACGTCTAGGAAGCAAGAAGCTGGAATGTAAAGATTAAACTTGTTTCCGTTCGGTTGCGCACACACCTCCCTATGACATGTCACAAATCTCTCAGCGCGCCTCTGAGCTGGTCGCTCGAGAAAGACTTTCGCGATAGACTGATAGTTTGTATTCTACGAGTACTTATCGTGTGTCTACAGTTGTTGTTCTAATAAAGTAATAATAATATGTCTTACCTGTAGACTCCTGGAATGTAATACTTGGTAATCCATTGTTTGTGTTCAACACGTGTTTCACTGTTTGACTTGATTTTACACGTGGCAACATGTCGGGCATTTGTGCCTCGTGTCAAAGAAAACTGTCTTAAGTAGATCCTCACAAGTAGTGTCCTTCCTGCATAATTAAGGACGGGTTTTCAACGTGTTCGTGGGATAAACGTTGTAAAGAATGAGCACTTGTCTTCTATAAACTTGTATCTTCGTGCGTTGGCGAAGCGGGCTACTGACCAGCGCTACAAGCAGAGAAGGTCATTTGGTGGATCCTTGGACTCTGCACCCTCTACATCTGGCCCTGGGGGTGGCGAGTCGGCCACACCCAAAGAATCAGTTGATAAAGACCCGCCTCAGTCAACTTATGTTTTCGACAAGACACGTGACCGTTCGCCTGCTGATGATACTACACACACGACTGATCTTCGTCAATCGGTTGATCGAGAGCGTCACTTACCCACCCGCGTTACGACGGGACCGGGGCGTGACAAGGATCACGAGGGGACTACGCTCCCCAGTCGGTCCGTCTCTCGTCCTACCAACGACGTAAGGGACGTCATGCGGGTCGACAGTGAACACAGATCCCTCTCTAGAAGTCGTTCCCGTTCCCAGGACGACAGGTCGAGTGCCTCGTCGAGAGACAGTAAACGGCACGAGGACGTTCGTCGCCTTCGTGGTTGTCGAGAGTTCGATTCGGACGATAACTACGATGGGGATCGTAGTACTTCTATAGTTAGAGATCGTAGCCCTCGTCCCCACGGGGACGTGCGACGCTCTCAAAAGGAGTTTTTGGGAGATCAGCGTCGTAGAGATAATGACCGATCGACACCCTCGTCTCACTTTCATATCGACCCCGCTTTGATAGCCCAGATCACGGCGGCAGTACTCGCCTCAACGGCGTCGACCAAGAAGGATTCGACTACATCGGAGGTCAATGGACCATCGACCAGTACACCAGTTCCTTCATCTACGCCTACACAATCGACGTCGACGATGGATTGTGATGACAGCCCTCCTAGGCCTCCCAAAGACATTGAGGAGAAAGACCCCCAGGACGAGGACGAAAGGACGGTGACATCGATCCTCACCTGTATGCAAATGTGGATCTCGGACGTCCTCGCCCAGTCCCGATATGTATCGGCCCAGATTACTACGGCACGTCGTCATGGTTACATCGACTGCACTGAACTACCTGATCGTCATGGGCCTCTCACACTCTTACGGGCCCCGTGGTCATCGCAACAGTTGTTTGACGGTCGTACCAACGATGTTCTGGACAAGTACTCAAAGGAAGCCGAGCGTGACATCATCATTTCGGGTTCACACAACCTGTCCAGACGGCCACTGGTTTCGAACACAGGGTCGCCTTCTACCTAGACGACGGGCTCCAAGCTCACCAGTTCACAGAAGCCCTTTAAGGAGAGTTAGCGACCACCCTGAGTCTACTATGGTACCTCGGGTGGATCGTCAACCTTGAAAGGTCGGACTTGGTACCAACTCGGGATCTACAGTACATTGGGATACGCTTCCAGACGGGAGTCAATCTGGTCGAGGTACCTCAAGACCGTTGGGACAACATTTTCAGCAGCATTCAGAGACTTCCACATGCCCCGGCGTCGGTGCACACGTGGCAGGAAGTCCTCGGTCCGTTGACATTGGCCCAAGACCTGACTCGCCCAGGTGGTCTTCAACTTCGTCCGCTGCAGAGATTACTCTACCCCAACCTGGAGTTTCCCAACCTTCTGGTTCAACTTCCGGCACAGCTACGTTGTCATCTGGAGTGGTGGCTCCAGCCTTCGAACGTTTGCGAAGGCGTCTTTATGAGCGAGCCTCCGTTCATACTACACCTATTCGTAGACGCGTCATTGGATGGCTGGGGAGCGCACTTCGGGGATGACCTAGCGGCCGGGCTGTGGTCGCCAGAAAAAAAGGTCCTCTACATCGACTGCCTTGAGATGGAAGCAGTGATTCGGGCGGTCGAGTTCTGGAAACTTTGACTCCGTCAGAAACGGCTGATGATACAGTCGGACAACTCCACAGTCGTCCACTGCATCAACAAACAGGGACCTTCCCTTCTGGGACCGCCTCCGTGGCCTAGTGGTAGAGTGTCCGCCTGGAGAGCGGAATGTCCGGGGTTCGATCCCCGGCCGCGTCATACCAAAAAACGTTAAAAGATGGTACTTGTTGTTACCCTGTCTGGCGCTCGGCATTAAGGGGCTAAAACAAGGACTGGTCGGCTCGGACAAATAGCCGATGCCCTGTCGAGTCCATCGAGGCTGTCTCCCACGGAGTGGATGATCCATCCGACAGTCTTTCATCTGCTGACAGATGGACTCTGGTTGCCCCAAGTAGATCTCTTCGCAACCTGGTACAACAACCGCCTTCCTCGATTTGTGTCGCTGGTTCCAGACCCACGGGCATGGGACCACAACGCTCTAGCGATATCGTGGTAGGGTCTAGACGCTTACGCGTTTCCGTCAACGGTGCTGTTACCATCGATACTGGAGGAAGTTCGTCAAACGGCCAACCTACGTCTGCCTTTGGTCGCGCCTTATTGGCCAGCCAGAACGTGGTTCCCGGAACTTCTTCAGATCATCGATCAGCCACCGTTCCCGTTGTCAGATCGAGACGACCTCCTTCTTCATCCTCACAACGACGACTTGCATCCGGGGATAAAGAACTTCCAGCTTCACGCCTGGGTTTGCTTAAGACCTCTTTAATGAAGAAAGGATATTCGGCTTAAGCGGCAGCGCTTGTCTCGTCGGCACATCGAGTTACGACTCGTAAGCTGTACGATGACAAGTGGACCACTTTCTCCATGTCTCATGGCTTCAACCCAGCGGTAGCAACCCCACCACAGGTGACGGAGTTCCTAGTCTATCTCCGGTCATCTCACGCCGAAGACCCGGGTTCGATTCCCGACATGGGTACAATGTGTGAAACCCATTTCTGGTGTCCCCCGCCGTGATATTGCTGGAATATTGCTAAAAGCGGCGTAAAACCATACTCACTCACTCCGGTCATCTCGGCGTCTGAAAGGGTCGACGATCTCGACTTATCTGGCAGCTTTGGCTTCAGTGGTGACGTCGCCTACGGGCGACAGGCTCACTAAAGTACCGGAGTTGCAGAAAATTCTACGTGCCTTCATGGTTGAAGATCGGTCAAGTAAATTCCAACCGCCGGCCTGGGATCTCGATGTCGTTCTGCGCAACCTGTCAAGTCAGACTTATGAGACTCTCGATCAGGTCGCGTTCGACATTGTCTCAGAAAACAGCTTTCCTTCTCTCGCTGGCTATGGCAGCGAGAGTATCGGAAATACATGCCATTGACGTCGGTCGGATTACGTTCGATCGACGTAACCATGGCAACGTCCATCTTGGTCTCAGATGGGATTTTTAGCGAAAAATCAACTTCCTGGCCAAGATTCGAGAATGTTCCACATTCCTTCCTTGTCTGCCATTATGGGCCCTCATGATCACGCTGATCTCACCCTGTGCCCAGTTCGTGCGCTTCGTATTTACCTGCAGCGATCTGAACAGCGACGACAACATTTTCGACGGCTGTTCATACCGCTCTCAACCAATGCAAAGAAAGAGATTACACATAATACTCTCTCCTTTTGGTTGAGAGCGGTCATTCTCAGAGCTTACGAGGCGCAAGGACTCGCACCTCCCACCTCCTCTCATCCGCACGAAGTTCGAGCCATAGCTTCAACATTAGAAAACAGTTTGGTCCAGTCGTAGTGGCACAACAGATCTCCCAGAAAAGACAGTGAATTTGTGCTTTATTCACTTTGGACTTTTTGCTCGACACTTCGTGCCAGATAACAAGTTACAATAAAAACTGTTGGTGAATGTACGCATTCTTATGGTTTTTGTTGCGTGCAGTACTTCGGCTTTTTTATTATGGTTATTCGGTGTATGCATCATGTTCCCATACTTTATAGTACTGCTCGTATTTTTTAGTTACCTTGTATACTGTAACTAAATTATGCGCCGACCACACTTCGATCGCAATTCAACTGACGTGTGCAGTTGTCCTGTCGCATCGATACTTACTTGTGGGTCAAAGAGCATTAAACATGCTGTTTTAGTTACCTTGTATACTGCGAGTTGCTCTGTAACTAAACTATGCGCAGCCACACTTCGAACGCAGTTCAACTGACGCGTGCAGTTGTCCTGTCGCATCGATGATTAGTTGTGTGTCGAAGAGCATTAACCATGCTGTGCGTTCGTGATAAACAACTTGTCTCGTCCGTGCATCTGGTCGAATGTTCTATTGTCACTACAGGGGTGAGGAACTTGGTACATTCGACGTGAAAGAGGTCACTTCCTGATTACTTTCCCGAACCTCCTTCCAGTGTTCTGTCGAATTCTACCCATTTGTACGACTGAAAACAGACTAAAACATGGGTTTTTCAGATTAAAAACGATGTTTTATTGGTCTGTTTTCAGTCGTACGTTCCCACCCAGCCATCCCCACAGGGAAGTAATCCAGTCCAGTCCTGCTTGATGGCTTATTCTTCGAGATTTGTGACATGTCATAGGGAGGTGCGTGCGCAACCGAACGAAAACAAGTTTAATCTTTACATTCCAGCTTCTGGCTTCCTTTTAAACGTGCGACTAGACGTGAGGGTATGAGAGATACCCATTTGTATGACTGAAAACAGACCAATAAAACATCGTTTTTAATCTGAAAAACCCCATACTTTCAAATTAAATTATTTATTTGCAAATTTAAGCCACATATCTAAAATGACCCCACATGTACTTTCTATACAACCAAATATCTACATAGATAGGTTAATGTATTTGATTTAGGTTGAGTATTGAATTCAACATATGAAACGGTTAAAGATTCAGGTAATTTGAGATGTCTCTTTTCATACTGCACAAGTATACTCTAGGAAATGATTCTGATAGGTAATAGATGTAAATAAAATCCACAACTACATAGTTGAATAAACAGTTTATTCATAAAATTTTAGCAGGGATTTTTTAGCATCTGCTAATTTTCAAGGCTTTGAGTACTATGGACATCAACAACAGGATGCTTTATTAGAATCAGAATCACACCTTTCATCATTTAATGACAAAAAGAAACAATACATACGAAAGGATCAAGGTTTCATGTTTATCAATTAATGATCAATCCCAAAAATGGAATGCAAGCGCCATTGGATAATATTAACCAACGTGTCATATTTGACAGTTACTTGAATCTAAGACCACTGTTCAATCAGTTTTCTTAGAGTGCTCTCCCCTGAAATAATCTGATCTCGTGTCAATCAAGTGCTACCTGGTGATGCAACCCAAAGGAAAAGGCATGTCTAACATGTTTTAAATGTCCTTATCCTTTTACCTCTAGAGAACACTATGTAACACCCTGTCCCAAAGCTCACTGATGTAACATGACATCAGATTATTAGTAGTTACACCAATCAACATTCTCACCAGCTTCAACATGTATTTCTCAAATATATCTGCCTGCTATCATTTTTAAATAAATTAACTGATATGTGAAAAGATATACCACACGAGGAAGCTTGGTTCCCTGATTGTAACAGTGTTCAAGGACATGTGCATGCAGACAAAACTGACTGTCAAGGCACACAATTGAATGTATATGCAGGGGTAGTGCACTGTGCCATCAATGATTACTTTTGTGGCTTATAACGATTGAAAGAAAAGTTACAGAAATCTTACTTGACATGTTATGACTGCCACTGATCTGATTGAGAAGGTCAACCCCCAAACAAACTCAATTCCATTTCCAAAAGGAATGAAAATGAGTAGATCAGTACATGCAGATTGAAACTACTGGTAAAGAATTTACCAAGTCATTTCAAAAAAGAACTTTTCAAATACCTGTACAATGTATCCATTGAAAACAAAAATTGCCATACATAATTTATTTTTTTCAACTTAATATTTTGTCCATAACATATCAGTGTCTACGCTATCATCCAGATGCAGTCGTGATGTCGCTCCATACAGGGCAAGTGTGGTGCAAGGAGTTTGATTGAAGTGGAAGGTCACAGTGCAGTAGGCATGGATGACTGCTGTAGACAAAACCTATCCTATATCAGTTGTTGAGTATCCATAGTATCAAAAAGCAGTGTAATTTCTGTCTAAGACTTGGCGTGAACTGCAGCACGAATCCTGAGGTATGCAGACAATCACAAAATACTTTCAGCAAATTGTGGCTTCGTAATATTTCGGTACGTGAAGAATTTATGCGCCATAAATACCTGGAGTAAAAATTTGTTATGCTTAGCAAGAACATCAAACTTAATGACAGAGAATCAAATACTGTGTACACTGCTCCACATCGTAATGAAAATCTGCAACATCATTACACCGACTGATTAGACTTGGTAGTTGAAACAGTGACTAACCACTTGAAATGTTGGTTGCTTAGCAACCCAAGTAACTTTGGCTTTGGTTAGTGCAAATTTCAACCTACTTCTCCATCAGTAAATGTCATCATCAGTTTGTACATATTTGCGATGGGTGGATAGAGCGAGAGTTTATATCGAGACCAACTATGGTATGCACATTAATTTTCATGGCAGGCATAAAATCTGTCAGCATTTCATACAATCATCGCCTTCTCAAAAATATGGATAGTATATCCATGCAAGAAAACGGGCACCACTTTCGCCATCTTCCACAGGGCTTATGATTTCCTTTAAAGTCCCAAGATTTTCTTTACATGTGTATAACTGTAGGGGAAATAATCCCAATCGTCTTTGTTTAAAATGATCAGCTTTGTTGCTCTTCGTCATCCAATGTTTGGGTTAACAAAAAGTTAGCAGCAAGCTCTTCATTCTTGTCACAGGCAAAGTATGCTTGAACAACCAATGTTTCAGGGAATCCCAATGCTTTCAACTGTGAAGTGAAGAAAAAACAGGATTCAAATATTGACAGGAGTGAGTGAGTATGGTTTTACGCCGCTTTTAGCAATATTCCAGCATTATCATGGCGGAATATTGACAGGAAGGTGGAAGTGAGTGAGTAAATGTTGCTTAAAAGCCAGTCAGCAATATTCCAGTTATATCACAGCAACCTATTAACATGTCTGAGTGACTGACCAGTCTCAAACCAGTGACTGACTGTATGAGCAACGCTCCACATTGAGGCACGATGCTCAGTCAGTCAAGGAGCCCCACCAACCCACCCTCTTGTCAGACTTCAGTCAGCTACAACAAGGATAAAGTTAGATAGGAGAGATTGAGATAATGATGTAACTTCTGAAATCAAGCTATGGTCACGAACGTGTCAAGGGTATTTATCATAATACAATGCAGATATATTACAATGGATAACAGAGCATGGCACTGAAAATGAAGTCAAGTGAGTGAGTTGGGTTATACCAGCCTTAAGTTATGCAGGTCTCCGACGTTTACCACTTTGGTGAAGCCCACGAGCACAGTTATGGTGCTAACAAGCCTAGAAACATAATCGTGGCAAACTGGGATTCAAAGTTAGTTTGTTGTTTAATGCTGTACTCAACAATTTTCCAGCTATATGACAGCGGTCTGTAAATAATCGATTCTGAACCAGAAATCCTGTGATTGATATCATGATCATCGATCCAATTGGGATATGATGACATGCATCAACCAAGTCAGCGAGCCTGACTACCCTATTACATTATTCACCTGTTATGACAAGCATGGGTAGCTGAAGACGTACTCCAACATGGATCTTCACAAACACACAAATGTCAGTGATTTAGTGAGTGATCATGCAAGAGACGATAACCCATTCCTAATGAGCTGACAAGGGTAGGACACTGGGGACCTATTCTCCACAAGGCAACAACAACCTACCCTTTCAATTGCCTCTTTTTCCTGTGGTGTGACGTGTATATAACCCTGGCCACTCCCTGCCCCAGCCCCCTGGGGCTCTGCTGCTTCATCGTCTAGTGGCTCATTTAACATGTCTACAAAGCGCTCCTGATTCTGATTAATTAGCTGAAATAACAAAACACATGTCACAATCTCTGCCACAGTCACATCTACTCCTAACTGTTGCAATCAACTACGTCAACTGCAAGGATCCATCAAAATATCATTGATCCACATCTGCAGTATTAGCAGTGGGTTGTCAAGAGCCAATAATTCATTAGACACAACAATATTAATTGTTAGATTTTCATCATACATGTTATTGAAAGTTGGAAAGGGGCAATTCTATATATTTTATTTTTGTAAACAAACTGTTCGTGGAATATGTGTGCACTATTGTCAACAAACAGAATGGTGTATATCAGCCAGTAAAGAAACAAGGTTGAGGTGAGGTGAGGTGAAATGGGGTTTAATTATTGCACTTAAATAGCAATGTGCATGCACATGTGTGTGTATGGCTGTTTGTACTAGTCTGGACTAATGCCGTTTTTATAGTGCTAGCCTACTGAGATACCATGCCCCAAAGTCTAACATGAATACCCCACACAGACACAGTACACTGACTCTGAGCGAACCAGTCCTGGTAAAATCAGCCCCTTAATGCCAGGCAGGGTAACAACAAATACCATATCTTAACATCTTTTGGTAAGAGGCGGCCGGGATCGAACTCCGGACCTTCCGCTCTCCAGGCGGACACTCTACCACTAGAGAAGCAATAAGTGTTCCACTTGTGCCCAACCCCATTGTCTTTTTGGACAATAAGATATGTTTAAACATACTAAACTTTCTTTGTGTGTATGTACTTCAGCACAATAAAAAGATGTGTGGCGTTTGACAGGTTGCGGGGATGAAAATCTAATAATTTATTTTGGCCTTGTATTTGGAGATGACGGTATCATGATGTAACAGTAAACAATTTTAAACACAAACTACACCTTTAACTTTCCATATGTCTGAGATCTACACCCAAAATGGATTCTAATATGAATCGCTTGTATCAGTGTGTGAGTGAGTGAGTTTGGTCTGATGCTGCTTTCAACAGTATTTAAGTTACATCACAGCATGTCAGCTTGATGTGGGAGGAGGGTCTCAGATGATGGTAACTAGTTGTTAGTAGATTCAAATATCACAAGGAGACCACTCAATTTTAAACTGAATATTATCATGAAGCATATAAGTCTGCAGAAACAAGAAAACATTTTTGCTGGAGCATATTCCTTAACATTGATTTGACAAATGAATTAGCAGATATTGCATTATGCAAGTAAGCAATATTCTAGCTACGTATTGTTTGTTTGTTGTTTAACACCGCACTCAGCAATATTCCAGCTATATGACGGCGGTCTGTAAATGTATGTTTTGACCAGACAATCCAGTGATTGACATCAATGTCATTTATTCATGCAACTGGGATACGATGACATGCATCAACGACACCTAGATGTCAGACACCTATCACAGCAAGCATGGGTTGCTGAATACCTATTCTCTACCCAGATCTTTACAGGTACAAAGCTACATAACAGACAAACCATAGGTTGATAGCTTGAGCAACACTCCCTGGAACCTGGGTATGACTAAAAACAATCAGCCCTGTCACACTCCTTTGTAAGCGGTATGTTCTGGACCAGTGATTTAATATTATCAACTACAACCCACACCACTGGGGTATAACAAACAATCAACCAAGTCATCGAGTATGACCATTCGATCAATCAAGTCATCGAGTATGACCATTCGATCCATCAAGTCACCGAATATGACCATTCGATCCATCAAGTCATCGAGTATGACCATTCGATCCATCAAGTCACCGAGTATGACCATTCGATCCATCAAGTCACCAAGTATGACCATTCGATCCATCAAGTCACCGAGTATGACCATTCTATCCATCAAGTCACCGAGTATGACCATTCGATCCATCAAGTCACCAAGTATGACCATTCGATCCATCAAGTCACCGAGTATGACCATTCGATCCATCAAGTCACCAAGTATGACCATTCGATCCACCAAGTCACCAAGTATGACCATTCAATCCATCAAGTCACCAAGTATGACCATTCGATCCATCAAGTCACCGAGTATGACCATTCGATCCATCAAGTCACCAAGTATGACCATTCGATCCATCAAGTCCTCGAGTATGACCATTCGATCCATCAAGTCACCAAGTATGACCATTCGTTCCACCAAGTCATCGAGTATGACCATTCGATCCATCAAGTCATCGAGTATGACCATTCGATCCATCAAGTCACCAAGTATGACCATTCGATCCATCAAGTCACCAAGTATGACCATTCGATCCATCAAGTCACCGAGTATGACCATTCGATCCATCAAGTAACCAAGTATGACCATTCGATCCATCAAGTCACCGAGTATGACCATTCTATCCATCAAGTCATCGAGTATGACGATTCGATCCATCAAGTCACCAAGTATGACCATTCAATCCATCAAATCACCAAGTATGGCCAACAAAAGGTTGTTGGGACCAAATATGCTCTGGAATCCCCAACGGGGGCCATCAAACAATCAGTATTTGAGCGAGATATACTTACTGCTAAAAGAGTAGGATTTGTCTGACCAATTTGCTGTAACAAAACTGGGAGTAATTGAGGATTTTCTTGAATGGCTTCTCGCATCCGCCGAAACTGGGGTTGTAAGCGTAAAAATGATAATGGGTCTCCAGCTGAAAACATAACATGACAGATTACAAACTTACAACCAAAGTGTAACTTCTGCCAAGCCAACTGATTGATTCAACATGCCAAGAGGAATACAGGTATGCAAAGTATTTGTTTTAATCCAAAACTTCCCTCAATGGTAGAACAAATACCATATCTTTAGTTGAGTAAAAGACTTTTTGCTTTATATCCATTTAAGTGTCAGTTCCTGTCATACTGCAAGGGCCTCACTGTATACCCCTCTGTAGTGAAATATGCAAGATGGACAGATAGGTTGTTATACAATACTTTATATACTCAACACCTGTCATGTTTGTTTGTTTATTTGTTGTTTAACCCCGCACTCAGCAATATTCCAGCTATATGACACCGGTCTGTAAATAATCAAGTCTGGACCACACAATACTGCGATTGAGATCATGAGCATCGATCCACACAACTGGGATAGTCGCCTCTACCAAGCAGAGTCGCCTTTTACAGCATGTTAAACAGCCACATTCCATTTTTGCAGGATGAGACTTGAGACCAAACAATTCATATTCAGTATCCTTAAGTCAATGAAGAAATACATAATGAATACAGTGTCTTGATGTGCCAGGTTCAAAACTTTCTGATATTCCCTTTTATTTTACAAATTAACTGTTTTTCCTCTCTGTACCAATACACAAACTACTAATATACTAATATCATAGCACATAGTTTCACAAAGCACCAACTTTGGCGAGTCGTAACAAGGTAATCGTGCACAAGTGGTTGCCTATAAATTAAACAAAAAGCACTGTAACTAACAATTATCACTGTTTGACCTGTCTGACATTACCATTGCCTCCTACAGGGGCAGCACTGGCTGGGGTGGAGCCTGTCCCCTGTGCCGGGCCTTGTACAGGGGGGGTACCTGCAGGGGGTGCAGCTTGTGTAGGGGGTGGAGCACCGGTCGTGGCTGCGGGTGGGGCAGGGGCTGGCTGAGCTGGAGGGGGGTCATCAACTACAGCAACTGGTGTAGCAGGAATACCCTGAAAGAACAAGCATCATAGCATACACAGTGTCATTTGTCTTCTGTACAAACAACCAAACATTTCACATCTTAGAATATCTGCATGGATTGCATCTACAGCCATTGACATGACAGTGTAATGGAAACAAAACTTGTATCCTTATACATGTACAGTATTCATTCTTAAGTGTGGTAACACCAGGGCCACGTTCCACAAAGTGATTTTAGCACTACGATCATCGTAAGCCTATGTTATAGTATGGGAGTTACGATCACCTTAGTGCTAAGATTTCTTTGTGGAACAGGACCCAAGTTTAATTCAATTCTGACACTAGAAACATCTTCCTAATGCAGTCGCAGCATGTAGTCTCCAATTTAAATGAATCTTGCATCTTAAACGTAACGCACACTAAAAGCAAAACGTGTGTTTTCATCAGAAATGATCAGTGTACATATGGCATTACAGAGCAAGTTCCATCCCATTGCATGACACCTCCCAAATTAACCCTCCATAATATAGCATAGGACATGAGGCACTTTGTTGTAAAGCTTTAAATTAGGTGTGCTGACAATACGTTATCAACACATCAGGAGTACCAACATTGTATTAGTATTAGTATCATAGTGCTCTTAACTATCAGTAAGAAATATGCCCTTACTAGTCATCTCTACTGTGAGAAAGTGGTTTTATGCCACTTAAAACATTGATTCCGGGTTAGAATAGGTCTTCAGCAACCCCATGCTTGCCATAAAAGGTGACTATGCTTGTTGTAAAAGGCGATTAACGGGATCGGGTGGTCAGGCCCGCCGACTTTGTTGATGCGTGTCATCGATCACAATAACGTGGATCGATGCTCATGAAATTAATCACTCGATTGTCTGGTCCAGGCTCGATGATTTACAGACTGCCTTCATATAGCTGGAATATTGCTGAGTGTGGCGTTAAACAACAAACCAACCAACCAACCCACTTAAAACATTATTTCAGTTTCTGTGGTCTCTTAAAGTAAAGTAAAACAGGTCTAAACGCTCATGCCATTTTGGTGAAATTCCATTTCACAGACATGGGGCTGACAAGTATTATCAGTACGCATCTGAGATAAGTGTCGGCTAAGCCAAAGGGACACAACTCTGCACAGCGTATTGCTCACCCCCTACTGAGAACAGTGTCACTCACCCCTAGCAGATACTCTACAGCTCTGTCTGGGTTGTTGAAGCTAGCCCCAAGTGCCTACACCACCACCAACCCCTACTGAGAACAGTGTCACTCACCCCTAGCAGATACCCTACAGCTCTGTCTGGGTTGTTGAAGCTAGCCCCGAGTGCCTGCACCACCACCAACCCCTACTGAGAACAACGTCACTCACCCCTAGTAGATACTCTACAGCTCTGTCTGGGTTGTTGAAGCTAGCCCTGAGTGCCTGCACCACCATCTCCCTGTCGAAGCCCATGTTCATCATCTCCATCACCATGTTCTCATACTCCTGGCCTGTCACAAGGGAGCTTTCTGCTGACTGTATGGCTGACTGGGGTAATGCACTTGCAGCTAGCTGTGCAGGGGTCTCGCCAGATGCAGATGTCCCAGTGGCTGCTGGGATGCTGATACGGAGGAAGAAGGAGGGTCTTTTATGTTCACAATTGTAATCACAATAATTTTTGTAAAACTTCACAAATGAGAAATTGTTGGTTTTTAGTAGCAGTCAGTAACATTCTAGATGAATGAAAGCAGACATAATTAATAAATGATTCAAGTCTGGGTCAGGCAAACCAATGGTTGACAGCATGAGGAACAATACAAGCTGTATTAACCAATTTGGTGAAACCTACAAGCATGGGTATGGTGCTGACAAACCTAGAAATATAATTTGTGTTGACTAGGATTCAACTCTCCATAGCGAAATGACCCATCCTTAGTAATGAGAATACTATTGTGTAACTAGCTACACAGATTAGGGAAATCATAATTACTATGAAAGATGCAATTTGTATCAAAGTAAACATGAAATAATGAAACAAAATAAACATTTCACGATAAATATGCCATGATATTAAGGGTCAATTAAACTCAAGTAACAAAACCATGGATACACACACAGAGTTTGTACAATCAGCCACACACCTTGCAGGCTTATCCTCTGGCTTAGCTTCCTCGGGTTTGGGTGTGTCTTTTGCCTCTGTCTGTACGGGGGTGGGTGCCGGTGCGGGTGCAGGAGTGGGTGTCTGGGTGGGGGCAGGGGCGGGGGCAGCTGCAGCAGCAGGTTCTGTGGGAGCTGGCTGTGTGCTGGTGCTCTCTGCGGGTTTGGCTGGGGGTGCCGCCTTCGGCTGAAAGATAATATGTGCAATTCATCACTGGTACCTTTTTGTGTCATGTCTCCAGTATAACTTACTTGTGTTGTGATTTTTAGACTGTATTGTTCGAGACTTGGTAATTTTCAATCCTAAAGCCATGAGAAAATTTAACTGAATTATGTATGTAAACATTTTTCCTTCTCTCATCAATACAGATAACAAGACCATATATATAAAACATTCTAGTTTTCTGTACTATACTACTCAACATTTGCGAGGGATACTGGGCCATGTCATACTGTTACCGTATATCGCTGTGTATAAGGCGACCCCACGTATAAGACGACCCCCCTGTACACGCCTTAAAAATCAACCCAAAATCCTATACTCCGTGTATAAGGCGACCTGGAATGAAACACATCACAAGTCTGACTGATATACCGGTAGAAGATTTAACGTGCTCTTGCCGACTGTAGCGTATTTCGCACACGGACATCACAAATTAGTTAGTTAGTTACTTTGGAGATTTAATGTGCGCTTTCCGACTGATGCATATTTCGCACACATCACAAGTGCGCACACAAACCTTATATATGCAATAAAAATATGTTTATCTTGCGTTGTTTTTTTTCTACAATGATAGGTCGCGTGTGTAACTCCGGCACACGTCGCCATTTTGTGTTTACGCGGTACGACACCAAATTGGTGCCCGTAAAATAAAATTCATTTATGAAGTAATAACATATAAGAGACAATGGTGAGTAATTTAATCGCCAATTAACTATTTTGTAACTAACTAGGCTTATGTTTGCTTCACATTCAGCGTGTTTATTCCACAATCACTTGTACACACCGTCTCCAACACTTGTTAATACAACTGTAAAAACAGCGGGAATTGATTTCAGCTTCACCGGTTATCACATGTTAGGTCACATGTGCAATATGCAAATGATCACCGGTACATCCGGCTCTCTACTCACGGATGTTGATTGTTTTACCGTGTCAGCTGGTTTGACAATCTGCATCGAGGAGAGGGTCATATCAACTTTATTTGCAGAAATTATTAAACTTTATTCAAGGACAAGAGATACAAATCATGTTTATGTATGGAAATAGTTATTGGAACAGTTATTTAGGACGAAATGCGAAGTTTTATTGTCAAATGCTGGGCTGGCTATCGGACGCCGGTTGACCTCGCCAGTGGAAAAAAATGTGAGATCTTCGACTCCGTGTATAAGACGACCCCCCTTCTTAGCCCCCTCATTTTAGGTACGAAAAACTCGCCTTATACACAGCGATATACGGTACAAACAACTAAAGGACAGTAAGTGGTGTACTTGAACTGTGTACTTACTTTTTCAACTACACATGAAGCTGAACATGGCAATATGGGATACTATGTGTATGACGCCTGACAGCAAACAATCACACATTCAGGGCCCACACTCAGAACATCCCTATCAAAAGTTGAGTAGCATACTTTTTACTTACCTTTGTTATCATGACAACAACAAAATTCTTCTCTTCTATCTTATAATCTGATATTTTCTTGTCATCTTCTAAAATCTTTCCTGAAAAACAACATTGATAACACATCATATGACAAGTATTCAACCAACTGACTACGGTATTACTGCCAGTAGGTTTGTCAGCTGAACAGCGGGAGAGACTAATTACTGGAAGCAATTTAATTTACTGCTACCACCTTCTTGCTCCAGGCAATTTTATTTATCTTTGGCAAAGTGTATTTATCACCTTTTGAAAATGTGCACTGTGGTTCCCATCACTGTCTTGATTTCCTTGTAACACAGGACAATACTGTGACAGTTTCATTGGGTTTCTTTTCCCATGGCTCGGGGGAAACCCTTGCCCTTCCATTGTTACTACTTCCCCCCCCCCCCCCCCCCCACACACACACCTACACACATGATTGAATGAGTATTGATTTATGCTGCTTTTAGCAATATTTCAGCAATATCACCACAGGGGCACCAGAAATGGGCTTTGCACATTCTACCCATGTGGGGAATCGAACCATGGTATTTACTGTGACAAAGCAACTGCTTCAATTACAAGGCTACCCCACTGCCCCTCAAAAGTGAATGAAAAGAGTGCAAAGTGAGACCCTGGTCAACTTGTACTCATTAACATATTGAATGTTTACTATTTCCCGTCCGTGTAAAAGGACAGTCCAATGTCCACAGAAACTGAAACTGGCTGTTATGGTTGAGACACACACGAATTAAACATTTGACAACATATTTATTTAAATTTTCATTTCAACCACCGACCTAAGGTTTTGAGAAAATATATCTGTGAAGCAACTGATGAACCAGCTCTATATGCCATAGTCTCGCCTCACAGAAACAAAGAGTTTTTATGGACTAAACTGAGTGTTTCTATTATTCAATTTACTGAAAGCTGCAGTGAGCAATATTCCAACTGTCTGAGGGTGGCCATGTATATTATGGAGTCTGCACAGGAAACCAAAGCAAGGATTTGTCTAGGATTCCACACTAAGTGCCCTTGACAAGAAATTGGGACAAAATTGTGATACTGTTCAAAATTTGATTATTTTAGTGTTCTTATTTTGGTAAATCTGGAGGAATTGGGAAGTGTTAATTCAAATTGGGAATTCTTGTTGCCGACTTGGGGCCGAATATCAGCCTCTGAGCAGGCCTAGATAAATCCATGCAATGGCAACAGTTGATCAGCATGATTTGGTCTGTTGTTTAACTCCTCATTCAGCAATATTCTGACCATATGGCAACATCTAGACCAAACAAACCAGTGACTGATATCATGAGCAATGTCCCAAACAATGTGTGTCTGGATGATGTGGGAAATGATCTTGCTCATAATATCAGTGACACACGGTCAACCAAGTCAGCAAATCTGACCACCGGATCCATTGAGTCGCCTCTTACAACTAGCATAGGCTGCTAACACATATTTCAACCTTGGATCCCAAAAGGTGGTTGATAACATGAGCAACAACCCATGGAGTTACAGACTTTGTCAAATTTGGATTTCAGTGAAAATTTGAATTTTTCTCCGGTTACCTCAGTTACTTCATAAATGATCATTACTCACAACTCACCTACAACTCTCTAATACAGACTTTTTACACATCGGACTTTGGACAGAAATTACGGTCCCGGCAACAAATTTACTATTGAAAAGAAGCTGTCTGAATCTGACTGGACCAGACCGGACTGGATGTTCTCTCACTTTGAAGTAAGCTCAGTCATTGTCAGCTAAAACAACAATGCTGATCCTGACAGTAATCCTATTTACATTAACAGTTTCTTGTTGGATTACTTAGATTTTACTCACCTATTAATAAGGAACGATATTGAAAAACATTCTTCAGAAACATAAGCAGTCTGTTCTAAATGACTTTTTCAAGAATGTTTTTATCTATATTTAATGCCAGCCCAGGTCAATACTTGATGTACAGTGTATGTGCATGTGATAAAAAGATGAATGATCTTTGCTTTTTCACTTTCTCTTCAGTCCAACTTTCTGTACCCTGTGTAATCCGGACCTCAGCGTAACCGTAACCAGACTTTTTAACCAGTCCCAACTGAGTCTGAATTGGACAGATTCCGCTGTATGAGCATGATGACAAAATCAGGAAAGCAACACCATATCGTCACCAGCACAGCACAGAGTACTGGGAGCCAATGAAGTACTCTGCCCAGATTTCCAATCAGAACTACAATTACAACTACAATGGACACATAGACAAATTATCTTACCTGCATAAATGAGCTTCTGTCCTGCAGCAGGAAATTCTTTCCCCTTCTCTACCTCCACTTTCTCTTTTAGTTCTTTCACCTGTAAAATGGCAAACACACAATAGTGAGTGAGTGAGTGAGTGAGTGAGTGAGTGAGTGAGTGAGTGAGTGAGTGAGTGAGTGAGTGAGTGAGTGAGTGAGTGAGTGCGTGAGTGAGTGAGTGAGTGAGTGAGTGAGTGAGTGAGAGTGATAAATCTGCTCTGAATAGTAATTTGGTTATATCACAGTATTTCCGCCTGGAGGAATGTCAGTTTCCATGTTGTGAGGTATTAGCACTTTTGGACAGTGTGAATAATTGAAGTGTCAGGAGTAAACATATTAGCATTATGGAGGTAACTCTCATAGAAAATATAGTTCATGGTTACAAATACAACAAAAATGCACACACAACATTGTGGGTTTCAATTTTAACAATGTCTGCATGTCACCACTGATCTACTTGATCATAAAATAATATTACAACAATGTAGCTATTACTTTGAATTAGAAGATTAATTATGAAAGAATATCAATAACTTTACCACTGTAGATATATCAATGTCAACAGTATAATGTATACCACGATGCTTGTGTCAACATAATTCCCCCTGTTCCTTGAAAACAATAACAAATGTTTCAGGAAGTCATAGTTGTGAAAACAGTTTTGTTTTCACATGTTTGATATCTACTTTTATATAACAAAAATATAGAAACTGAAATGTGCCATATTCTCATTCCTTATTCTGAAGGTACCAGGTGTGAATTACAACTTATTTTACCTTCTGGGTTTCACATGTGCTGTGTGAGACTATAAGTACTTGCATGAATAAGTAGCTATGCTACAAAATTTCTTTGCGCCGTGTTGATCCCCTGGATCAGAGTGACCTGGTTTACCACTTTGGTTAACCCCTTAATATATGGGGCCAACATAATAGGGGAAAATTTGAAATCTGATTCAGGCACTACTGAAGAGTGCCTTAGATTATATAGATGGGCAGACCTCTTATTGTTTAAGAGTTTGGACAAAAGTGTAGGTTCAAATATCTGAAGCAAAACATGGACATAAAAAATATTCACAATTGTCCAGTGGTTAAGACAGTAAGATGGGTTACAGGGTACTTTAAACAGTATTTCAGTTATATAACACATGTTATGTTAAGGTATGACGAATTCCTGATGTGATGCACATCTAAGATGTCTACCACTTAGGAAATGTTTGAAGGAACCTACAAACTTGGGTGCTGACAAACCAGGAATCGGATTCACAGCAAAATCGAGGATTCAAATCCACAAACATAGACTTCTCAGGACACAACTGTGCATAGCAAACTGTTGCGCATGTGCCCCTGTCAACTGTTGAAGAGGGAGCAGTCAGTGACAAATGTGAAGGTTGCCCTTGATGGCCACTAGGCTGCTCCACCACACAAGCACCAGCAACACAGAATACAGTGTTCGATGAACCCACTGTCCCAATGGACTACACTGTCCATGTCGCGAAATGATTACTTTTTATGTTCGAACCTGCAACACTTCCAGTGATGTGACTGCCACTCTATATCTGTGCCATGCCCTCAAACAGTGTTCGTCACTAACACTGGACCGCTGGTCAGAGTCTAGAATATTTTCTTATGGATTTGTAAAATGATATAAATACTGGTCCGGTGGTCTGGTGTTATTTTGAAGACAAACAATATAAGTTGTAACAAAATCATGATGGGTATGTGGTTTAATGCATCCTGCGATAGGTTTTTATACCACGAGATGGAGGTGAGAGACGCATAAAACTGAATGTGATCTCAATCTAAGTGATCCTGGGACAAACAAATTTATCTTACCGACATGTTCAGTAAGACATTCATTGTAAAAGAATTAAAACAAATTCAAAATTGATAGAAAACAGCTGTTCTATTGAGCTGAGGTTAACTTGTGCTACGTCACATGACTTTCATTGACTCAGAAAAAGCGTGGAGCTTTTTGCTTTGCAGCTGGGTACTAGGGATTTGCATAAGGGATTTATTCTCCTGCTGAGTAATTTATTTCCCTCCAAGGTGGGATAGAACGTAGTGTAACAAGATCATGTGAACGAATGAGATCGCATCATTCTGACATAGAGGTATGATAAAGTAATTTTAGGTTTGTACAACTCAGCAATAGATTTGACTAGAAAAGTCAAACCAAACAAGCAAGCTAAACAACCCTGCGTGGTACAGTGGTTACCTTCTTGGCCTTTCTAGCACAGTGAAGTCAGACCTTTTAAAACCCTTTTGGTCTGTAGCATTGTGTTTAGTAGAGGCACATGCGCCTGTATTAAGCAGCGCCTGTATTAAGCAGTGCATTTACTGAATAGTCTTGCTGATTTTGCAATACACTTGAACCATATGTGCATTAACCATGAATCATCAACGTAGCCTGTACTGATATGCAGAATGGTGTCTTTTGAGAGTTGGAAACAAATATTGTCGGTGTCCAAGACTTTTTCAGTCCTACTCTTATTCTGCCCAGCATTCCTGTCAGGGGGATAGAAATTACTTACTGAGATAGTAATTAAAATTGTTTATATGAATCTCACTAACCAATGATATGTAAACTCTTTCACATGCTTATTTAGAAAAAGATATATTGGTCATCCCAGCAAATGAGCTAAGTGTAATTTGATTCCTGCAAACTAGAATTGGCAAAATAGCTACACACATATTTGGAGTCCCCCGAGTCCCCTTACATAAAAGATTTGATTAATTAACTAGATCAGTGTGCAACAGTTTTAGACCAATAGCCATTGGTGTGCTTTCAACTGATGAGACTGGTATGTGGTATGAGTTGAAAGCGCTAGTCAATTAAAACTGTTCAATTTTACTTCAGATATTTCTTTTTGCTGTATTGTGCCTGAGAGAACTAGAACTCTACTGTGCTTTTTACATATATTTTGAAAGGAAATAATGTACCATAGACATCAGGATACACCTACTTCAAGTATCGGTACATAATGCATACACAGGTGCCAAATTGGTACATGTCACTATATTTAATTTGTGTTGTTTCTACTAGTGAGTTTCTCAATGTTCCATGTGGCCCGTCTGGGATTGTTGCTATCAACCAGTTTATGTTTAAATCAAATGACAAGTTCATTTAGGCCCATTGTAATCTAGTCGTATTATGCAATATGATTTAGAATTTTGTTTCATGATTGTCCGTAAACGTAACCTCAGCAAAACGGCACTGATTGGCGAAAATGGAACCTTGCCAAAAGCGAAAACTGCTACTTTTGGGAGGTGAATACAGCACCATATTTTTACCTTGGTTTATAAAAAATATGAAAATGTGAAATGTTAATTGCCTTAAAACATGCTAAAAGTAATAATTAGCCTCTACTCTGATACACCCGCTGACACTGATGATAGCGGACAACGATACTTGTGGATGGTGAAATCAATCGCAAGATGACATTGAAAATATAATAGAAATAAAGGATAAATGAATACTGTATTACCATCACATAAAGCACATATGTACTACTACATAGATTATGTACCATTTTCGTCTGATGAAATCGGTGACATTTTGCTAAGTCAAATACATTAATTTGATCACACTCCTCAACTCCATACTTGTATGGCGGTATCGGTAAAAATATGGATTATAGAAAATAATTTCGATAACGACACCAATGCTTATTTTGATATACATAGCAAATAACACAGATGGATGACAGTTGCTGCGGAACTCATTTCCACTGTTCTTGTTTACTTCCGGATATTCCAAAGAGATTTCCCTCAAGTAGATTTTCACTAAGGTCAAATATTTTGAGCTTGATTATGGAATCAATCAATCAATAGATGACATTGAAAATATAATAGAAATAATAGATAAATGAACATTACCATCATATAAAGCACATATGTACTACTACATAGATTATGTACCGTTTTCGCCTGATGAAATCGGTGACATTTTGCTAAGGTGACATTTTAACCTGCACCTGCATTTATTGTAAATGGCAGGTGAATTTGTGAAACCCCTATAATGCATTATACACATGGAGACAGGCATAGATCACATAGATGTAAGCAAATGATAAGTGTTCATGTGATGACCTCACTGAGCATGCTTAAGAAAAACGTTTTCTATAATATTGTGATTGGTATGTACGATAAATTGATCAGAACATCAGATTCACTTCACATTAGCATATGTATACAAAGTGTACATGATATATGTCGGTATATCTGGGATATCTTGAAATTCTCATCAATACATTTTGAAATACTTTAGAATATAAAAATACCACCTAGGTAGTGGTTGTGATATGTATTCACAAAATCATTTACAAGCGCAAATGGGTGCGGTGTAATTTCTGAAGATGAGTTCTAATTTACTGATAACTGCCATTTTATTTTTAACGACACATTCATGAATGTTCTGCGGCCTTGTCGCATCATAAGTACCTCATAATGAAACTCTCATTACCAACTCTCAAATACTGTAAATCTGAAATAAAATAGTTCTTTTTCTAACAGAAAATCGTACAGTTACGCTGAAAGCAGTTATATCACTGTTGGAAATAAGAGAACGCGTGGGTAATCACAGCTATTGACGGAAATACACTTGTGGCATTGTGCCGATTTTTTCTTACCGTTGATTCCTCTGCGATATCAACCTTAAACGTTTGTTGTTGCAAGGTTTTAAGTGTAATTAACATTTTGAATTTCAGATTCTACGAAACCACCGGAAACTACAAATAAATAATGATAAATGCTTCAACAAATGTTGCAAAGTAATGCTACCCTTGTCGGGCTCGCCGCCATGAAAGTGCGTATCGCAGTAAATTATCATTGAAATATCACGTCAAATACATTAATTTGATCGTACTCCTCTACTCCATACTTGTATAGCGGTATCGGTAAAAATATTGATTATAGAAAATATTTTCGATAACGACACCAATGCTTATTTTGATATACATAGCGAATTACAAGGATGAATGACAGTTGCTGCGGAACTCATTTCCACTGTTCTTGTTTACTTCCGGATATTCCAAAGGGATTTCCCTCAAGTAGATTTTCACTAAGGTCAAATATTTTGAGCTTGATTATGGAAGTTAAGAAGCTTGACAGTATGGACAGTATACCTCCAGATGGATGTTGTGCATTTTTCTTACCGAAGAAGAGGCGATTCTGCAAATTTAGACCAAACACAGGACAAAAATACTGTGCTGAGCACGCCTGTGTAATGGGGGTAAGGAAATGAAAGTTCAGCAGACACAGGCAAACGGAGGATGTGTTCAGAATACTCGCCCTAATGATTATGTTAAGCAGTGAATAAACTACTTACTAGGGTGAAACATAAAGCATTTTAACGGTCACATCATTCGTGACATTTGCTGAACGTTGACTGTATCAGATAAACAAGGAAGCCATTTCAGTTTTCCATATGTTTTTTTCTTTTTAGATTTCGAATATTGTGTTATCATTTAATTGCTAGATTAAAATTCATCTAAGAACATGAGTCAGCAGACAAATATAGAGGTGCTTGAACCCAATTTGCAATAACTATCAATTGTCCCATGCCTAGTCTCTCGAAAACTTGGTTACTGTATGAATACAAATACAAACACTCCTTTCTGTGCAATAATGTATTGAATACAAATACATTGAAAATGTATAGGAATACATTACTGAATACATTGAATATGATTTCTGTTCCCCATCATGTTCAGTTGGCTTCTTTCTGTTGTCACTGTATCATTCAACCATTATCCTTTGTTGATGTTAATCCCTTTCGTGTACATCCTTAGGTTGTTCTTCTTAAATCCTTATAAGATGTATATAAGTCTGTACTGTGCTGCTGTCTTACTTGTTTGGGGCGATGGGGTAGCCTAGTGGATAAAGTGTTTGCTTGTCACACTGAAGGCCCAGGTTCAAATTCCCAGATGGGTACAATGTGTGAAGCCCATTTCTGATGTCTCCCGCTGTGATAGTGATGGAATATTGCTTAAAGCAGCATAAAAACATACTCACTCACTCACTCACTCACTCTTAATGCTTGACAATGGTATATGGATCTATACGAAAACATCGCATCATAACTGAATAAAGAAGTTGCCATCCATAAAATATCTTGTCTTTACTGTTACTTACCAACTTTTAAAAATGCCAATCAAATGAATTGATAGGTGATTCAAATCATGAATGCTGTACATCAAATTGTCAAACATTTTTGGCAAGTTTCCTTTTCAAATACCAATTCATATTTCTTATTTTGTGACATAAAATATTGTTTCACCAGATCCAGCCTGGCAGTATATGTTATAACTTTCCTGATTGGACACACTGACATGGCCTGCTGGTAAAGTGTGCTTTGTTTTTTGCAGGTTCAACTGGAAAGAAAAAGAATACCATGTCCTCTGGATCCAAAACAGTAAGTTTTTCAATTTCAAAATTATCAGCTGATCATTGTAACCAGCTAGTAGAACAAATAACAGTTAACATGTTTTTCTTGTTCAGCATGTTCAGAGCAACCATATTGATAGTTAGGTTATTATGTTTATATGGTCTCTGTTGTACAGAGGATGTCAAAACCATCATCATGATAAAAATGTACACTTTGGTAGCATTGAAAGAATGGATGAAGTTGAAACCTCATTTTCTCTCCGTTTCAGCACCTGTTATGAAGACAGTCTGGAGAAACACTTAAAGAAATGTAACAAAAGTGTAACAAAGAATGCTGTTGAGGTGAATGACGTCCTGATATATTTACAAGCATATCTATTTGGGCTGGGACGGGTAACTTGGGTACCCGGGTCGGGTGGGTACTGAGTAGGACCTGGGTACCCACAGGACTACCCGGACCCGTGGTTAGTCACGTGATATGTTGTTTCATGACAAAAATCCACTATATAACTACATGGTTACACGACAATTTTAAATATCTAATGTTCGCATTTCTTCATGACTATGAACACGTTCCTTCTGACTTAAATATGTTTGAACAAAGCTAAAACTTCAGTCAACTTCAGTGTATGCATGATCACATCGTTTTATACATATATCTAAAAACATTCTGCCAGGGCTACTGTCAAACTATTATCAATTGGACATCTTGCACCTATCTATCACACCAACAGTGGGTACCCGGGTAGGATCGGGTAATAGGGGTGTGGGTACCCGGGTAGTAAATTTGGACCTGTCCCAGCCCTAATATCTATATGCTTCTTGTTCTGATTATGCACTTTCCAGGGATTCCAGGGCAGTAGATCCCTGGTACCCACTGCTTGTCATAAATGCTGACTATTTTTAATCAGGAGGTTGAATGACCTGACTGATTGTATGTCAGTGTACTCCAACAGTGTGGATAGTTGTTCATGCTGTCAACCACATGTTTGAATAGCCCAAAATTGATCATTAACATGACACTTATAGTGGTACAGACAAACACCACAGTGTCAAAGTTGAAGGGACCTACGTAAGTACTTTGAGTTATTCAAAGTTCTACACAACAGAAAATGATGAATAAAGAAGGAATATGCAGGGACCAAGCTTTTACTTTGAGACAAACATAAGTTCACCACATCAAAGTTTGTCACAACAAAAGTGTAAACATAAGAATAGTATTGTTTAATGTTTATTCTCAGAAAATAACAATAAACTGGTGGATTGTTAACTTAGTAACTCTAACCCCCGAATATAGGGCGTGCAACTTTTCAAAACTGACCGTCCGTCAGCAAAATACATCATCTCGGACAGGTGCGTATGTTAAACACTGATACATGGTGTCATTCAAGTGCACACATGGGAAAACAAACAGCAGGTTATTTTTTCATCAATATGTATTTGGGGGCAATAAGACAATGTTTGGTCATGAGGTTGGCAGGGATGATAATCTAATAATTGATGTATGTAATATTTAAGCGATAAAGCTACTTTTAGTGCTTGGTTCCGAATGCCAAAGAAGAGGTGTCAATTCTACAGTGAGACCACCTCAAATTTCGTGGTTAGGTTTATCTCCTCCTGGTTGTCTGCTGATGCTGTTGTCTTCTGTCCTGGTTGCCAGGGCTACCACCAGCAGGGCATCAACGCCGGCAATGATGACGGAGATGCTGCCCCTCAACCCAAGGTTTGTTCATATTCTTCTTCTTCTTTTTTTCTAGGCCTTCTGATAACATTTTTTTAAATTAAATTGTTTTGCCACTTTTGACAGAAAGCATTTATTCCTGCAAATTTGTACTCAACTCCTTGATGTTGTCACAAAGATATAGTTACTGCTTAGCGGACTGCTGTGGGCCATTTTGCTGGAACTCTATGCCAGTGTTATAAAACGTTTGATGTGTTTATGAACATGAAACCACCAGTGTGGGTCAAAAGGTACATATCCAATATCAGCATCTGTTATTTTGATGTCAGGGGTGTTCAAATACCAAATCTTCCTACTTGCCCAAGGGCACATAAACTTACAAGTACATTCTCCATGCCCGTTAAACTGTCATTACTTATACTACTCCTGAGATAAAGTTTCATTTTGACAAAAAATAGTTTATTACTGTAGCAACAGCTAATGGAAGATGTGCAGAATAGAAAAATATCTAGTCAGTTCATCTGCAGTTGAAAAACACACAATGCATCTTCTAAGTTTCAAAGTTAATACTGCCGATTTTCATACTTGCCCAAGGGCAAGTAAATCTTATTTTCACAGGTCGGGCAAGTTGGGCATACTAATTGAACACCTCTAGATGTTCTCAAAATATTCTGATTTGGCTTTTTTTCACTGGCGATGTGGATAAAAAGTTCTAAAGTTTAGTTTTCCATTTTAATGAATTAATTTGAGATATTTTCTAAAAACGTATCCCCCTCAAATAAAATGATGGTTGATGATATATTTAGGCCCATGTCATGTATGTGACAAGGTCTTAAGATCTGTTGAAACTGTCATTGTGTCTGAAAATTGTGTTTAATTCATGAAGACATCAATCATAGGGTTCACCATTGTCGAGGACTACATTCAACTCAGTGTTCGCAATAAGTGCCTGCCCGTGGGCCTGTGGCAGGTAGATCTCATGTCGGGGCTGTAGTTTCAAATTTGTGGGGGTTCTTGTGTCCTGGAATAAATTTGTGTGTCAATTTATTTGTCACAATAAGCTGCATTTTTTGTTTAAATGATGGCCTGAAGATTTTAACCAGAGCCTGCAGGTTCTATAGTCTGTGGGTCCTGATGGCAGCCTGGCCAGCTTGCCATCTCAAACACTGGTTCTAGTAATGTTTCAATCAGAGCGTGGTTTGTTTATTGCAGGTGACTGTGTGTACTGTGAAGGATGAGGAACTGCAAATTCTCATCGACAGAGTGAATAAATTATACAACGGTAATACATATACGCAGCTGAACACTTTCTGTCAAATTCTGATTGTTGATTTCCAACTATGTTGAATTTTGTCTAGAAATGTAGATGAGACAGTATAAACCTCATTCATCAATGGGTTGATCATTCCAAAGTGATTATAGCAAAGTGTCGAACAGAGACTGCAGTAAATTCCTAGATTGCTGTAGAATAATGTTGACTGTCACTGTCAGTCTCGGCACAGATGGAGTCAATAGTTTGGGTGTGCCTTTCTTTGTTTTGTTCACTAGGAGGGGTCGTAGTGACGATCTTTAATCACAGGCATGCAGACAAACAGTCTGAATTTTTCCAGTGTGGGATAAAATGCTGAGTTCAAAGACCAAGGTGTCTAAATGATCAGACAACATATGTACTCTTGCTACAGGATTCCCTGGGGTTTCCCCAGGAATGTAAAAGTGAGTGAGTGAGTGAGTGAGTATGGTTTTATGCTGCTTTAAGCAATACTCAAACGGGCTTCACACATTGTACCCATGTGGGGAATCGAACCTGGGTCTTCGGCATGACGAATGAATGCTTTAACCACTAGGCTACCCTACCACCCCAAATGTGGAAGTTGTCCGTCAGTGTTTATATCATTTCAAGAAAACAGTCTTGTGAAAAACATATGAATGGATAAATGTGTCATTTATACACTAATTAACACTGGCTTCACATTTATGGGACAGGCCACCTATCCAATGGAAAACGTAAACTTCTCATGAAAAAATATTACAGATTACGTTTTCTCAGCACTGATAACAAATGACCTAAACATAAAGCCCAATCTGTCATAGACTAAATAGAGTACTTTAATTTAATGTTTACTTCAATGTTACCTTGAATATATAACCAATAGAATGTTATTGAGATGAATTATGTCCCCTGACAGAACACATACAAGACATCAAGACAGACATCCTCAGCCACAGTTGTCTGAGGGAAGAGTTGGAGAATCCTTCATATGGCACACCGGCACTGAGACATCGCAAACAGCAGGTAACACACACAATGTGCATTAGGACTGTATGTCTCAAGACATGGGTACAAAATGCCTGATTGAGTATTGTTCGAACGGAGCTTTGGCAAGAGTCTTTAGGTACATGTATAACACGATCTGGTCATGCATACACTGAAGTTGACTGAAGGTTTATCTTTACCCAAACATATAAAAGTCAGAAGCTACGCGTGCATTATCAGAAAAAAACGCCAATATTATTGACTTGTATTGTAACCATGGAGTTCTAGATAATTTTTGTCATTAAACAATACTAGTATATCACATGACTAACAACGGGTCCGGGTAGTCATGTAGGTACCCGCATCCTACTCAGGAGCCGCCCCCGGCCCGAGTACCCGAGTTACCCATCCCAGCCGTAATGTGCATGTAAGTTTCAGTACAGCTTTGGGCAAGGGCAGGTAACTCTACCCAGACTTCAGTGGCATGACAATGATGTCAAAGAGTACCTGTCCCTGTAGTGAAATTGTGTCTTTGTACCATTTTTCTCTAGGGGAATTTAGCCCTGGGACTGTTTTCCCTAGGAAACCTTTTCCATGATACATTTACACTGGCAATATTTGTTCTGGATGAAACTACTTCCATGTGGAACTGATCAGCGTTGACAATGACCCTTCATTGTCACTTTGAACTCAAGCAGTTGTATATGATTTTGCCTTTTTTATGTGAATGTTTACTATTTCCACAGTAACAAGTATTCATTTCTGTCTAGGATGTGTTTTTGTTTTATTTGGTGTTTACAGTGGCCAGGGATTATGGATGAAGGGGATGTTGTCGGCACGGGTACTACAGATATGTACCCCAGGTACCAAAATCAGAATACAGAAAGGTACCTGGTACCCTTAACGGCAGACGGGTCCTTATTCCTCAACCCAAAAACGAAACCGGGTCATGCTGTAGTTCTGGTTCGCCGAATGATGAGTGCACGTAGGAGAATGCTGTGCATTGTGAAATATTAGAGTAATGTATGTACATCACCGTGATTGCTCACTTTTTATATAGCACACTGGAATGCATCTCATACAACATGACAGTTCTGATCCATTTATGGAAAGGAAATGCCAAGAGAAAAATAAAAATATACAGCGTGTACTGCCATGTAGAATTGTACTGCAGTTTGGGATGAAGGACGTGTTGTAAAGCGTTCAAGGAGCCGGTTCAGCGCATTGCGCAATACAGCCTGTGGCAGAATGGACTCACCCTAGGGTACCTTTCTGTATTCTGATTTTGGCTAGGGTACATTTCTGTATACAAAAACGTACCAGGGGTACATATCTGTAGTACCCGTGTTGACAACAACCCCTTCAGCGGGTTGATGATCTGCATCTGATTAGTTATTATCTTACAACACCAACGGTTTATATTTGTCATAACTTATAAGGGTGAGAAATAAAAATCACAAGTTTAATTGATCTCACCAACTGTCATTGTTGGAGATCCGTTAATTCTGTGCATGAAGACGCTTCTAAACTGTCTACAGGAAGAAAATCAAGTATTTGAGTCAGATATGTTAGCATCTTGTTGTTTCCTGCAGTGACACACAGCTCATGTGATAGTAGCTTTCCCACTGAAATAATCTTAGATAATGTGAAGTGTTGGTGAGATACGTGACCATGGTTATTGCAGGCCTCGCTGGTCGGCCACCTAGACAAGCTGCAGCTGCTGAAAGATGGCGTCTGCTTTGTGGAGATGGGTGCAGGGAAAGGTATGTTGTCAGGTCCGTGCATGGTACAGGGCAGGGTTTCTGTTTTCAGTCCTGACCCTTAAATACCCAACACTACCATAGACAGGCTTGAAAGTGCCTTGAATCTGGGCTTGAAAAGGACATAACATTGAATCAGCTTTTAAAAAAAAATTGATAATATGTCTTGTACATGTTCACATTTAATTTGACTATCATTGTTAACTCTGCCGTAAATTAGATGTTTTATTATTGTTTTTCCACTATTAATTTCTGATGTCATGTCGCAAAAGTAAGTCCAATACTTGATTGATAAATCAAATAGAAACACTGATTCGACTTAGATTTTAATAGTTTAGTTGGATGTGCATTTTGACAATAAAATAAAGAATGTCTTAATATATCTGTTTTGAAATAAATTTGTGGGTCTTACTTCCTGAAAAGTGTGACCATTGCTTTGAAAAGGCTTTATAATGTCCTTAAGTTTGGTTGGTGGCAAGGTGGTTTAATCGTCATCTTACTCCTGGAAAGGATCATTGTGTAGCCTTGTCACATAGGATCACTGATCACTAGGGGATTGTAATCTTCTCAAAAACCTTTTTTGAATAAAATGTCTTTTTTATTACGTTATTGTTGAAGTAGAAATGTTCCCCCAATGTGTGATGTCCCTCGTACAGGTCAGCTGTCTCACTGGGTCCAGCGAGCGGTGGAGAAGTGTGATAAAGTTTCCTTCGTCTTGGTGGACAGAGGCACGATACGATACAAAGTAAGGACATGGAGGTGTTGGCACTCAAAATAAGCTAATATACATTTGGGTATCTCAATATTTAAATGTTTTGAGACATGAATATTATTAAGTTGTTTGGTTAGGTTTGTTTAGTTGGAAAAAATGATTAATTATGAGTGCAGGACATTTAGTATTTTTACAGTAATATGTATATATAAGAGAAGGTTTTATTTTACTTTTTTAAGGGGGATTGCGGAGACGAGAGACTACCTGACAATGCATTTAATTAATTATTATTAAGAAAGTTAATAGTTCATAGTTTTACTGATCCTTCAAAGATGAGCACATTAAATAAATATTAATAAACAATAAAACTATTTTTATTTTATTTTCTGCTTTGGTTTAGTTTAATCTGTAACAGAAAATAGAAAGTTGTCACATAATATTCCAAATACTATTTCAGCTTGACAACCAGCACCGAGAAGAACAGGGACCAAAGTTTGAGAGGCTCAGGATAGACATTGAACACTTAAATCTGGGTGCGTCATGTTGTTTGATATCTTGTTGGGGTTTCTACAGGAAGTATGTGGATGTGTTACTGCTGATGATCAGTAGTGGCGGTGGAAGCTGAAACATTAACATTAACCACTCTAAGGAATATGTGCTTCATTGCATCAACATCGATTTTGATGAAACATCAAGAATCAAAAGCATTTGTGAATCACATACCAGTAAATAAATAACAGTTCATTGAGTTTAGTGTTTCATCTTTCCTCTGTATCTGTAACCACCTGCATTTCCAATTAAAAGATATACAAAGGGAGGTAATTCAGTGGTTGCACACTGTATGCATATCACTAGTGAATTAAATTGAATAAATGTACGTTTTTACCATGTCGTCTTGATTCTTTGTTTCAGGGAAGTATAACACAATATCAGCAGATGACCACCGTCCAGTGGTTGCGATGGGAAAACACTTGTGTGGTGCAGCCACAGGTACTAATTGCAGTAATATCACGTCTTCCACTCTCATACGATATATTCCTCTCTGCTTGAAGATCTGATCAGGTGAACCGTCCAGGCAATCTGACCACCATTTCTGTTGTAAAGGATAAAGGCCACACCATTGAATTGTTGCCAAACATGTTCTACCCCCTGTTGGTTCTGAGGGCCATGAGCACTCTACACCCAATCAGTCCCCCGAAGGAATATATATGTTGTGTGTGGGTTATCTATTTTTTACCTCAAAATGTCATCAAAGTGGTAAAGAAATGAAGATGAGTTGCTTTAAAATCAGCCAATAAATCAATCAGAAAGAAGACATATGATTGGCTCAAGAACCCACGCTTCCTTCATTTTATTGGACAGTGAATATTCACTCAGGGTTGACCTTACACGACTTTCTATGGATATGGCATCAGATCAGATCTTCACGAGGTATTGCATTGCTGTAAACATCTGATTTAGGCCACAGGGACTGAATGTTGTGAAGTTCTGATGGAAATGCCAAATTTGATATATTTGTATTGTCGCAAAAATATTTATATAAAGGTAGCCAGTCATATCAGTCTTTACACAGCTATGTTTAATGAATAATAAGATTTTGTCAACTAATTAATTTTTGTTTATCTTTTCAATCTTATGGTTCAAAAGGATTGTTTTTCACCACTTTGCTAGATCTAGCACTGAGATGTCTACTTGAGACACTTCCCAAGTCAGATGACAACCAAACCTGTGAACAATCTCCTTCCAAGAAGCCCAGAACAGAACATAAACACAGGTAGTCACTAATCACACTGTTTGTGTTGGGGCTGTCAGGTAGCCCAGTGGTTAATGCGTTCGCTCGTCACGCCGAAGACCCGGGTTCGATTCCCGACATTGGTACAATGTGTGAAGCCAATTTCTGGTGTCCCCTGCCGTGATATTGCTGGAATACTGCATACTCACTCAATCATTGTTGGTGTTGCCCTGTAGAAGTAATGCCCATTATTTTCTTCTATTTTTCAAGACTTCCTACTTTCCTTACAAGTACACTATCATTTTGTTCCCTGGCAACCTCCATAGGGATGTCCCCAGTACCCCATGTGACATGATGGTGTCATTGAACCCAGAGACCCATGAAGATCCGGGTTAGAATAGGTCTTCAGCAACCCAGGTTGGCCTTGCGTAGATCTATGCTCACGGTGTCAATCACTAGACTGTCTGGTCCAGACTAGATTATTTAGAGACCACTGTCATATAGCTGGCATATTGCTGAGTGAGGCGTTAAACAACAAACATTGGACCCCGACTGCATGGGTAGTGCTCATCATCCATGTGTTTCTCTGTCCCAAGCCATCTTCCCGAGGCAAGAGAGTTAACTGACTATATAAGTCCAATTTCCACCCTTGACAAACTAGGCTGGTATTATGGAGTTACATTTTGGCTGGACTAAAGAGTCTATGCATAGTCCAATCAAAATCACGCAACGAAATAGAAATCCGGTAACGTAAACTGTTGTGCTGATTTCGGTCGATTGCAGGATTTGCAAAGCATGTGCACCGCCAACTCCCTGTCAACAGATATTTTCCAAATCTTTCCATGTTTTTAATCAAGGTGCTCGCGTGATTTGATGCATTTTGTGATGTAAGATCCATTTTATTACAATATAGACCTTGATTATCGATCAGATCGTCTTGACTGGGAGCCACTGTTATGTTTGAAGCAAATGCAAGTGATACGAGAGGTGGAATCTTATTGGTCTATAGGAGAGGCTTAGAAGGGACATAACTTGTAATAGCCACTGGTGGCGCTACGATAGAGCCAAGAAATTCCAGGGGGGAAACTGGACTTTTAAGGTCAGTTAACTCCCTTGCCTCGGGAAGATGGTCCCAAGCTTGATTGTCTAAAGGATGACAGGGTTCAAATTAACATTAGCCAGGAGGGACTAGTGACATTTCCTTGTGGGCTACCACGTTCACCATTATTAAGATGACAATTCTGTAGCAGATGATTTTTGCGGACTTGTAATAAAAAAATAATAATTTATACCTGAGCGGCTGCAATGATAGAGCAGACTGTGGTGTTCCCTTACTGCCAGGGCAACTTATATTTGAACAATTTATGAGGATGATAAAATGGTTGCTGAAGGCTGCTTGGAGGCCATTATTGCTACTTTTGTCTTATAAATGCATGGATTCAAATTCATGTAATATGTTTTACTCACTGTATACTCTAAGACAAATAAAAATTATAACTAATGTGAAAAGTAATTAAACATGTTCCCTCCTTCCTAGGCTGCCCTCGGGTGTAGTGATAGCGCTGTGCTGCCACCACCGATGTACCTGGAAGGCATATGTTGGCAAGGAGTTCATGAAGCACTGTGGGATATCAGCCCGAGACTTCCAGCTCCTCAGCAGCATGAGCAGCTGGGCCACCTGTACCTGGAAGGGCTGGAGGAAGACAGGTAGGTGACTGGGTGATGGGCTGGAGGGAGACAGGTAGGTGGCTGGGTGTTGGGCTGGAGGGAGACAGGTAGGTGACTGGGTGTAGGGCTGGAGGGAGACAGGTAGGTGACTGGGTGTAGGGCTGGAGGGAGACAGGTAGGTGGCTGGGTGTAGGGCTGGAGGGAGACAGGTAGGTGACTGGGTGTAGGGCTGGAGGAAGACAGGTAGGTGACTGTGTGAAGGGCTGGAGGGAGACATGTAGGTGGCTGGGTGTAGGGCTGGAGGGAGACAGGTAGGTGGCTGGGTGTAGGGCTGGAGGGAGACAGGTAGGTGGCTGGGTGTAGGGCTGGAGGGAGACAGGTAGGTGGCTGGTAGTAGGGCTGGAGGGAGACAGGTAGGTGACTGGGTGTAGGGCTGGAGGGAGACAGGTAGGTGACTGGGTGTAGGGCTGGAGGGAGACAGGTAGGTGGCTGGGTGTAGGGCTGGAGGGAGACAGGTAGGTGACTGGGTGTAGGGCTGGGGGAAGACAGGTAGGTGACTGGGTGTAGGGCTGGGGGAAGACAGGTAGGTGACTGGGTGTAGGGCTGGAGGAAGACAGGTAGGTGGCTGGGTGTAGGGCTGGGGGAAGACAGGTAGGTGACTGGGTGTAGGGCTGGAGGAAGACAGGTAGGTGGCTGGGTGTAAGGCTGGAGGGAGACAGGTAGGTGGCTGGGTGTAGGGCCCGAGGAAGACAGGTAGGTGGCTGGGTGTAGGTCTGGAGGGAGACAGGTAGGTGGCTGGGTGTAGGGCTGGAGGGAGACAGGTGGGTGGCTGGGTGTAGGGCTGGAGGGAGACAGGAAGGTGACTGGGTGTAGGGCTGGGGGAAGGCATGTAGGTGACTAGGTGTAGGGTTGGGGGAAGACAGGTAGGTGACTAGGTGTAGGGCTTGGGGAAGACAGGTAGGTGACTGTGTGTAGGGCTGGAGGGAGACAGGTAGGTGACTGTGTGTAGGGCTGGAGGGAGACAGGTAGGTGGCTGGGTGTAGGGCTGGAGGGAGACAGGTAGGCCGCTGGGTGTTGGGCTGGAGGGAGACAGGTTGGCTGGGTGTAGGGCTGGGGGAAGACAGGTAGGTGACTGGGTGTAGGGCTGGGGGAAGGCAGGTAGGTGACTGGGTGTAAGGCTGGAGGGAGACAGGTAGGTGGCTGGGTGTTGGGCTGGAGGGAGACAGGTTGGCTGGGTGTAGGGCTGGGGGAAGACAGGTAGGTGACTGGGTGTAGGGCTGGGGGAAGGCAGGTAGGTGACTGGGTGTAGGGCTGGAGGAAGACAGGTAGGTGACTGTGTGAAGGGCTGGAGGGAGACATGTAGGTGGCTGGGTGTAGGGCTGGAGGGAGACAGGTAGGTGGCTGGGTGTAGGGCTGGAGGGAGACAGGTAGGTGGCTGGGTGTAGGGCTGGAGGGAGACAGGTAGGTGCTGGTTGTAGGGCTGGAGGGAGACAGGTAGGTGACTGGGTGTAGGGCTGGAGGGAGACAGGTAGGTGGCTGAGTGTAGGGCTGGAGGGAGACAGGTAGGTGGCTGGGTGTAGGGCTGGAGGGAGACAGGTAGGTGGCTGGGTGTAGGGCTGGAGGGAGACAGGTAGGTGACTGGGTGTAGGGGTGGGGGAAGACAGGTAGGTGACTGGGTGTAGGGCTGGGGGAAGGCAGGTGGGTAACTGGGTGTAGGGCTGGAGGGAGACAGGTAGGTGACTGGGTGTAGGGCTGGAGGGAGACAGGTAGGTGGCTGGGTGTAGGGCTCGAGGGAGACAGGTAGGTGGCTGGGTGTAAGGCTGGAGGGAGACAGGTAGGTTGCTGGGTGTAGGGCTGGAGGGAGACAGGTAGGTGACTGGGTGTAGGGCTGGGGGAAGACAGGTAGGTGGCTGGGTGATGGGCTGGAGGGAGACAGGTAGGTGACTGGGTGTAAGGCTGGAGGGAGACAGGTAGGTGGCTGGGTGTAGGGCTCGAGGAAGACAGGTAGGTGGCTGGGTGTAGGGCTGGAGGGAGACAGGTAGGTGGCTGGGTGTAGGGCTGGAGGGAGACAGGTAGGTGACTGGGTGTAGGGCTGCAGGGAGACAGGTGGGTGGCTGGGTGTAGGGCTGGGGGAAGGCATGTAGGTGACTAGGTGTAGGGTTGGGGGAAGACAGGTAGGTGACTAGGTGTAGGGCTGGGGGAAGACAGGTAGGTGACTGTGTGTAGGGCTGGAGGGAGACAGGTAGGTGACTGTGTGTAGGGCTGGAGGGAGACAGGTAGGTGGCTGGGTGTAGGGCTGGAGGGAGACAGGTAGGCCGCTGGGTGTTGGGCTGGAGGGAGACAGGTTGGCTGGGTGTAGGGCTGGGGGAAGACAGGTAGGTGACTGGGTGTAGGGGTGGGGGAAGGCAGGTAGGTGACTGGGTGTAAGGCTGGAGGGAGACAGGTAGGTGGCTGGGTGTAGGGCTCAAAAGGGAGACAGGTAGGTGGCTTGGTGTAGGGCTGGAGGGAGACAGGTAGGTGGCTGGGTGTTGGGCTGGAGGGAGACAGGTTGGCTGGGTGTAGGGCTGGGGGAAGACAGGTAGGTGACTGGGTGTAGGGCTGGAGGGAGACAGGTAGGTGACTGGGTGTAGGGCTGGAGGAAGACAGGTAGGTGACTGTGTGAAGGGCTGGAGGGAGGCAGGTAGGTGGCTGGGTGTAGGGCTGGAGGGAGACAGGTAGGTGACTGGGTGTAGGGCTGGAGGGAGACAGGTAGGTGGCTGGGTGTAGGGCTGGAGGGAGACAGGTAGGTGGCTGGTTGTAGGGCTGGAGGGAGACAGGTAGGTGACTAGGTGTAGAGCTGGAGGGAGACAGGTAGGTGGCTGGGTGTAGGGCTGGAGGGAGACAGGTAGGTGGCTGGGTGTAGGGCTGTAGGGAGACAGGTAGGTGACTGTGTGTAGGGCTGGAGGAAGACAGGTAGGTGACTGGGTGTAGGGCTGGAGGAAGACAGGTAGATGACTGGGTGTAGGGCTGGAGGGAGACAGGTAGGTGGCTGGGTGTAGGGCTGGAGGGAGACAGGTAGGTGGCTGGGTGTAGGGCTGGAGGGAGACAGGTAGGTGACTGGGTGTAGGGCTGGAGGGAGATAGGTAGGTGACTGGGTGTAGGGCTGGAGGAAGACAGGTAGGTGACTGGGTGTAGGGCTGGAGGGAGACAGGTAGATGACTGGGTGTAGGGCTGGAGGGAGACAGGTAGGTGTAGGGCTGGAGGGAGACAGGTAGGTGACTGGGTGTAGGGCTGGAGGGAGACAGGTAGGTGACTGGGTGTAGGGCTGGAGGGAGACAGGTAGGTGACTGGGTGTAGGGCTGGAGGGAGACAGGTAGGTGTAGGGTAGAGGGAATGTAAAGATTATGTTTGACATATTTTATAATATTGCTAAGAGCTACATAAACCACACAAGAGTCAGGTGTTTTATGAATGTGTTTTACCATTTGTTGTATTCCTCCAGGCATAAAGCAGCAGCCGGAGCAGAAGGACAGACCAGAGGAGGATGTGGGGGACAGCACTGCAGACGAGCATGACATTGAGGCAGCAGACATCAACAGCGCTCAGACGTAAGTGTTGCTTACTTAACAGTCAACTTTGTTGCGTCCTATTTAAGACATGTCCTAATTCACCTAAGTGAATGAGTAAATGTTATTTGAAACCTTGGTCTCCAATATTCCATATAGTCAGACTATAAATAATCCAGTCTGGACCACGCAGAGCAGTGGTTGACAGTACCATAACGTAATCGAGTACAGAGGTACAGAATGTCCAGAACAACAGCCAGGTCCCACACTGTAACAACTGGGTCCTCTGCTCCAGTGACAAGCAAGGCAACTGAGGTCCTTCTCACAACTCAGGTCATGAACTAGTCATGAGTGTCTCTAACAGATCATGAACATGTCATGAATATATCTAACAGGTCATGAACTAGTCATGAGTGTCTCTAACAGATCATGAACGTGTCATAAGTATATCTAACAGATCATGAACTAGTCATGAGTGTCTCTAACAGATCATGAACATGTCATGAATATATCTAACAGATCATGAACTAGTCATGAGTGTCTCTAACAGATCATGAACATGTCATCAATATATCTAACAGGTCATGAACTAGTCATGAGTGTCTCTAACAGATCATGAACATGTCATGAATATATCTAACAGGTCATGAACTAGTCATGAGTGTCTCTAACAGATCATGAACATGTCATCAATATATCTAACAGGTCATGAACTAGTCATGAGTGTCTCTAACAGATCATGAACATGTCATGAATATATCTAACAGGTCATGAACTAGTCATGAGTGTCTCTAACAGATCATGAACATGTCATCAGTATATCTAACAGGTCATGAACTAGTCATGAGTGTCTCTAACAGATCATGAACATGTCATGAATATATCTAACAGGTCATGAACTAGTCATGAGTGTCTCTAACAGATCATGAACATGTCATCAGTATATCTAACAGGTCATGAACTAGTCATGAGTGTCTCTAACAGATCATGAACATGTCATCAGTATATCTAACAGGTCATGAACTAGTCATGAGTGTCTCTAACAGATCATGAACATGTCATGAATATATCTAACAGGTCATGAACTAGTCATGAGTGTCTCTAACAGATCATGAACATGTCATGAGTATATCTAACAGGTCATGAACTAGTCATGAGTGTCTCTAACAGATCATGAACATGTCATAAGTATATCTAAAAGGTCATGAACTAGTCATGAGTGTCTCTAACAGATCATGAACATGTCATAAGTATATCCAACAGGTCATGAACTAGTCATGAGTGTCTCTAACAGATCATGAACATGTCATAAGTATATCCAACAGGTCATGAACTAGTCATGAGTGTCTCTAACAGATCATGAACATGTCATGAGTATATCTAACAGGTCATGAACTAGTCATGAGTGTCTCTAACAGATCATGAACATGTCATAAGTATATCTAACAGGTCATGAACAAGTAATGAGTGTTTCTTTCCTTCCAGGTCTGGGTTGAAGCTGAGTGAGACTGAGAGAGAAGAAATTGGGCGACGGTGCAAGCGCCTCATAGACTACGGACGCATCAAGTACCTCCAACATTATCAAATGGACAGCAACTTAAGGGAGTACATCGACCACCACCTCACACCAGAAAACATTGTCCTGATCGCTAAACCTTTCAAAGACTGAGTGCACCAAGGCAGCATACACAATACTCATAAAATGTCATTTTTTCTGGAAGCTTGAAATCTGTCTTCTTTTGGAAACAGAATACTGTAATTGATGACAAATATATCTGTTCATGAAATAGCTTATTTGTTTTTTGTCCTGTACCCTCTCACAGACAGTTGCGATGACACAACAAACATATCTCCTATACTTTAACATAGATGTATGATAGTCATTGTGCCATGACTGATCTGTGAAGGGGTCAGTACTTACCAGCTATGGTGACCAAATCTCTGTGCTGCTCCTGTAATCAATTTATATTTTGAATTGTCTTCGAAGTGAATCATGTTGCATTTGTCATTAGGTCACGACACATGCACTTTACTGAAACCTATCACGTGTGGATCAGTGGGACGCCTGTAGCGGTGTGTAGCAACAAGTCAAAATCCAAATTGTGTGTAGGGAGCATCACTGAGATAGTAAACTGCAGCTACATGTTGACCAGTTGTGTTGGTATCTAATGTACATAACCTGGCTTGTATTAAGTGTTGCAAGCCATGAACAGAGGCGTGATACATCTGTGTGAAATCTTCCTACCAGCGGGTGTCCTTGTAACTGTCAGCATTATCACTCTTTTAGCACCAGGCTATGCTGATTTCATTTGCAGAACAGCACCCGGGTCGTTTGAATATGTTTCACTTGTTACTTGAATTTATTTTTAATGATTGGTTCAACGATGACATTAAAATTTTAGTTTACAGAATATTTTTTCTACCTGTCCAGTCTGTAAACTATTTTCAGTGAGGCCATAATAAATATACGTCATTAGGTTTCTATTGTTGCCCCCTTCACTGCCTCAATCATGTTATAGCCCCCAAGTACCTACAGATAAAGAAAATCACTATCTGGGTGCCTTCTTTCTTTACTTGATGAAATACACCACGCACTCAGTACTACCAAACATTCATGCTTCATGTGATTCACAAGTGTTTATGTTCACAGATGTCTTGAACAGTTTGTTAAAAAAAATAAAAATACATAACATGCCTCCTGCCTCACATGTAATCTAATTATATATTTTTTGTGGCCTAATGAAATGCATTTAAAGTCAGTCGTTAGGGGAAGGACGGTAACCATTTCAATAGTTAAATTTGGAATGCACTTTTACTTAAACATTTCTCTACAGTCCTGGACACAAACAAACCACTGTTTCTGGTGCTAACAGTGATAATCCCATCCATTTTTTGTAAGTATTGTAATTTTATTTTTGTCTTTTTATAATGTATTGACTTCATGTTTATGTGTGTCTAGAGGATATTGACAAGGAATACGATTTGTAACATGTGTGCTGTGTGGCCAGGCTGGAAATAAAACTTTTAATTATCAATTCAATTTTGAGTGTTTTATGGATTATGTTTCATAGTGAGTGTGTTAGTGTTTACACCTCACTAGACAGTATTATATCACAAGCTGTAAGTTTAATTCAGAAGAACCAGTGTGGTGAAACCCATATGCATGGTATGGTGCAGACAAACCAAGAATCATTATCAGAACAAATATAGGATACGACGTAAATTGTAATAAAAAGGTAAATTGTAATACTTGCAGCAAATTGTAATAATTTTGACGTAAATTGTAATAACAACGTAAATTGTAATAAAATTTGACGTAAATTGTAATACGCAAATTGTAATAATCTCAACTTGCGGTAAAATGTAATAACTTTTTACCTAAATTGTAATAACCTTATAAGTTTAGTGTCAAAGGCGTTAAATGACTAGAACCTATCCTTGTCAGGGTTGGTACAGGGTTTATCGTACAATCGTCATTAAAGTATGGGTGTGGGGGAGGATTGAGGTCGTTATCGTACATTGTTGTATAATTATATGTATATATAAACGCATTGGAATTTCATTTCTATGGTTGTCCAGAAGAGGATTAATTACTAGAATGAACCTAGTTTTCTTATTTTTTTGAGAAATACTCTGTGTTTTGTACTTAATTGTAATATTGACGATTTTCATCATAATTGTTCATATTTAAGCTAATTGAATCATATTTCAATTCGTAAAGTAGGTAGTAATATACACAATGGAATAATTATAACATAACAAACTTACACAAATATATTGATGTGTAAATGTGGAAAGTCTAACTTTTAATGACTGAAGCAAATTTATTTATTTTGCAACTGTATATTTGTACATATTTTATGCGGAGAGGGGTTTACTAAGTTGCAAGAACTTGTCCCCAATACAATTTTCATTTTGTCTCGTATAAGGTCAAAGAGATCATTTACGTTAGTGACAAAACCCTTTTCATTATAGATTTTCCATCCTTTCAATTTTGATCAAAGCAGATATATTTCAGCAATAATTAAATCAACAAATTTATTATACATTCTGATGCTCTTTGAAACTCAACAAGACATGCCCGAAGATACCGGATATAAGGTTATTACAATTTAGGTAAAAAGTTATTACATTTTACCGCAAGTTGAGATTATTACAATTTACGTCAATTTTATTACAATTTGCGTATTACAATTTACGTCAAATTTTATTACAATTTACGTTGTTATTACAAATTACGTAAAAATTATTACAATTTGCTGCAAGTATTACAATTTACCTGATATTTCAATTTACGTCGTAACAGGCCACCTCAGTGACAGATGGGAGTCAAAAGTCCCCCCTTTGAGAAGATATAAGATTATAGTCACATACATAATGCACACTGCTAACATTCTCTCTTGAATAATCTAAATAGAACATTTGGCTGTGCTTAACAGTCTGGTAATCGTGGATGGAATGAAAAATTGTCAGTATTGGAAACAAAGATCTTATATTAACATCTACTATGAAAGAAGAAGAATATTAAACAAACAAAATCAAGTGAAATGCTAAATGTTGTATTCACTGCATATGAAAATGTGGGTTAGAATTGGCCTTCAGTAATCCTTTCTTTGGTAAGAGGCGATAAACAGGGTCAGGTGACCAGGCTCACTGACTTGGTTGATACATGTCATTGTATTCCAATGGCGTGGATCCATGCTCATGATATCAATCACTTGATTGTCCTGTCCAGACTCGATTACTTACGAACCGATGTCATATAGCTGGATATGGCTTTAAAACAAATGAACAGGTACTTTCTGGAAGGCTGCATGTACTGAAAACTAAAACAAACATTTTCCGAGTTTGTACCAATAGTGTCAGTCTTCTCAACCAATATATCAGTCTGAAAAGTCAAACGGGTTCAACACAAGCATGGATAATATATTTGACATTATTTATCTGTATTTATAATGTTCCTTGCTGTTGAGTTCCTCATGATGGAAAAACAAATTTCCTTTGGCATAATGTTCGCCTCTGTGGTCTAGTGGTAGAGAGTCCCCTGGAGAGCGGAAGGTCCAGAGTTCGATCCCCTGCCGCGTCATACCAAAAGACGTGAAAAGATGGGACTTGTTTTTACCCTATCTGGTCCGTATACTGTGTCTGAGTGGGGTACTAGTATTCATGTGAAACTGCAGCAATGGTATCTCAGTGTGCTAACAGAAATCGGCATCAGTCTGGACACAAACACACACACAAACAAACAAACACACACACACACACACACACACACACACACACACACACACACACACACACACACACACACACACACACACACACACACACACACACACACACACACACACACACAAACACACACACACACACAAACACACACACACACACACCAGACAATCCAGTGATTGATATCATGAGCATCGATCCACGCAACTGGGATACGATGACATGCAGCAACCAAGTCAGCGAGCCTGACCACAGGATATGGTTAGTCAGTAGAGGATGGACAATAGGCGTCCTGATGTTTATGAGGGACCAAAGCTATTGTTGTTTTCCAACTGTATAGCAGCCTATATATACAAAGAACAACCTTGCACCTTCAACGTGTTTCGTTAACGCAGGGCTGGTTCTGCCCTGGCAATATTTCCAGGCTTTCGAGGATGTCCATTATTATAAAACGGTCAAGTTTCCCTTTCCAACCGTCGGTTGTCACAGGTGATGGAGACAGCCATTCCAAACTGTGAAACAAACTGTGTTGCTTGTTGTTAACATCTTCAGGTGTCTGAGGAGCGCCCTGTTTGGATTCAGGGTACAGAATAAGTCCCCAGCAACCATATGCTTGTGGTAAGTGGCGGATCTGGGTGGTCAGGCTCGAGAATGATTTCATTGCGTACCATGATTGGGTGTATTGTTGATCATAATATCAATCTCTGAACTGTATGATCCAGACACGATTCACAGACCGCCGTCATACAGCTGGAATGTTGCTGAGTGCACGCCGCGTTAAACAACAAACATGTAAACAAACAAAACACGAACTGACATCATACCTTGGAACAGTATACTGAAAATGGTGTAATAATTATGTTTATGGTATGTAGTTTGTTCAAAGTACATTCATATTTCAATGTGAAAATGAGATTTGTGAGTTGTATTTTATTTGGATGGTCAAATCCTTAAAACTGCAAAGATTATTACCGCGCCTTGTGAGATGAATTTTGGCGAAAGCATGATCCAAGCGGGTTTTTATCGAAATAGATCACTGAGTAGATCCGGATACTCGTATATTTAGTAAAGGTGACGTAAGGCAATACTGTCATGAACCAGTCTGTGTTAGAAGGCTTCAGCATTCGTTATAGTGAGTAACCAGATATATCTGCACACAGGACACGTCTGTAGAACCCTTAAACCTACAGTATGTACGAGGTATGTGTACACACAGCCACATGGACGTGATTAGTGAAGGTGCGCCATGGAACGATTGAATGGATGAATGTTGTTTTCCGCAGCAACAGCAAGCTTGCAGACACATGTACAGACGAGCTAACTGATTTGAATATGAAAGAAAAGTCTTAAATATATTCCATTCTGATTGGGCATCTTATATTGGACTTACATGAACCATTATATTAGTCTTGTATATACCCTAAGCTGAAAGCCCCTAAAGACTGGTAGATTGCGTGTATAGACAAACTGTCATTGTACATACAACAATCAGGGGCAAGTCACATATACGAGGGGTGCTTGAACAGTTCTAAGCCTGACTATGACCTGCGTTGATGGAGTTGGTTACTAATAATTTTATTTCCTCCGAGGTTCACACACTTCTGCCAACGATGCCTGCCAGTCCTGATCACGCCAGTGTAGAAGGCTACCTCCCGGTGGCGTGAACAAGTCCTTAACATCAGAAATCATGCATAATGTTTGCCAGACAGTTCCTTCTTCAAGAGGTGGAAATCGGACGGTGTCAAATTTGGTGAATACGGAGGAAGTTCAATGAGTTCAAAGCCTAGTTATGCATTGCAAGCATGGCTTCAACAGATTTGTTCACAGGTGCATTGTTCTGTGGAACAACGACATTTAGCCTTCATATTCTCACGCAGATTAGCATAACATCAAGCGCTAATGGTCTGGCCTTTCGTTAGGTAGTCCACCAGTATGATTCCTTTGGAATCCAAAAAACCCCGAAGCCATCCCCTAGCCAACTGTTTCAACAGACTAGCCTTCTTTGGAGCAGGAGACGTTTGATGTTTCCACTGCGGTGACTGTTGTTTAGTCTCTGACTGATGGCGGTGAACCCATGGTTACAATTCGCTCAAAACAATCAGCTGGGTCTGCTTGAGATTAACATTTAGTCCCAGAAATTAAGTTTTCTTATTCAAAATATATCTACAAAATAAAAATATAATCCAAATGAAGACCAGAACAATGCTTATTTCCTAGACTTGTCAAATCATTCTATACTTGAGTTGGGTTTATGTTTTCATTTATTCTCCAGGGTCTGGGAGACAGACTATAGCTGCTTCAAAACGCCGTAAATACTCCCGAGAGATGGTTAACCTGGCGCGTTTCTGGTCAGGGGTAATAGGCCCAGTTAATTCCTCGGGATGTTCTCAATTCTCTCATGAGAGATGCCCACTGTATTGACGATGTGGTGCAGTTGAAGGTCTTCCTGATCTGATCTTGGATCATCTCCGATCATGATGTCTATCACTTGATTGTCTTGTCCAGATTCGATTATTTACAGACCGCTATCATATAGCTCGAAAATTGCATTAAATAACAAAGAAACATCAATATGCTGTTGGTTTGTGCATTTGGTCCAAATGCAACATAGAATGTATTGTACATAGTACATGCGAACTGTTAAGGGTGTACTTAACATTCTTCGTTGTTGGTCTCAGCCATCCGTAGTATTTTTAGCCACCTCTCGTATGCATAATAAATGCGTTGCGCTACAAAAATGAAATGTAGACATAATTTACATCAAAGGCAGAGTCGGTATTCAGTAGCCCGTATCGACAAGTTAAAAAAATCTGTATTGTGCGTACGCGTTGTAAATATATCACGAGTCTATAGCACTGTTGGCGTATGACATCACATTGTGAATATCACTTAAGAAATAAACGACGAGTGGGAGTTGTTTATCATCGTACAATAAAACACTGCAGGGAAAATAAATCATGACGTATCAATATATTGTACAGCCTCTTCAACTATGTTAATAGAATGTACAGAATTTTCACCTCCATTCTATGTACATTTTCTCCCAATACAGATTGTCTTATCTCTCACACTTTTGAATGCATAGTTCGGCCATTGCGTTCATCTGCGGTGGCCATGCAGCTACATCTATGGAGAACATCTCAGTAGACACTTCCCTCTAAAAGATAACGTCATCTTATTTACAGCGTCATGAAGTTGCGAGCACATGTTCGAATCTCCAGAAATAATGTCATGACAACATTATGTTTTATCGTGAAATAAAGCACGCTTTGTTCTTCACTGTTCTTTGCGATTTAGCGCGTAACTATCTTATATAATAGAACAACTGTTATCCCACTCAAATGAAATAACACATAATGCTGGAACTCAACGACACTATTGTAAGTGACTGAGTGAGTGAGTAAGTATGGTTTTGCGTCGCTTTTAGCAATATTCCATCAATATCACGGCGGGGGACACCAGAAATGGGCTACCCGACCGCCCCTCACTTTTGTAAAGGTCGTGAAGATGAGTGTTTACCTGTCAGATGACATGTTTAACTCATCTCGTGACCCGACACAGTTGACACTAATGACAAAATATTTAACTCTGGCAGGTCGCTCAATGAAATAAATACTGGTAAGTTATTTGACAAGAAAACATAAATATCATCTATTTATATTTGTACTTGGGTAATACCTGGAGATAAACGCTTTCAGATTGTTCAGTATCGTCACAACTACGTCATTAACAATCAGAAGTTCAGATGTCTCTATTTTGTAATGATGTTTTCTTATCTTTCAATTATAGCCTACGTCATTCAGTGTATTTTTATGTACCAGTGTCTTAATCGCAGGATAATTGTTTGTTTTAATTTCAGGCTATAATTTGTCAATAATCACCATTGACTAAAGAGATGGTTTAAATCCTGCTGGGGAACCGTGTAGGTAGCTTGTGTACCGTAAGTCCCACATGATGGCCTAAATTTGGTTGCTGGTGATTCAGAGTCCGTTGTTAAAATGTATTGTTATTAATAGTTATATTTTATGGTTACAGACTAGTTTTAAATGCAAATCTCTGATACGCTAGTTGTCCTTTGTCGGCGGGTTTAAATATATTTAGTTGGATTTAGCTGAATTAGTTGGATATATATTATTTAAGAAAGAAATGACTCGTGGTCGTTGGCAGTGTTTTATTATACGATAAACAACGAGCACGAGTCGTGTATTTCTTATACGAGATATAAACATTTTGTACAGCCTTATTAAGGATGTCAAAAAATACTACAAGCTTTAAAAACATGTACCAGTATTTCAATAATGATGACTCCCAGAATACAATCCGACCTCGGCAATGTCGGTCAACTCCATTTTATGTACAGGGAGATTAAGTTTGGTATTCTCACAATTTTCGCGTCGATTATTTGCACCTTTTCTCCCAATACCGATTGTCATATCTCTCCCACTATTGGGTACGATCGTTCAACTACATCTATGCTGTCCGGCTACATCTATGAGGAACAACTCTATAGACATTGTCCTCTAAAAAATAACGTCGTCCTATTTACGACGTCATCAAGTTGCGAGCGCATGTTCAAATCTCCAGAAATGACGTCATGATAGAACAATGTTTCATCGTGAAATACAGCACGCTTCGTTATGTAATAATCTACGTATTATTCACATTGTATAACTATCTATTATATTGGAAACCGTATCGTTAGGATAACAGTCAACATTGTGATCGGCTGTGACGTCATTACATGACAATGCAGTCTTTATTACGTCATCAAAGGATTGTGCGTTAAATTATCATTACACACATGCTTGGTGTGTCTTTGTACTAACTCGATTTTGTTAATCATATACGGACCATATGTATCTGTCAGATTCGGAGTTGTGTCATGTTAATAAAATGGACTGGTGGAAGTTTGGTTTCATTTGGATTCCACCAAAGAATAAGGGATAAGATAGAGAAATCCTATTCGAGTGGCTTTTGATATCAAAAATAGTAACATGAGTCGACAAACGCTTAACTCCTGGGCATGCCGAGATTCTGTTTACCATCCAAATTCATTCTTCCAACTTTTCAGTTTGTACCAGTGTCCTCTGTGTAAATAGTACTACACCGATTCAGTGGCTTAGAGTGTATTGATGTCATTTGGGTGTGACGTCATGGTAACCGATGACGCTTCAATGGTATTGTACGGTGGCCCTGGGGCTGCAAATATATGGAAGCTATGGACACCGTTGCCATAGTGATGTCCTCAGTAAATTGACTATATGTGGCAAAATTAAGCTCTCGGGGGATTGTCCTTTTCAATACATGATAAAAAAAATTATGACATGACATATGACATGACACAGTGGTCACTGTACTTGAGTGACTATACAGTTCACTCTATATAGGCCTATTGTGAGTGACTATGGACACTATGGACTATATAATTATGTGAGTAACCATGCAGTGGTCAACGTGTGTGAGGTAGCTGTGTATGTGTGAGTGACTTTTCATTTGTCATTACGTGTGAGTTAGCCCCGACCATGCCGACGTAGCACCCAATCAGCACTTCTAATTTTCTGATAATGGCTCATCAAGCAGGTGATACATACTTTAGAATCAAAGTTCAATCTTAGGATACAATCTCCAACCTGTCGATTGCCAGGGCACTGGTCTGGAAGTAATTCTGGTCACACGTGGTATGCCAATTTGAAACGAAAAGTATCTGGCAAAATAGAGAGGCATACAGTGAAAAATGATCTCGCCAGATAAAATATAGAGGCATACAGTGAAAAATGGTTTCACCAGTGTCGGGTATGGGCCACCGTAGTATTGTGGTGCAATTTCATTGTAGTGATATCTCCTAGGAAATATTGTTTAATCATACACAATCGATATCTCCTGTGGAAGGCAGTTTTGGATGATAAATGAAAATGTCGTTTTTATTAGGTTAGTAGCAAAACACCGAAAAAAAGTTGTTTTTATAAGACATTTTGGCACTATTTGTTTAGTGTTGCTCATGTTGCCCATATTAGGAGTAAGGCATATTTGATCATATTTGACATGATCAGGTTAATTTCCCCAATATTCTTTGGCAAATTAATTTAAGTTTGCCCTCTTAAAATAATATGTTACTTCAATTCATGCGTAGTTCATTGATAAAGATTTATTTCGAAATCGTTAATTTACAAACATAACTATGTTTGTAGATAGTAATATTATACAAACACGTTTGATTTCTCGAAATGACAGCAAAAAAAAAAGGTTAAACCAGGAACTAATATTGAGAACAAATCAAAGTAATTGAAAATAATTGCTATACCTCAAACAGTAGTGTTGATGATCGTTGCTACAACAAGTCGAGTAATTTATTCACGATGTCTAGGAAGTTCGTCTGCTACAAATGAGGTCATGGCGACCTCTCGCGGATGCGGGCGCGAAGATATCGTCACGTGGGGCGGAGGCGAGATTTCAGAGTTGACAACTGCTCCATGCCGATGGTGGTGTGTGACTGTAAGTGAATGTGCTTCAGTGTTGTATTTTTGGTTCACATGTGCAGTTATTGTATGATTCGGTCGTCTGGATATTATTCCGTCCTTCGCCTTAGTGTAACCGTGCATTGAAATGGAAAAGCATGCATTAATCCGTTCGTCTGTTGCCCGGAACACGCCGATTATTCTCTTTTTCGATCGCCATACCGTACGTCAAAACACACGGGATAATGCAGTTGTTGTGCAAACTGATGTTTTGCGATGAAATCGAAGTACAGACTCACAACATAATCAAACACGTGAACTATTTCTGCATTTAAGATTGAAAACAACCAGATGAGTTTTGTCTGTGACGTTTGAGAATGGTCTAATTATAGCAGCTAGTCTTGCGTTTGTTCGAAGTAACACAACAGAATTTCCGCAGCAAATGCAAGATACCACTTCCTCTTTGTGAATTTATCACGTTTTAATCTGATAGTAAGAAAAAGATATCACCAAACAATAGTCAGGACCCCGATGTCTTATGGACTTATATAATATTTGTTATGATATTTCACATGTCATTATATTTGTTATGATATTTCACATGTCTATGACTAGATTACTCTCATTCTGTCACAATTGGACTTTTTGGTTCTAGAATATTTTTCTGGTGTTAAGTACAGGATATATAATGTGTTGCATCTAGTCCCTAGTAATGTAGATCCTCTTTGATTATGTCAAGCAAGCAATTTAAGAGGATATTTTTTTCAGGCTTATCTGATAAAGGTGTCTAACTTGAACTTGACTGAAGGCCTTGTTGATATTGATAGACATCACATTTAGGTCATTAATAAACTGGTTTCAAGGGAACACGATACCTGTCCTCAAAATAACTTGCACAGCATGCTCAAAGATGTAGTAAATATCCTCAAAGTTGATTATTTTGTATTCAGTTTGATATCATCTGCTTTTTGTGGGGTGTCTTTGTGGTTAAGCATTTGTTCATCATGCAGAAGACCAAGGGTCAGTTTCCCACATAGGTACAGTGTCCCCCACCATGATTATACTGAAATATTGCTAAAAGAGGTGTAAAACCAAACTCACTTATCTGCCTTTTATGTAAATCCTCCTTTAAAGTCTTAGTGTGTCATGGGTCCTCACAGAATATATGCAATACTTGTGTTCTGTAACCAAGTAACATGTACCCACTGTGATTTGTACTTTGTGAGATTTGTATGTCCCAAAGTGAAACCAGGACTGCATTAAGTGTGCATATATAAAAGAAATTTCAAACTTATCATGTAAATAACCATTCAACATCTACTGTCCAGTGTAAAGGTTTCTTTGAAGGTACAATTTATGTCAGCTTGTGTTTTGTGGCCCTCTGTGAAACATACTTTGACTGCATGTATCCCTTTTTCAAGTCACCAATAAGAGAATTTTTTCAACAATTTGTGCACCTGATTATCAAAGGGTAAGCATGCTGTTCCAAATTATGCATGTATGTAAAGGAGGCCTTGTCATAACCCAAATGTCAGATTTATATTGTTCTTAGATTCAAATACCTAAGCAAATACCAGACCATCCTTCTTTTCTCACACAAGAAGGACTTGCATATCAAGTCCCATTGTGTGATCCCTGAGCAATCCCAGTCTAAATGAATGATGCTTGAATTCGGTGCACATGCATTATACCTGACACCTATCTGCCATGTTTGTTTTGTGCTACTAATAAAGCCGCACACGACAGCATCATTATTTGAAACATAGGGCGATAAAGCCCCTAATAAGCAGAAAAAATGACCCTTGTTTGGTTTATATAATTAAACCTTGAAATTGAATATATGCATAAACGTCGAAAATTGGACATCAACATTGAAAAAGTACTCAAATTATAAGTTCCATGACGTGCGACAACCTCATCACTGACATCCATCAGAGCCACATTTCAGCGAACACATATTTTGTATCTACTTTGGTAATTTAACAATAAACATTTACTTATGAAATCATTCCAGCTATTGTGTAGGGGGCAAGCCCCCAAACCCCCTGTTATTTTAGCAAGGCGACAAAAATGGTGTCTGAAAAACTAAGAGAACGTCACAAAAGAATCAGCTCATGTACGTCCCTTACCAAAATGTCGGCAGGTGTCCGTTTTTCTGCTTTCTTGCCCTTGAATTCTATTTGGAAATTTTGAATTTAACCAATGAAAACCGACAGAGTACACATATTGGATACATCGTTTATTAGGGTGTAGAGATATCATACTGCTCTGCCACAGCACAGTGTGTAAAATATCCACAGTGTTTAAAGCTCAGCTATTATTACCTTTTTATTCTGAACTGTCTGTTTGTTCCTTTTCGAGATAGAGAAATCTTCTGCTGCTCTGAAGGCTTCACTCTCGTACTGAGAATTTAAACACCTGGATGCTGATTAGGGCCAGGACGATACACCAACTTGCGATCTGATACGTATCACGATATCTTTTTCGTGATCCGATATTTATCACAAAACTGGCATGTGCACTGTGGCATGTGGTTGGTAAGCCTTCTCTTTCATAGACAGGGTGGCCAAATACCTGGCACACTGATGACTTACAGTTGACAGTGTCAAGTATGGCGCAATGGGTGAAAGTATTTATGTTTTTTTTACATATTTTCACTGCTTGTATCAAGCAGTAATAAATCATGATGCATTGGTGTGTCGCCCAACTGCAAATGCTGATTGGTACGAGGGGTGTTCGTTAAAGATTTCCCCTGACCCACTTCCGATGGACCTAGTGGAATGAAACTTGGCATAGGTATTAGTCTTTCTCCACATAGGAACCACCAAGAGTTACACACTTCTTCCATCGTTTTATGCAACTATGGAGACCTCGCTTGTAAAAGCCCTCATTTTGCGTCTCAAACCAGGACTTGACTTCGGAAATCAGTGTTTCATCATCTGTGAAACGTTTTCCCTTTCAAAATGACTTCATGGTTGGAAAGAGGTGGAAGTCAGATGGTGCAAGGTCAGGAGAGTAAGGAGGATGTGGAAGGATTTCATAGCCACAGGACCGCGCTTCTGTCTGGGCAACATGAGAGTTGTGTACTGGAGCATTGTCTTGCAGGAGACTGACACCCTTGGTCAGCATGCCACGCCTCTTAAGCTTGATAGCCTCCCGCAATTTCCGCAGCAGTGAAGCATAATAAGCTCCTGTAACTGTGGTACCCTTTGCCAAGAAATCATCACTACTCCGTGCTGGTCCCAAAACACTGTGAGCATGACCTTGCCTGCAGAGGGTCGGACACGTGCCTTCTTTGGGGGTGGTGACTCCACATGCTTCCATTGCATCGACTGAACTTTAGTCTCAGGATCATAGTGATGGACCCATGTTTCATCCTGTGTGATAAGTCTGTCAAAAAAGTTTGCCTGTTTTTTTTGGCACATGTCCAAAAGATCCTTTGAACAATTGACTCGTTCCTGCTTTTGGAAAGGTGTGAGCAACCTGGGAATCCATCGTGCAGACACCTTATGCATGTTCAAATTGTCATGGATGATTTTTTCCACAGACCCTACACTGATCTTGACATCTTGTGCTAACTGGCGAACAGTTATACGTTGGTCTTCCAAAATGGCGGTCTCCACTTGATGGATAGTGTCCTCATCAATGGCTGAATGTGGGCAACCAGGAATGGCAGCTGTTTCCACAGATGTCCGACCACACTTGAACTGGCGATGCCAGTGTTTAACAACGTCATATGATGGGGCATCTTCCCCATAAGTTGCTTTCATTTCATCAAAAGTTTCTTTTGGTGTGAGACCTTTCAAATATAAAAACCTAATCACTGCTCGGCATTCTACTGGCTCCATTGTCACACCCTACTCGATCATAACACCTGTAAAAGTGGTAAGATAAATAGTTCGGTGCTGCAAATTCAGACATAACCCATAGATACATGTATCATTACACATGTGAAATTTCAACCAAATATGATAACCCTAAGTGGTTTAGGTGAAATCTTTAATGAACACCCATCGTAGATTAGAAATATCACCTGATTTGACCTCCTATGGAGGGTTTGTTGGATCATCACTCAAAGGTTTCATTCTAAAAGAATCAATTCTTTTAAGAGATTGAACAACCAGGAAAGGGTCAGCTAGCCTTGTTTTTGAATGGCAACTCACTTTTCTTAACCATCACCAGCCCATGATACTGATGAATAAGAATATTGGTCGTAGGGCAGAGGATGCAGTATTAGTCAAGTTTTGTCTTTAGCTCTCTTTCTTTTTCACATTACTTCGCAGCATTTTTCACAGTACTTTGAGCCACATGTGAAGTTGGGTTCCCCCAAATCCTAAAGATTTTGTAAAATGTTGGAAATGCATATTTACTTATATCCTAAGGTCATTTTCCTGTGGCAAAGCAAACTGACAACTTAGTATCAACAGATATTTTTCAAAATCTTTTCATGTATTTAATCAAGGTACTCACGTGATGATGCACTTCGCAAAGAAAGACCCATTTTATATATATATATATATATGTAAAGATCAGATTGTCTTCACTGCGTAACACTATTATATTTGAAGGAAGGCAAGTGATTTGAGAGGTGGAAGCTGATTGGTCAGTAGGAGGGACAAAGTATGGACATAACTTGTAATAGCCACTGGTGGTGCTACGATGGTGGCCAGAAATTCCAGCCTAGTTCAGCACTTTCAAGGACTATTAAAGTCATTTAACTCCCTTGCCTTGGGAAGATGTCAGGTGACAGGGTTAATGGAACTTGTTCCTGGGTCCTTTCCGACCAGTGGTTTGTGTAATGCAACAAGATTGTTTTGGAAGAAAGAAGTAGTTCTGCCAGGTTTGCACAACATCTCAAGGATACACAGCCAGGGTTTTATCTAGACGACTAAATGTCAGTAAAAGTTCCCAAATGTGAATTTAGAATTTCACAGTAATGTAAATATAGTCAAACACCATTGTGTCAAAGTTGAAGGGACCTACGTCATTGTTTCGAGTTATCCGAGGTTCGACAAAACCGAAACGATTAATAAAGAAGGAATACACAGGGACCAGGCTTTTACTTCAAGACAACTAAGTTTGACACATCAAAGTTCAAAACAATGGTGTTTGCCTGTAGTTACAACTGTGATGGTTTGTTGAGTTGTATTTCAATGATTATAGGACCAATAAAGTGTTTTTTATGAAGAATGATACAGCAGCTTTAGAAATTCCTTGAGTATTTAATCTTTAGTATATTGATTTGAGAATCCTCTACATACTGTAAATTATGAAATACATTTTTAGTCCACTAGTCCTTATCAAAACATATAGCAAAACCATTGAAAATGGCAAATTTCTACTAGTCCTTTGATACCTATTGGGCAGTTTGGCAAGGACTAGAGGACCAGTGCCAATTTCTAACACTGTAATTGTGACTCAGAGCTCAAGATAAGCTGCATATTTGTGTAAAATTACTCAGTAAATCACCATTACCCAATTAATTTTGAGTTGCTTGCGTAGAAATATGCATGAGAAATATCCAAAACCCAATGAAGCCTTTGCAGTTAGCATACCTGTATTTCTATATCATAATTTACTGATTGAATGCAGGCATCAAAATACATGTACTCACAGCAGAGAATATTGCACAAAGTCACTTTTGTCTCAAATGTTCGTGTTACTTAGCCATGTATATCACTGGGCTTGTGATGTGACATGCTTGCAGCTGCACATGGACATATGCAAATTTCAAGTCGCCTGAATCAGCATTTATGGCAGAATTATTTAAAAATAGGTCAGCTCTGTTTATAAATGCCTAATAGACTGGACCCATAGGAGTAAAAGTATGCTGAATACCCAATGTGAATGATACCATGGGTAAATACTCAGTTGCTTAAAAATTATATTGAGCCTTGGTGACTGTCTACAGTTTTGGTGTTGCCATTTGCTGATTAATTTAGAAATTTCTAAGGTAGGTCCACTCACATTTCTGACTAGAGGTCGGAATTCACAGTATCTTTGATGGCCCATTAATTTGATGTTTTACTGTGTTCGGTTTTAGGCTTGACCTCCTGTTTTTCAAACCTCATGTAGGGTGTGATTTTGTGAGCCAACTATGTTTAACTTAAATTGGACCTCAAGCTAGTGGTAATTCTTGGAGCAGGTGATGTAGGACTAGGTATTTTCACCAGATCATCACATCAGCTGGTGATTTTGTTATACAGAAATTTCTTGGTATCCTGGTGTTGGTGAATTATTAATGAAGTAGAGCTTTGTTAGACATAAAAATACATGATATTCACAGACCTTCCAATTGATTTGAATACATTGGGATTAGATTACCCATTACCTTTGAAATGATGAGCAATAATAATTTGCCTTAGGTCCATATGGTTCAGAAGTAGTGGGTCATATGGGTTGTTTCAGAGGTCAGTGACCACACCAAGCTGACACATCTTGATGTAACTGGAATACTGTTAACAGCGGTGTTAAATCCAACTCCCTCCCTCATGCGGAATTGCCTGTTTAATTTGTTTTTGCGATAGTAAACACGGTACAGCAGCTTCTCCTCATGCTTCATCATTATTGAGAAGTTGGAAGCATGCACCCCAATTGGAAAGTTCACCTGACATGCCTCATGTAGGGTTTAGCAGCATCTCAAAGCTGGGAGGTATTGAAATTGGAATTAGGGATCTGAGTGAGAGAAAGTTTTCATACAGTCAGTCCTACAAATTGAAGTTGCTTCTGTAGCATGTATTGAATTTGTGATCTCTTTATCATGTTTATCTTTAGGGCTCCTGGACATTCATGCTTAATTTCCAACCCGGACAGCCATAACAAGTACATGTTGAAATGGTGGTCATGAAGGTATTCTTCAGTACATTGATGAAGATAATCATTTGAGAATTGTTTTCTACTTATCTCTTCTGGTTTGTCATCGGTAAGCATCAGGTGTCATCAACTATCCGTCAAACTGCATTTGCCATTATTGTAGAGTTTCTGAAAAGCTGCATGTGATAGTGTCATCTGGCCAGTCAGTTTCTGAAGAGTCGGCCAATAATATATGGTCTTGGTGTAAGCAGCTGCATTTGATATGGCAAAATGTATTCTAGGTAATAAATTGTCTTTGGCATATAAACATGATAAAGATAAGCCCTATATATAACACTGTAAGGTGAGTGCAGGAACAAAATCAATGAATAGTTTAAGAGATGCTCTCACATTTACATAGATATATATCCCAGATTATCCAGTGTATTGTTTATGTCTCTATCGTGACATTGTGGACAGTGTCAGGACCCGTTCTCCAACAAAAGTTTGCTTATGAAGTGATGCCTGCACCTTCACCTGCACCTCATGCAAGTAATTTGATTGGATGGCTGTTTATAGCGTCTTTCTATTCGAATCTGGATCAAGACGACGCTATTTGCAGTGATTGGGTTCAGGGTATTTGTCATTATGGAATGGAGATGTATTACCATGATTACCCTGGATAACTGAGGATGATACATGTAGTTGCTTTTCTTCTGCAGCACTGTGTAGAACGTCATGTGGGATTCTAGAAGAATGTATTGTGTGTTTAGGGTTGTAGCCTAGGTGTTAAGGTGTTTGGTTGTTATGCATTCTATCTGGGTTTGATTCCCAACACAGGTACAATGTGTAAAACCTATTCTGGAATATTGCTCCCTGTAACTCAAACCATATTCACTCCCTCATACAAGTATGACTATTAGGGTACACTTACTCTGTACAAGTGACACAGTGACATGTCAAACTTAATGTGAAATGACACGATAAATCAGTTTTTGAAACATCAACAATAAAGTTCCAACCCATGAGGATCCTGGGTTGGTATCAGGCCCCACTGTTTAACCCTATAGCATGGATCATTTCTCATAATATTAATCACAAGATTATCTGGCCCAGCCTCTATTATTTTCAGGCAATTATCATTATATTGCCAAGTATGGATTTGATCAACAATAACAAACAAATAATAAAATGTCAAAAAATTCATTTTATAACCATTGAAAAAAATTAATAAATTCCATGAAGAATGTCAATATTTTTTGTGACCATCCAAACCGTGCATTTGTGCAAGGAGGCCTTGTCAAAGCCTTAATGTTCAAAATTAAAGGAAACAGGATCATAGTTAGTAAATATTCCTTGAACTATGGCAAGCTCATTATATTTAGAACTATGTTAGGATAGGTTCCCTGCAACATATGCTTGTATCAAGAGGCGACTCCGTGGATAGGGTGGTCAGGCACGTTAAAATGGTTTATCAAATGCCATACTGGGACGATGTGGAACCTTGCGCATAATAACAGTCACTGGTTTGTTTTGTTCAGACTAGATTACAGGGGTGGCCTAGTGGTAAAGCGTTTGCTTGTCATGCCAAAAGAACTATTCAATTAACATTGGGTACAGTGTGTGAAGTCCATTGCTGGTGTCTCCTGCCATGATACTGCTTTAATATTACTAAAAGTGTAAAACCCAATTCACACTCAAATATGTAAAGGCTGATGACTTTAAGCTGATTTACCCCCAAGGTCCAAAATAAACAACAGAACAGTCAAGAATAACGTTTTGATAGTCATTTGGCCTACACATTGATGAAGTTTTGATATATATTTTCTTCAAACCCTTTTCAGAAGATGTCTTTTGACAAGAAGAAGGGTTGTATCAAGTCTATGTTTACATGTTCAATGCATTATCTTTCATAATCTGTTATCTTTTCCAGAGCTCTGCCAGTATGGGTTCTGTGTGACCTAAAATATGGCCGAAGCCTCCGAAGAAGACCCTGCCAACAAGTCCCCAAGCTTCCACGCAGGACTTGACAGGCATGATGCAGGTTTTCCTGCTGATGCTGGGGGAAGAATGCCCTTTGAACCCTGGACCCAGTTCAGCGGGATGACGCACCCTGTGTCTCCGTCTCATTTGTACTGGGAAAACTTCGTTCAGCCTTCAGACCCTGTGGATGGACAGTTTGGGCTGTCCACATCCTCACCAGACTACTTCAGTGCTTACTCCAGCTATGTTCAGGATTTGGGTCGGACTGGAGGCCTGCCTGGGTTCGATGATGCCAGCAGTCTTGGAAGCGATTTCCCTGCTTCCCCTCCTTTCCCCGAAGACTCTGGCTATGACACTGCCTCCAAGGAAGGATATGACTTATACACAGATGCCATGAAGCAGTGGCAGACCAGAGATAAGTTCACTGGTACTTACAACCCATTTGGGACAACTGATGTCCTCACTCAGGCAAAGGTTCCGGAAGAGAAAGCAGACATCAACAGCAAGCCAAAAACCTACTCTGATGTTGCAAAGACTCTGAAAAGCAAACCTATGCAGAAACCTAAGGAAGACCTTGACAACTGCTCAAAGAAAAAAGTCCCGGACACACTGCCCAAATCTTTTAAGCCTGCTGTCAAGAAATCCTTCCAGACAAGAGGATTTCCCAGTCGGCAAAGGACAACGTCTGCTGATGGAAACCAGGGATCTATAGTGTTGCCGGATTCCAAATACGGGCTGGACCAGTTTGAGGATTTGGATGGCTTCGAGGCCAAGGTTGATAAGCCCATAAGCAGTAGTGCAGAGAGCTTATCTCATCGCAGTCGGAAAGGAAGCAACAGCAGTGTTAGCAGTGGCACCAGTGGCATAGAGGAGATTCATCTCACCAAGTCTACCAGTAGGGACAGCATGGAGAAAAACACTTCGGAGAAGCTTAACACTGACCCAGGGAAAGCTTCCAATGAACATGTGCCTCCTTCAAAGGACAAAACAGACCGCGTGTTCTTTGATCCCAAAAGAATCTTTCAGAAAAAGGAAAAAGATACAAATAAGGTTAAGAACGATAGTAGACATTCTGGCGCCAGCAAGTCTGCAGGCACTGTGTTGAACAATGGCAAGCCTCCAAGTGCTAGTAAAACATCCTGTGTGCCACCCAAGAAGGCAGACTACATCAATAATGATCTTCGCGACTCCAAGAAGCGAACCAATCACACTGCTGCGATGAACAGAGAGTCCAGGAGTAAAGGTCACTCTGAGGAGGACCTGTTCCAGAATGGCGTGTCTCCGGAGCGGAAGTCAAGGAAAGATGTCCCTTCCAGGCATGACGCAGAGTCGCAGAGACACCTTCCTTTTGGTGGCAACATTGATTGGGAACTGATAGGTAGGTGCACAAAGATATTACTGAAAATTCAGTATTTCGAACGGGACAATTCTCTATGTTCAGAAATTCAGAAATAAGCACAAGATGCATGGTGGTGTTCAGTATAGGCTATGTGTTTTTGTTGAATATATTGGTTCTTGACCTACAAATCACCTTAAATTACTGTTAACCTACCAGTATTATTTAGTTATTTCATGCAGGGACATTCATGTATCTTTGATAATTGAGTGTATGACATTATGGAGGCAGATTGCCCATAAGGGGAAACAACTCTTGCGTGCATGTTTGTTGAAGCAGAAGTACATGTCCCATTGCTGACATGCATGATGAATGTCTTCTTAAAAAGAAGTTTATGAAAACTTGATTTGTGTTTCATGTGCCTATAGTTTATATGTTTGCGTGAAGGTCATCTTTAACTTCTTTTGAGAAGTATGTATACATATGCAACTTTCTTCAGCCATTGTCAGTGTGAGGATTTTATCAGTTCCATGTACTGTGATTGGGAAGGAAATTTTCAAACTTTATGGGCCATTTTTGGCAAGTATTGGCTGTAAGTATCACAATATGGCCGTTGGTTATTGCAATGGGCTGTAAAAAAAATAAAAAATTATTGCAGCTGAATAAAACATTTTATTATATATAATCTTAATCTTGAAGTTCAAACATTTAACATGTTATTTCCTCAACAAATATCATTGTGCCAACTTCCAAACGTAACTACAGTCATTAAGCCCTCCACAAGGATTCGCACACCGAGGTAATCAATGGCTCACATCAATTTCAATATTTTCCAAAACAATCACATACCGTTTCTCCACGTCTTAGGAAATGGCATATCAACAAATCCGTACTGAAGTACCTTAGTTGACTTAGTTGATCCTAATGGGATCAGGTGGTCAGGCTCGCTGACTTGGTTGATGCATGTCATTGTATCTCAATTGCATAGATTGATGCTCATGATGTCAATCACTAGATTGTCTGGTCTACACTCGATTATTTACAGACTGCCGTCATATAGCTAGAATATTGGTGAGTGAGGTGTTAGGCAACACATAAAATAATGTTGTTACACTATCTAGTTATATCATTGCATGTCATGGTATATCTGGTGTATCAGGACTTATGTTTGTAATCTATTTTATTAATTTTATTCAAACATTTATTCTATTTTGTGTTTGGACTGATTGGTGGATTGCACCAGTTATTTACAGCAACCAGTTATTTACAGCAACCACAATCAAATTCCTGCCATTGACGCCTGAATCAAATTTCACAGTAGATTGTTTGTCACTAATGACTATAATGGAGGTTACGCACAACTTTGCATTTACAATTAATGTGTTTCCTAAAACATCTTTTGTTCTTCGTTATTCCAAAGAAAAAAAGTGGTGGAATTTTTTTTACAATTGCTCTCTATTGGCATTAAACGCATGCACCATTCCAAGAAAATCCATAGGGTAGACCCCTGGACCCTTCTTCCCCCTAGGGCATGCAGCCCTCAGATACGTGGCCTGTGGCCATGGAGGGCTACTGCTTCAGATCCTGGGCTTCTATAAAATAAGGCTTCATATTTATCCCTGCAGTCAGACAGTCAACCTCTGTTGGGTGTGTAAACAGGAGACATTTGTCATCATTATTTCCAGTTCCTTGATTTAGATTGCTAGGGGGCCCGGTCATGGACCAGGAAGCAGCTATCTTTCGAATTTCTGACATGTCTGACAAAATTGTTGTGAGGCCTGGGATATTCCCATGTAGTGACTTCTTCCTGAGGCTAGCGTGTTTACTCGTCTATATCAAAGCCAAGACTCCACCCTTGCCATGTCAAGGCTACTTTTCTGTTCGAAAATATGAGAGGACTTTCACACACATTGATGGTCAATCAGAGTATGTTTTACAAAATCAATTTGTGCGGAAATTATTCCAAAAGTAAGCTACATGTAAAACAAATATTTTCTCAGTGGGTCAAAGTTTTCAATCGACTCGCCCAAGTATTTTTATATATTTGAGTGCAAGCCTTTTTTTCGACGGGGCGGGGGATATTGAAATGGGTTCCATCTATCCATGCGTTAAATATTTCTCTACGAAACTTTGCATGTCTATTAGACTCATACTGAACTGGTGCCTTTTGCTATTTAGGAATTTTATAAATTTTAATTATTTTACGTTTTCATGGCAACAAGTTGGACTTGGGTTCTATAAGGGTGGTGTTCATTTCTGGAGCGTAACTCAAAAACTGTTAAATACTTTCTTACAAAACTTTGCATGTTTACCAGGCACATACTAAACTTGTGCCTTTTGCTATTTAGGAATTTTATAAATTTGTATTTTTTATGTTTCCATGGCAACAAGTTGGACTTGGGTTCTATAAGGGTGGTGTTCGTTTCTGGAGCGTAACTCAAAAACTGTTCAATACTTACAAAACTTTGCATGTCTACCAGGCACATACTGAACTTGTGCCTTTTGTTATTAAGCACTTTTTAAATTTTTTATTGTTTATGTTTCCATGACAAGTTGGATTTAAGTTTTAATATAGGGTGGGTTCATTTATGGAGTATAACAAATAAACTGTTAAATATTTCCTTGCCAAACATTGCATGTCTATATATAAAGCACATACTGAACTGGTGTTGTTTGATATTAAGGAGTTTTAGAAATGTTAGTTTTAGAATTTCCATTCCAGGTATTTTGACATGGGCTAAGAGAAATGTTGGGTCAGTTACCTGGTTTGGGACCATAACGTGTTAAAATGGGCAGGGTACTTTGTCGACTATATGCTTGTTTAACTCACCACACTGACTGAAATGCAGTCGATCAAGGCCAAGAAAAGTAGGCTTGAAATGGCGAGGGTGAAAACTAGACTAGTGGACATTCTTGCCTCGGGAAGATGAGATGGTTAAGACCCATCAGTATTGAAGTAAATCTGAAATTTGCATTGCATTTAAGTCCTGGTTTTTGTTGTGTAAAGATCAAATAAAGTATCCATTTGTAATGTTATAAACAAGACAAATGATTGTGATTTATGCATGACCGTAAAAAGTGAACTAAGTTTTGCAGTGCATATTCACTGATGACAGGTTATACAAGATGTATCAGTCACCCTCTGTTGGACAGCTGAATATCACTTGGTGACTTATTGACCAATGTGTACTGGTGGATGCATCTGATCATAGTAATTTACATGTCAGATGGCATCACACATGTCATATACTTGTAACATAATTGTTGAGACTTGGCGCTATGGAAATACATTAGATGATTCTGTCTCCAGGGAAATGCCTTCCCTCAATGTGCCTGAGCTTAAATGAACAAATCCCAGTTGAGATGGACAATTTTTAACTTCAGCCTCTGAAGCTGGCATCCAGTAATATTTATTTTGGCCCAGTAACTCAGCTAACACAAGTCAGTAGACTAACGCTTATTCTCTGAAAATATATTATGATAGAAATACTCCATTTAATTTAAAAAGGATCCCCAGTGAGAGAGAGATTCATAACCTGAGGGAAATCTAGACTTGCTTCATTTAGGGCTTTAGCATTACAGTAAGGGCTTGGCAGAAGGGAAAGTAATTTTGTTCAGGGACTGTGAGACAAATCAACTACAACTACAATCTCCTGAAAATTATGAAAAGAAGACAGTAGAAAGCCAGTAAACTCGCTTTGTGAGGACAGAGCCTTGCTAAAGTAACTTATTATGTACTTATGAAGAATGCTCTTGCATGTTCCATATCTCAAAAAACGTAGCTGGGAACGTATGTCGTGGCCACATATGTTGCTGTTAACAAGGTGAAAGACCGAGTTAGTTTATGATAGAAATGGTAGGTTAATTACTTGTTAAAGCACCCATAAAAGTCCACAACATTTATTGATGTATGGGTAATATATAGGTCATGACTATGTCAGGCATCCTGGACAGAGCAGACAGAGGTATTGCCTGCTTGTCGTGACAGGAATCCATGATGTGATTGGGTTGCCAGCATGGATACAGGTGTGGAAGTAGATGCCAGGATGCTAGGCATTCACTATATTTACGCCCTGGGCCTAATTATGGAAAATAGCATTTTTTCATTTCAAATATTTTATCTTAAGCTCTTTTACCTAAATAGGGGACACCTGTCGCTGAAGAAATCAGAAACTGACAGTTGTTGGAACTGAGAAAATATAATACATGGATTTTACATTTGACAAGAAATAATTTCATAGAATGCCAAACTTGAACTTGCTCTTACTGTTGAATGTACATTAAGATTTGCCTTGTGTAGTGCATCACCACATATTGACTATTGAAGGGAGTAAGGTATTAATTTAAGGAAGATTACTCCAAAATTAATTTCAAATTGAAGCCTGAAGGAAATATTTTTCGTTTTTAGGCCCATGAGCGTAATTCCATGTGGACCTAAATACGAGAAGTCGTGGTACTGTCATCTGAAGTCTAATGATACATTGTAGTATTGCTGTATTGCCCAGTGAAGGTCACAGTATGTATTGCTGTACGTTTTGTCCAGAATTGACATTTGGCTATAGTCACAGTACGTATTACAGTACGTTTGTCCAGAATTGACATTTGGCTATAGTCACAGTACGTATTACAGTACGTTTGTCCAGAATTGACATTTGGCTATAGTCACAGTACGTATTACAGTACATTTGTCCAGAATTGACATTTGGCTATAGTCACAGTACGTATTACAGTACGTTTGTCCAGAATTGACATTTGGCTATAGTCACAGAAGGTATTGCAGTACGTTTGTCCAGAATTGACATTTGCCTATAGTTACACATCTACTTTTTTTTGTTTTTAAGTCAATGTTTTGATTTTCAGTGTTGGAAATTAAGCTTGAAAGTTTAGGTGTCCTTGAATTAACTTTAATGCTAAAAATGAAAGATTAGGGAGTCCCTGCATTCAACTACTATTGAAAGAGACCTCTAAGATCCCAGGAGCCCCTTAGTTTCCAAGATGGGGTTCCATATAATTTGAATATAGGGTAGGTAACCCATGTTGGT